CTTGGAATCCACGTCCACCTTTCCTGTCTGAATAAGAAGCTGAACAACCTCCTTGTGTCCATTTTCTGCCGCCCATGATAGAGGTGTTTTGCCATACCAAGTGTTCTTGGAATCCACATCCGAACCCTGTTCAAGAAGTATCTTGGCGATTGCATAATGCCCGCAGTACGATGCTAGCATAAGATTCGAAAAACCCTCGCTGTCTTCTAAATATGTAGTTTCTAAGAAGATGCTAAACCATACTGCATAGCTTCTTGAACCTGCGTCACAAATTCTAAGGGCAGAGGGTAGTATGGCAGCCGTAGGAATGATATTGGCCTCGCGGAAGTGAGTAGTCCAGGTTTCGGCTGAGTAATGTAGGAAGTCGTGACTACCAGCAATGTTGCTATTATCTCCATCTGTGTTTGCTAAAATGGTTCTGTCGCAATTTAAGCAGTCGAGGTAGCGCACACAGACAGTTGCAAGTACCTCATGTGCCTGAGTAATAGCAATGGAGTGATACCAGCCTTGCTCTAATGGAGTAGTACTGGATGATACCAAGTCTGCCAGAAGAAACTCGCGAGCCGTTTGGTGGAGAAAATGAATTCTGCCCTGGTATATTGTGATAAACAATCCACATAATGTTCTAAGGCGTGATTTGAAGTCACCTTCACTCTCCAAATCAAGATCATCCACAGAATGCAATGTCTCGTCTACATTCACAGCAATATTCATCTCCAGAAGTGTTAGCGGTCGACTCGCGGCCAAGATAATACTCAAGACCTTTCGAACTATTAAGTAGTCCTTAGACTTATTAAGGATCTGCTCATATGCCGCATTAACACTTCGTGGAAGTTTCTTCAAGGCAGACTCAGCCCCTTTCGCTGTTTTTTTGAAGTCTTCTTCTTCCAAGTAGTTGAAGACAAGGTATACCCAGAGATAAGTGCGGTGGGGAGTCTTCCGTAGCTCTTCATCCAGTTTCTCCCTAACTTCAGATGAGAGATTCTTCTTCTGCGACAGCTGATTGATCTTATGCGCGATGACATGATTCACCTCATAACTAATTATTTCCGACTCTTCCTCTCCTGGTATACGGATATTCGGAAAGGTGTGCAATAAGTTGCTGAATCTAGATACAATCGACTCATATGGACGGCATGTTAGGAGATATTTTAGCTTGCCCTGGCCGCCACGGAATTGATCCTCCACGTTCCGCACTAGGTCTGGAAGGTCCGACTCACTGCATTCGTCTAAGGCATCGAGGACTATGATTATTGTTCCTGACTCAAGATCTCCAATCGCGTTCCGTAGAACCTTCCACAGCGATTCTGTCGAGTTGACCAGAGCCGTCCCATCCTTGCGGTACTCCTGCATGGCATATTTAATCAGAGACGGTTTCTGAGAGAAAAGTTGATGAAGTAGCGCGCAAAGTGCTTGTCGGACTTTGTTCTGGACTTTGTCTTTGAAGAAGAAGTAGCAGATTGTGGCAGACCGTGGAAGGTAAATGTCAACCAGGTACCGGGCCAGTACTGACTTTCCACAGCCAGGATCCGCTGAGACTAGCAGGGGCGCAGACTCAGCTTGGAGCCACTCCTGGAATTTTTTGTGCCGCAGGAACCATATGCATGTGTTGTCAACCTTCTCCTCTATTCGATTCTTATACCACTCATAAGTGGCATCACTCTCACTATCACTAGTGAGGCGGAACAGCTGGTGACATTTTTCTTCTTTGTCGGAGAACCTTTCTTTGGCGAAATCATTCTGGGCTTTGAGCTGCTTCTTTGCTATGTCCTGGTTCTCTTTGGCAGTGTCGTGGAGGTCTGCAGACAGGATTAACACATATAGACAATATAATTATCTAAGACTTAAATACCAAGTAGAATTTCACCGAGCTTCTTCTCAGCCTCAACCAAGCTTGGACGAATCTCGCAGATCATATCTTTTGCATACGCAGCCGCTGTCATCGCTGCAAAGCCTTGCCACTCCTTATTCTTATGGGAGTCCGAATAGTCACATATGCCGCGAATGACAATACAAGGGAACTGATTCATCAACCCTGCTGCCTCCATTTCAAAACAGAGGATATCATTCTCAGCTGCCAGGTGATCGCGCATCAATGCATCCTTCATAACTTGGTTTGCAGAAGCGATGAGCCCATAGTGGATCGCCGGGCTTGGTTCGTTCGTAGTTCGCGCGGGCCGCTTGAGGATATTTGATGGAATACTAGCACAGAATTCTGCACAACCTTTTGGATCATGGATCACTTCAGCTTTGAATAGAGTATCAGCGTTCCCCGCCGGCCGCGCATAGTCTTGTTGAAGCCCTGGGTTCCGGTCAAGAATGCCGTTAATTGTGCTCTCAATATGGTGACCCCTTCTCTTGTATCGCGCTTGTAGTCCTGTCAGCGCAGTGCGGAGAGCTGTAGGAGGCTGATTAAGAAACCGTGTGTATTGGAAGGAGCGACCCTGTATTGTCTTGCCAAAATCATACTGGAACACACCACCTTTACCGTCCTGGGGTGCACTGACCACAACATCGCCCAGGCGAATATCATGCCTCTTGCTTGGGACACCGCCACCGATGCCAACCATTAATCCAATCCGAACGTTGGGGAAGCTGTGCTGCATATTTGTGGCTACTATAGCCGCGGCAGCGGTTCCGTATTCGCCATCAGGTAAGACAGCGATTACAACATTATGATCCTTAATTCTGCCCAGTGTGTAATGATTTGTATCGCCGGGCGATATAAACTCTGGTCCCTCATGCTCTTCATCCAGAAATTCTTGAGCTGCCACGTATTCGGTTAATATGGCGCAGATCCAGCCGATAGTGTAATCTGTATTTTTCTTCCGATAAAGGATCGCTTGCTGGGGAGCTGACTGTGTAGCGGTACTTGCAGGGAGTGGACAGGGTTGCGAGGTGGAGGTTTGGTCAACCTTGTTCTCGGGAGGGCCATTTCTGATGCTTCCGGGCGTTGTCCCAGGAGTCTGGTTGAAAGAAGGGTGGAGGGGATTCTGCTCTGTGATCGAAGTAACAGAACTTGCGGGAAGGAGAGAAGACTGCAAAGTGAAGGTTTGGTCGACATCTTCCTTGAGAGAGCTCGTTCTGGTGCTTCCAGGTGGTGTCTCTGGGAGGAAGAGGTATCTCCACCTTCCACCCGAGCGAACTATAACAAACCCCAAACCAAGTAGCAAAGCCAAAATAATAGCTTGTGCAGCGCTATCCATCTTGGACAACAAGCCTGAGTATTCAAGTCTAATGGAATCAAGGGTCAAAAATTCAACAAGGCGGGTCTGGGCTTTTCAAGAGATTTGCAATTTTCCATTACTGACGGGTCCGATCTGGCATATAAATTCTGGTTCGTCTGCTTGAAGGAAATGGGGGGATTAATAAGCAGGTTGTGGCTGGAACATAATCATTCTTGAAAGCCAATCACGTACTTTAGGGTAAGATATGGAAAAAGCAAGCAGGGCTAAAAATTTAGCCTTTTGCTGACGTGTCAATTTATATTAGCGCTCTAATAGGTCTGACTCAGGACATTAATTGGTCTTGAAGATATTCCATGCAATCCTGGCTGACTGCGCGTTTCCAGCTTCATTAAATACGGGCTCCAACCCTATAAATACGCTATTAACCATGGATCGACTGCTATGACACCCTGCATCCAGTCTCCGCGAAGCCAATACGTACTTATCCTTAATTCCGTGTCACAGCAGAAGTGAAGTAGGGAGTAGAAGCATCAATGCTTCTTTTTGTTAGGAAGGGATCGGAATGATAGCTCGGCCTTATGGGTAAGAAAGATGTCAGCTGAGCCTGAGCACTGAGCATGACCTGCAGGCTTGGGTGATCATGGGTTGAATAGCGGCCAATAGGTATCAATTGGGGCTTGTCGCCGACGTGCTGATTTGGAGCGGTACGGGAGTCCCATTGATAGGCATTTATTAATACAGTTTGCGAATCTGACATTACGGACCGTCCCGTGGGAGCCTAGGGTCAATTGTGATGTGGGGCTTGGGATTCCTTGTGCTGTTGGCGAAAACCTCAGTTGGTCAGCATTTGTTATCGACGACGGTCCTGATCGGCGGCTACATGTTTTTGCTTTTCCCTCAAGCTTTCGCGCTTCCCGCAAGCACCATCTCAGCCGTTCAGCTATAATAGGTGGCTTGAGTACGGCTGAGCGGACGGGAAGCCCTATTTTCCACACCCTGCGTTCGTATGTGCTGGGTATAAGTAAGCAGGGAAAAATAATACACGGCCCTCAAGAAAAAAGAAACCCACAGCAAAATACAAATACCCAAGTACTCGTGGCCAGGGAGGGCATGTCGGGCTTCATTTCATCCCCAATTGAAGGAACCGCTCAAACACCCCCGCTGGTATATTTTCCTTCCAAGAAAATGATGCCCGATCATCATCATCTTCCAAGACATTCTCCATAGCCTGCTTGGCCGCCGCCAATCTCACTTTCCGTAGACGCTCGTTTCCCTGCCGCCCATAAACCAGCGACTGTCGATACAAAGCCCGAGCGTATTGAATCTGACCTTCTCGGGTATCGCAGCATTCAAAGTGAGCGACAGCCTCCCGAAGGGCATTGCTGTGGAAAAGCATAAGTCAGTCGGTCATAGGATACCGGGTGACATGTGGATACGAACTGTGCCTCCTGGAACTTTCCTTCATTGGTGTACACGTGGGCGATCTTGAGCTGCGCTAAGGCAAAAAGATCGGCACGCTCTGCAGTTTGAGTCTCCGCCTCTTCTTCCTCAACGACCATTGCTGCAAGGGCATGTTTATATGATCCGCGGGCACCTTGGTTGTGCGATAGGGCGAGCTGCGCGTCGCCCCAGGCCATATGGAATCTACCGATACTAAGATCCACCGCGTTAGTAAAGAGCTTTTTCCATACGGGTCATGTGTCCGGCACTCACCTGCAACAATCTATATCAGACCCTGTACTGACATCGATGTTGTAGCTTGCCTTGAGATCCTGCAGGAGATCCATACCCTCCTCGGGACATTCTTGTTGTATTGCGATTAGGGCAAGGTACGTGGTGAACACAACATATTTGCTAAGTGCCTGGGGTGATTTGTCGCAGTATACACTCAGTTGATCCCGTGCTCGGATGATTGCAGCCAAAGTGCGGAATGACCCTTCTTGTTTATAGGTGCGGATTGCGTTCTCAACAGCCTCGGTTGTTGTCTTGAGGCGCCCCTCTACCGATTCAGATAGTACTGTCAGATCCGCGTCGCTTCTCTGCGGCTCATGCTTAACTAGTCCTCTTTTCAGCTTGTCAGGACGCGCGGCGTGATTGCTCTCCTGGTCACTGTCACTGTATCTGGAGATGTCTGGTCGAGAAACACGTCTTTCTGAACCTTCAACGGTTGAGATACGCTGGGTTGCTGACCCCGGTGCCTCCTTCGCCGAGGTGTGCCCAAGCTCTGAGCACCCAGGCTCTGGAAGGTTTTGTTTCTGCGAGTTCTCTAATTTACCCTCATTGGCCTCTCCTCTCTCCGTCGAGAGTCTGTCTATGCCCGGAAGTGAGATTATCTCGACATTGAACAATTCAGACAGAGGCGCCAGCCCAGTTAGATCAGAGCGATACCCTTTGAGGAAATCCGGCATAGTTTGATGAAGAATCGCAACACCAGGGGAAGGCTTCTTCTGGCTGGAGGAAGCACAGCGATGACATAAGATTGAGTAAGGCGCAAACCACATCTTACAACTGGAAGCTTCAGATAGCTTTAGCTTTATCCTCGGAAAATGCTGGCGAGTTATTGTCGCCGATGCATTTCGGTAGATCTCCGCCACTTTTGATAGCTCTGCTTCGCGGTCGGCAGGGTCATCTTGAATCACGCAGAGGGCATCGATCCAGAGGTACCGAATCCCGAGAGAGCTGGCGATGTTACATGCATCGCGGTAAAGACGCGGCATGTCAGCCACGCGGCCGCCATCTCGACAGCGGGCTAAGGTAGATTTGGTGAGCTTCACTGGCATGTGGGGGTCAGCGTTTTGATCGGTCCAGCTGTAGCTCAGAGCAATGTAGTCGGCGGGTTTTTGGCCCTTGGTGTCAATGACCTTCCAGCCGCAGGTGCGCTTGTCAATATGGACGAGTCGTTGCGGCGCTTGGTCCTGGTCTTCCGGTGAGTGCGATGCAATTGGCACCTTTTCCCGGTGGAGGATTGCCAGCAGGTCGTGAGCGAGGGCGACCAGTTCCACGTCTTCTTCGGCATTTTTCAGGACGTGTGAATTATACCTGGACCACAAGTGGTTAGCCTATCCTGACACCATAATCAAGTCTCCCAATCTCACCAGGCACATTGAAGAATAAGCTGAATGAAAGGAGCATATTGGTCGGGTGTCGTCAAAGCGGACGCAGCAACTTCGGACAAGCGGTGGCATTGGGTGTGAATGCGCGAGAACTCCGGCCAGTAGCCAAAGACAACATTCTTGAACTTTCGCTGAGATGGCCACTGGTCCAAGAGCAGCTGCACGGCTGTAGTGAACGCAGCTCCCTGTTCCTGGTTATCTGTCAAATAGTCTCGTAAAATCGATTGCACCACTCGGTGCATCCGTAGAGATCGATGAGAGCTCGTTTCCGAGCAGAGTCCACTTCTCACACACTGGATTCGGGCTTTGTAAAAGCTCTGATCTGTGACTGGAAATGTTTGGAGTTTTGGGCGGCTTCCGTAAGATTTATGTAAGGTGGAGTCTGGAATGTCATACGCATCGAGATAGGACACCACACTACACAAGCCTTTTGCTTCAGCTGTGAGTTGCTCCATATTCGTACTGACCCAGCGCCACATGGTTGGTGTAAAGCAAAGCCGGTCTCGTTTCTGTTGACTGACTAACTCGGAAGAGTAATGAAGGACCTTCAACAAGTCATCTTCCCGAGCACTTTGTCTTGTGCTTGATTGCGCTTCGGTTTTCATTGCCCTGGCAATCATACTTGATGCAAGCGGGTTACCTCCTGACAGGCGGCGTAGCCCGAGAAGTTCAATCTGCTCCTGACCGAGACCGGTGATGTCATGGAAAAGCTCGCTTTCCTCCTCCTCACTCAGTGGATTAACTGAAAGTTCATTGATTGCAGCGTTGGAAAGAAGACTGAGATCTGTTGACCTACTGGTAATGAGAATGTTACCGTGGCCACAGCGCGGAATATATCGCCGCACAGCACTCAGGTCATCCGCATCATCGAAGATGAGGAGCCAGTTTGACCTGGTCTCTCGTAGCCAGGACATAAGTTTCGCCTGACTCTGTGCGTGAGTGTGTTTGGTGCGGCCTTCAATCAGTTGCAGAGCGAATGCTGTCTCATGAAAAGACTCCGCAATGCTCTGCCTATGGCTCGCCTGTATCCACATGATGGAACTGAACTGCAAACCATTATGATGGACATACTCACGAGCAACAGCCGTCTTGCCAATCCCTGGCACGCCGGTCAGGATTGCCACTTTCTGGCTGTGAAGCGTGCCAACTATCTCTGGGGATGTCTCCAGGTCCTGGGTGAAGAATGCTCGCAGAGACTCCAGTATATCCTGCCGCCCGCAGAAGTTGGGCGCCCGGTCTGGCAACCGCATCTGCAGGGGAAGAGGTCTTCCAGAATTTGTCCCTGATGTATCTTTGATGAAGGTATTGTGTTTGACACGTGTCGCATCAATTAGTGGGCTGTAGGGCTTGGGACCGGTCGCCCGCGCATTGCTTTCATTGTAAGGCATCTTTTCGGGAAGATCGTCTGTGCTGTGATTGCCGCTGTTCTGCCTATATGGTGTTACCTCTGCTGAACCTGGGCTATATATCTCCTCAGCTGGATGGAATTGCAGAGAACACTTTGAATCAGCGATGGAGCACGCTGAGAGCAGTGTGTCTCGACATGGGAGCTTCGCGGCTTGATGTAAATCAAACTCGCTACCTGAGCAGACCGACATCATACTTGGAATCCTTCCAGCTTCACTGAGCGGAATAGGCTCATCTGAGGTCTTTGAATGGTCAACGAAGTTGGAATGATCAGCAGACGAGCAACTCTCAATCGCAGTCACCGAACTATTCGGCTCCGCTGAGACAAACGAAGCGCCAGCTTCAACGCCGGCCGAAGGTGTGACATCCGCAGTACTCCCCCAAGCATCATTCCCAATCCTTGGTCGGGGGTCCCACGCATTCGCAGCAATTAGGTCCAGCTTCCGACGATGTCGACTTTCGAGATGGAAAACACACCGCTTCTGCTCCCCTTCATCCTCAGACATGTCCTCATCCAGATCAGCGGTTGTCCACTTCCTCACCGTGAAGCTCGCATCGCACACGCAGCCTTCAAATCTGGCTCCAGTGCGACTGCGCAGACAATAGAATCGCTTCGCCTTGATTGTTTCGGAGGTAATATGGAACAATCGCGAATAGACGGTGATCTCTTCGAAGCGGTCGGAAATGGCTTTCAGACAGTGCAGTGCTTGCTGACTGCATATATCAAGGGGATGTCGGCTCGGCGAAAGGAGCAGGAATCTTTGCACCAGCATTGACCATTCCTCGCGGTTGGCATCCTTCAATTTTGGGTCGCCTACCATCACCATCGCCTCAAGATAGTCGAAAAAGGCGGATTCATCGGGACGGTGCTGTTGATGGTGTGCTTCTATGATGGCCTGGCGCTCTAAGTCAAGTGTTTGTGCTGCGTCGAAGACAGTCATACCTTTTTGAGGATGAAAGCACCGAGCCGATACCCTATGGTGACGAGGCTACTGTCGGGCGACTAGGATTGTGTGATCATGGTTCAGCATGAGAAAAAAATGTAGTAAATGAAAGAAGCGGAATGTAGTACCTTGATGCGATCCTTGCAGAGTGCAACCAGCTCATGATACAGCTCCTTTCCCGCCTGACAGACTTGTTCCCAAGACTGAAGGGATTGCGCCTTGATGCCGTGGCAGTAAATCCAGACTTCCAGCGAGGGCTTGAGTGAGGCGTAACAAGACTGAATCCATTCCGTAAAGTGAGGGCATGTTTGTTCGGCCAAGGAGTTCGCATCGAGACCTGGGACCACGACGACCCTTTGCATGAAAGTCAGCGCAAATGTTTTTTGCACCGTGCACCAGCACACCTTGGAACCGGTGGCTTCTCTTGATTGGAGTCTGTCGAACCATGACTTACATCTTCTTCGGATATTCGTCGGATTCCGCCGCATGGAATAGTTTGAATCGTCCCATGTTGATCAGACAGAGAGGGAGATAGGAAGCCTTCTGGCTTTCGGGAGTAAACAGGATCCATGGACCACAACAGCAGAAGGTGGAAATGAAGTGGAAAGTTGCGATGGTCAGACTCGTTGCCTGCTGATAATCTGTTGCCTGCTCTGCGTTGATCGGCTGAACCACCAGCGTAGCTGTCTATCAGCCACGCCTGGAAGGCTGGGCCTGTGACTGGAAAGGTGTGAAAGAGCAGCCAACTCAAAATGCAAAATCAATCACACTCTCATGCACTTTCCAACTACCAAGAGGGAGGAGATAGAATTTGGTTGGTCGATACGTGATCATGAAGGGGGTGGAGGTCCATGCACTTGCAGGATCCGATGAGGCGCAGCGAACGCCATAGTAACAATTCCAAAAGAAAGTGAAGCGCAGCCCTGCGCATCAATTCTTACATATGAACCAACTTGTCAAGGCTCAGTTCGGCTCGGTTGGAACAACAACCACGAAGGCGTCAACAAGATGCCAGCAGTCAAGTCTGAATATGACGAGCCTGGCGACGATGGAGTTCGATTCTTGCGCTCACGAGTGCGGTCGCTCAACAGTGATCCCTTGCACTCTGTCGCCTATATGCACAATCTAGCATCATACCTCAATCGTCCTTATCAGAAGCCATCGCGACCATATTGCCCCGCACGAGGTTTTGGCTCGTCTACGCTGGACAACGTGTTTCTCTACTTATATTCTCTTGCGCAGCCCGAACGGGCAGAGGCCCGGGAGTTCAGCGCTTCTGCAGAGCTCGAGATGACCGAGGTAGATGAACAGAGCGAGTTGATCTTCCTCACAGGATATCCGTCCCCCCAATGGCTGAACACCTTGGTGACCCGGTACGAGATTGATCATCGATTCTTGCACCGTCATTTGGACTTCTTACCGACCGGTCGGAGGGATTGGTATCTTGCACCCAGTATCCCATCCCGGTCGCAACAATTCATCCAGCTTGCAGTGCCATGCATTGTGTTCACAGGCAACGAGGGTCGTTTTGTCCGCGCCACCGACCTCCAAGAGGCCCGATTTGCGTGCGCTGAGCTTCTTCGGCAGAGATCAAAGAGCTTCTTTGCCGGAGCAGACACCCCCGCGGGCCTAACGATCGTGCGAGAGGTCAACATACATAGTGGGGAGGCGATGGTCGTGGAGCATGCGATCACCATCTGTGTGCTGACCGGAGGCGAAGCAGTGAAGGGTAAGAGACTGACTGCGAAGCATGCACATGTAGACTAAAGCTTACACTGGACTCACAGTGATCGTATGGAGCGATGCAGCAAACGATTCCGTATCCAGCTACGTGCCAATCCCCGATGGTGGCGCGTTTCAGAACCTTGCCTGTGCGCTGGAGTGCTGCCCGGTTTTTTTCGAAAAGCATCTCAACACCACAAGGGGGTCCAAACGAACAACATCCGGCTGTCCGGGTAGCGTACAAGCCTTGTCCGTCCTAGCCAGGGACTATGGACACACTCTAGACTGGAGCACTTTGCAGCAGGACCCAGTCCTTGTGCTCGATGAGCTATTCACCTTCCAATCCGCCGCGGCCATGCAGTACCTGAACATGTTGCGAAAGGACATTACCCAGGCTATGCACCGCACGCAAACACGAAACGTGGAGTTCTTGAACATGGAAGATATTTCTAATTTTGAATACACCAAGAACGTCCTCGTCCGATGGGCCTCGCACTTCCGCAGCCTCAGCCAAGCCTTGGATCCTGAATCGCCTGGAAACCCTATCGCTCCACTACCACATCAGATCGCGCGCGGAACTATGCTGACCCTGAAAAGACGCGATCTGGAGTTTCTGGTCACGGAGGCCCAACTCCTGATTGAGCTATGCGACAGTGGCAAAGTGACGATCATGAGCAATTTTTCCATTGCCGAATCCAAACGCACGGCGGAAGAATCGCGACTGGTCGGGGAGCTTACCAAATTGACCAACAGACTGACCTTTATCTTCTTACCGATTTCTTTTGTAACATCCGTGTTTGGCATGAACTTCAAGCAGTTTGGTCAGGGGCCCCTGGACATCTGGATCTGGGTGGCCGTCACGGTGCCGTTACTGGTTGTTTGTGTGATTCTCGTCGAGTGGAGGATTTCAGTTCGAGCATTAGTCGAAAAGGGATTGGCCAGGATGCGACATGCTGGTTCTTAACCCGATCAACGACAATAAACGACGAGCAATAGACTTCAGAGGACCCTGTCTCAGACTAGCGTGGTTTCATGCTCATCAATGTGCAATTCTCCTCATGACCATGAGGGATGTGAGGGTGGCGCCGGAGCCAGCCCCAAGGTCGTGTCCACAAAGCTCATGAAGTTCATTGGCTTCATCAGTCCAGCAGACATCTCAAATTACTGAATCCGTATCTGGGAGGGAAAAGCTCGAACTGGATTGAGATGACAAAGGATTACTCTGAAGATGATGTGAAAACCTGCGTTCGCCCCTGAAGGCGACCCGCGGATAGGGCTGCGGCCCGTCGAGGGAGCACAGACGAATTGCAGAGGCTGAGTTTTCCCAATGAGACAATATGATACTGCTTCAAAGTTATCTGAAAAATTGAAAACAACGAAGCAGACTCGACCTATACTCCGTAGGTGGCGGGAAATCTGGAGGGTTGCTTTCCCAAATCCGACCGCTTCAAACACCACTTTTTGAGACCCTGCTTTAGCTTCCCCGGAATTTCAGCCAGTCCCTGTCGATCATTTCTCGAAATTGAGATCATTGCACATCATCATGTCCGGGAGCTCAAGTTAGCAGATTCTCATGAACCATACTACCATGAACTTAGGCTTTGTTTATTTAGCGTTTCATCATCTCATCGAGGGTAGGACGAAAGAACTATAAATGCGCTCCAACGCCCTCAAGATCAACCCTCTCTATCCACAGCAACTCAACATTCATTCTCATCCTCATCTCTCTTCAACTCCAATCACATCATCTCAATTTCCACCACATCAACCAAGATGAAGGTCTCTATTCTCTCTGCCCTCACTCTCGGCCTCGCCGCCGGTACTCTGGCCGCTCCCACCAAGGTGGAGCGCGACCTCCCCACCGTCACCGGCGTCCTCTCGAGCATCGGCACCAAGGTCGACGCCCTGGGATCTGCCATCCAAGCCTATAGCGGGGGTGACGTGAGCAAGGTCCAGCAAGCCTCCGACAACCTGGTCAGCGCGATCAACAGCGGCAACAGCCAGGTCAGCGGCACCTCCGCCCTCAGCGCGACCGACGCCCTCGGTCTTCCGGGCCCCGTCGACGACCTCAAGAAGAAGATTTCGACCGTGATCAGCGCGCTGGACGACAAGAAGACCTTGATTGTCAGCGCGGGCGAGGGCGCACAGACCTACACCGACTTGACGGATCAGCAGGCGGCCGCCAAGAAGTTATCCGACACGATTGTCTCCAAGGTGCCGGAGTCGCTGCAGAGCCTGGCTGGCACCGTGGCCGGCGGCATCTCGGATGCGATTGAGGTCGGCGTGAAGGACTGGTCGGATCAGGCCTCCAAGGGTGACGCCCAGCGTCAGACTAGCCCTGCTGTGGAGACTGCTACCCCTGCTGCGCCCACCGCTACTCCTGCTGCGGCTTCGGATGCCAGTCCTGCTGCTGCTCCTGCTGCTGCTTCCGATGCCAGTTCTGCTGCTGCTCCTGCTGCTGCTTCCGATGCCAGTTCTGCTGCTGCTCCTGCTGCTGCTTCTAATCCGGCCCCGTCCGCTGCTCCGGAAGCTGCCCCCGTTACGGGACGATGCGTTGCTCATTATTAGTCCGCTGCTCAGTCGATATAATTCCCACGCGGGTCCTATCCAGAATAAGAACAGTGTGAAGTGAAGCGTTGCCTTGAATGTAAAGAAATTGTGCGATAGTCCATTGAATGAATCTTAATTGAACGTTTTTGATGCTCCCAGAATGGCAACGTAGCCCTGAAAGTTGCCCAGAATTCACATAGCCGAGTGATTTACGCCGCAATCCATGACAGCAGCCCCTCCGGATGTAATTTGGCTGATTGTAGATTTTATTAAATATGCACTTGGCTCAAGTAACCTGATTACTCGCAGGCCTGAATACAGTACAGATTTCCCTAAGCACCAACACTCGAGTCTATTCATGTTGGGGCCCAACAGCGGGCGGACGCGCTCCTCAAAAACACTGCGCTCCTCGCCCGCCAGCAACCCCACCAACTGGCCCTGCTCCGCGGGGATCTTGCTCCCGCTCACTGGCATCTCGACGTAGTGGGCTCCGGCGGCAATCACCTCGTCTGCCAGGGTCTAGCTGGTCGCGACGGACACCGAGCTTGTGTTCACGATGACTTTCCTCTTGTGCGAGTCCGGTTGCGTGTCACTGTGGTAGTGGTGGTGGTTGTTGGGGGTGGCGCCGCGTAGGGCCTCCTGGACCGCCCGGGCACAGAGAACCGTCGTCAGGGCCTCGTCGTTGAAGCGATACGAATGATGGAGGCACCGACTTCCTCCAGGGCGGCGTATTTGCCCGCGCTGCGGTTCCAGACGGTCAGTGGGAAGGGGCGCGCCAGGTTGCGCGCCATGGGTGTCCCCATCACCCCCGAGGCCGATGAAGCCAATTCTCTGCATTGTTGTGTTCCGGAAAGCAGGATGGGGGTGGCGGTGACTGTGGGGGTGACTGCGCGATGGGGTCATGAAACTGGGGGGGTTCTTCCCAGTGATAATGAATGTAAATAGGTTAAAGTCAAGTTCGTCTGCTGGAGATATGCTGAGAAATCACATCTGGTGGTGAAGACCGAGGATTGCCGCTGTTGACTACAGGGCGTAGGGCATGGGACGAAATCCTTTCACGAGACACCACCCCGACGCTGAACGATGAAACGTCCCCGCCAACCGTACTACAAGACTACTTAACTGAAGGGGAGACGAAAGACAAATCATGATATCAAAGCGGAAGGCTATTGAGCAGGTCTTGTCTAGATTATATGTTCCAGGTTCGCCATTTTGTTTTTTGAAGAGGAGTCAATGTTGTTTTGGCGGTTGAAGTAGGTAGCTTGGCTTCGTTTGACAAAGCTCCATGGTATATTACGGGAACAATTTTCAATATCAAGATTAGCGCATGTCTGTAGAGTACAATTCTAGTTTTGAAATGGTTATATTTTTCATTTACTATTATTAAGTACCAATATACAACCATAGTACATAAAAAATAGGCTCCCTTTCTACTCATTTTAAGATTGTCTAGTTACTCCTTGTGAATAAGTAACACTGACATATAGAGTAGTATAGATAAGTTAGATAAAATAATTCAATATATAGATAATTAGAATAAAATAAGTAAGTCATCATAGATAATTCTCATGTATACTCCTATAGTTGTTTCTTTGCTACACCCGAAGAACTATTTTCTTTTTTTTTTTTTTTTTTTTTTTTTTTTTTTTTTTTTTGAGTGTCTCTGGGTTTGTTCGAGCCCAAAGTCTTCACTTTCTCAAACAGCATCCTGAAACCTCCATTGCCCCTCGATTTCGCGCCAAACTATAGATGCATTTCCCGCAAATCATTCTCCAGGTCACTGGCACGGGTGACACCGGCGGTTGTTTGATGGTGTTGGCCACCAACAGCCGCGCCGCACTCCGGACACCGAGACAGCTGCATCGCACCTCCGCACTCCCCGATCGTGAAGGGATGCCCGTTTTCGCAATAGTACCAGTGGCCAGTGCCCCGGAACTCCTTTGCCATGGCAGCCAACACTGCCATGCGCTCCTCGTTCGTCACTGGGGCATAGAACGTCGAGCCGCGAAGCATTGCCCTTGTGCCTTCAATTTCTTCTAGCAAGCCGCGGGTCTGCCCAGCGTGGAGCTGGCAGAGCCTCTCGGCCTCGTCAATCGCTGCCGTACCCTCTTGCCGGAGATCTTCTGCTGCTCCGCCTGGATCAGCCAAGGTCTGCAGCTCGAGTGCACAGAACTGGGCCCGGAAGAGGTTCCCCTCCACCTGCTGCAAGATACGCGAGGAAGCCGCTGCGTTGGCGATAAGGTGATCACTCTCTTTCCTGTACCCCGCCAAGTTGACAGACAGGCCAGCATGTCGTCCCTGTTTGCATAAGGAGAGAAAGTCCGCAAGGAGGGCTGCGTCGAGGCGCAGCAAGAGGGCTGCTGCTTGGAGGTAGCCCTTCGTCTGCAGCACATTGGCGTCAAAGTCGAATTGCCCGGGGCTCTTTTTGCGTCGACGTGCATCTTCGACCATGTTGCGGACCCTGACGAACGGCTGCTCCTGCAGGTGCACCCGACTTTTATAGTTATTGATCTTGTCCCGCAGAGCGATGAGCTCCTTCCACCGTTCCTTGTCATACTTGGCCACATGTTTTCTCATCAATGTCGCCTGATGCTCCGGAGGGCCCTCGAGTCGAATCTGGATATCAGCGCAGAAGACTTGTTTTGCGGTTCCTTTCGCCGGCGCTCGTGACTCATAGCCTTGCAACCTCGATATGCACCCCGGCAGGCTCTGCGCCATGGGAACATAGTCCTGGTTCAAATACAGTATGAATTTCTTTGTCGCCTCATCCAACAATGCTCGTCTCACCAGTCTGCCGTAACGGGCCACCTGGCGCAATGAACCCCGACAGATCGCGCATGTGCGGATATCGTCAATTGAGAACGGCTGGGAAGACGAAGCAAGCGCAACGGGTCGCCCATTGTCGTCCACAATATAGTGCTTCTTGATATCCATCTGCGCATCCATGCTTTCGATGGTCAAAAAATGCCCACACGGAGGGAAGATGCAAGGGTTTGCGGCCAAATCGATTTCACTGTATTGCTCTCCCATGATAAAGTCCACCGTGGTCTCTTTGATGCGGTCCGATCCACACGTCTGGCAAAAGTCGCTCGGAGGGCATGGTTCCCCGCAGACAGACGGGCACTGGTGGCCACACGAGAGAACTTTCTCGCAGCGCAGAGAACATGGAATATGATCGCAGGGCGCGGCGCAGGGCATCGAGCATGAGCTATGCGGACATGACGACAGGCATTCGGAAACCGCACATGGAGCACACGGTTCCGAGCATTTGCACGGACATCGGGAATGGCCGCACTGGACATCGCAAGGCGACGTGCATGGCGGACAGGGAGTCTCCCCATGACATTCAGCAGTACAAGCATGCGCGCACGTGGAATATAGGCGTCCGCAGATCTGCGTGCATTTGTCATGGTCAAACTTGGGTTCCTCGGCGGTGCGATTCAGACACAAGAGACACTGCCGTTTGCAGTAATGGCCACATGGCAACACTTTCCGACATTGGTGCCTGCATTGATAGTCCGCGCTAGAAATGTCGATGTGGCATGCTAATCGGGTGGTGTGATGGCAGTGGGGAATCTCGCGGTCAACCAAGGCTGGACATTTCACTAGGCTCAGATCTTGCGCTTGCCAACAAGGGAGATTCGTCATTAGATGTCCGCATGGGAGACGGCGATGTGGGTCGGAAATGTTTACGGTGCATTTCTTAGGGCAGGGGTCTCCGCAAGGCTTCGGGCAAGGATGCGCGCACCCTTCCTGCGGACGCTTGCACTGATCCGGGCAATAAACCGCGGCGTGGAGGACCTCTGAATGGCATTTTTGCTTGCACGGATGGCCGCACTGAAGACGTTTGCCACACTGCAGACTGCAGCCTCCCTCGGGTGAATATTGGACAAAATGCTCCGGTTCTGAAACGGCAATAGGAGTGTCTGGGTGTCGGGGGCATATCAGGTCCAGCGTATTCCCAATATTGCCATCCCTCTCCAGCATGCCAATCACCTTCGCCCACATGGTCACCCCCCTGGAAGTTGCCGAATTGCCAATGATATACATGCCGTGTTTAGCACGGGAGAGAAGCACGTTGATTCGGTTTGGTGTACGGAGGAAACCGCATCGATTCTGGTTGTTGCTTCGGACCAGAGAAATCACCACCACTTTCGCTTCCTCGCCCTGGAAATTGTCAATTGTGGCAACCCTCAGAGCATGAAGCAGCGTTGATCGGGCAACGGTTGTCGTATCCGAAGAGGCTGCCTCTCCCTCACCTCCGATGAAGCCAGCGTTGTCCAGGTCGTCCTGGTCTCGCTCACCCACCGTGATAGTGAAGGACTGGCTGAGCTTCCGACGCATCCGATGCAGCTGGCCAAGGTACGGAGTGAGAACCGCAATATCACCACTTTGGTACGTTCCCTGCCGAAGAAGGTGATTTACCAATGCAACTGTCAGTTGAATCTCGTGGTCGTTCCAATGAGATGTTGCCAGCGCGTCTTCACCAGAGGCATGGCCTTCTGGGATGCGGTGATCAAGCCAGAAAAGCCGCTTGCGGACTCCTACAACCTCCGGATATGTCGACACGGATGGCGCATCTTGCAGGCGTGGATACAGCGTGTCGCGGATGAGTTGGGAAATCGATGGATGCATCCTCCGCTGCGTTTCCAAGGTGCAAAACGGGATCTGGACGCCGACCGCATCATCTGGATCCACTAGGCGCTCAAAGAGTGACCTATCCAACGCGTATTGGGCGCCCGCTGTGCTCTCTCGGGATAGATCGTAGTTTTGTATCTGGGGGCGGAGCTGTTGATGGTCGCCGATGAGTATTATCTGTTCGAGAGACGGCAGGAGCGAGGTGAGCAAGTGCGCTTCCAACATCTCCCCAGCTTCTTCGCATACAAGCACCTTCGATCGCAGTCTACGGAGCATCTTGAGGTTTCGAGCCAGGCCGGTTGAAGTCACTCCAATCACGTCTGCGGCTCGGAGACATCGTAAGTCGATCTCGTCTCGGATTCTGTCCCAGGAAGCTTTGGTCTCTAGATGATCATGCAAGGCTGCTTGCACCCGCAGATGGGTTTTCTGTCTGTAGTCATTGCTCCAGTGAGCGTGGAGAGCTCTGCGTTCCGCCGCCGTCATTGCATCGACGTGAACCTTGGCGAGCTCCGGAATGGCGGTGGGCTGCGCTTTGCTATGCGTGCCAGCCTTTAGCCACGACTGGATAGTGCGAGCGGGCTTCCCCCTTGTCTGCCTCTGGAAACCATCTGCGTCCTCGGCAAATAGTTGGGCATAATGGTATGGTTGGTGCTGTTTGAGGTACGACTTCAAACCATGATCTAAGCCAATCGCGTTCAACCCGAGCTTGCGGAATTCATCTTCATGATCGTCAAGCGCCGTATGTAGATGCCATTGCTCCTTTTTCTCCATGCGTGTTTTTTCGACGCCACGGACCACATTACGAAGATTCAGTGGTTGCAGGCGCTCGGATTTGGATTGCGAGCCGATTCTGATGATCTGCGAAGTGATTCCGTTATCGAGCAGGTCCTCCAGGAGCTGGTCAAGGGCGTGATTGGTGTAGCACACGCATATAATCGGTCCAAGCCGCGTTTTGACTTTCGCTTTGTTGGCCAACAGTACCTTTATCAATGCGACGCCCGTGAAGCTCTTGCCAGTCCCCGGCGGGCCTTGAATCAGTCCAATCTTACGCTGAAGAGTGCTAGCCAGCGCCAAAGCCTGGGCATCATCGAGTGTGGAGCCCTCTTGAAGCTTTTTGAGGTCAAATGACCGAGAGCTGTGCAGCTGCAGGCTGGAATGGTCCTTCATGAGACATTTCAGGTCGAAGCTGAAGTTTTGCGAGGCCGCATAGACAGGCGGGGGCACCTCAGTCAAGATTGACAAGGTGCTCCTATCCTGGGGCGCGAGGAACTCCGCCATGGGGACATCGCCAGCTTTTTGCATCTTCTGCAGAGCAAGAAGCGTGGGCTGGAATGACGGCAAAAGAATACCGGGGAACTCCACGAGCGAAATAGAGGACGGATTCTGCCGCGACGCATGGCAGTCGAGGATGTACTGCCAGCTGCTCTCGCCAGACTCAACCAACTTCAAAAGCACAGACGCCACATGAGGATTATCTGAGAATGAACCAGCCAGCCTCTCCTGCTGCTTCTGCGAGACATCGGATCTCAGCCTTGGACGATCAGGGGCAGCGACCGTGCAAAATATGGCAGCCCCACGGGAATCAATGAGACACACCAGTGCATCTGGTTGTAACCGTTTCGACAGCTGCCACCATTCCTGTAATCTCTTCTTCGCTGCCCCGCGGACATTTGGCGGCTGAGAAAAGTGCACGAGGAACTGTAATCCATCGAACCGATGAAAGTCCAACGCTTGCACCACGACCTGTCTGTAGACGTGCGTCCTGGTTGCGCCTTTCTGGCGCGACCGTTGCCTGCCATCGTCCGGTTGCATCTCTGCATGTATTGCGTCTCTGAGCTGGCCGACCGTATCTTCGCGCAATAGTCGGAAATTCCTGTCCAAGAGTCCGGCGAGTCCACCTAAATGCCACTGGCGCGGATCCTTGAGAGGGAGATACTCAGAGCGCGGAGACAAAATCTCCTGGAAAGTCGGCATGACTTTGATCTTGCAAATATCGGCGTCGTCATTGTCGTGGCGTCCGCCAGGCGGGTCTCTCTGCGTCACAAATGCCACGGGCTGATGATCAACATGTTGCTTCGCGGTCTTTGTTACGGCTGGCAGAGAAAGCCCGATATCAAGCCGATGCTGCAGCTTGTCCAGGTAATCCCGCGACTGATGAATGGCGTCCGAGCCGTCCAAGGCCTGAAGAATGAGAAACAGGTCTGCGAATCGTTGAGCCACGATCTTCAAAGGTTCTTGAACGAATGCCGTCGAGTTCAGCTCGACTATCTTCCAGAAAACGAGGAGAGACTGCTCGAGGTATGCGGTTGCTGCTCTGCCCTCAACCTCAATCTCCTGCCGTATAGCGCCCGCCAGAAACCCCAGAAAAGGTTCGCCCCGACGCCCACCAACCCCGTAGAGACAATTGTATATAGTGCCCACGGCCTGCTCCATCACCAGAGAGGCGAGGACGTTGGGATGCGTGATGATCTCCATGAAGGGCAGCATCTGCTTGACAAATAGATCACGTTTCGCAGATGGCGGGATAGCATCGAAGTCACGCTGCACCAGTTCCTGAATTCGTCTCAGCCCGCTCTCTTTGGAGAGGCATTGAATCACCTCCTGGAGTGTGCTTTCGTCGACCTCGATGAGCTCTCTGGCCTTGGCGAACATGGGACCCAGCTGGCCGCCCAGTGGGCGATTATGTTGATGACTGCCGACTTGTCGCTTCCAGATCGCTAGCTCATTGAGATCATCACGACTATGAGTTCGATGGTTGGTGCTCTTGGTCGAATCCCGGGCCTTGTTCTCGTTTCGCCGGACATGGGCGTATTTGCAGGGGTGGAAGCGACAAGATCCACGCTTCGCGAACTCATGGCAGATTTTCACGCTGTTGCTGGCGCTACCGACCATCTTACTTCAGTTTGGAATAATATGCGTCTTTGGTATTGACGATTATGTCACGATATGTTGAGACGAATGAACAAGAATACTAGATACAAAAGGAATTAGTGGGAGGGATCGGACTGGCAATTATAAGCAAGACCCTCGTACGATCAATGCGAGATTGTCCGCCTTGTTGCGCAGTCAATCCCCGAGATCATGACATGATAAGGCACCTTGAGGCTTGGGTAGCAAAATCCTTCCTTTCCAATCATTTACGCGCTGGTGTGGCTGTGAAGCTCCATGATTGGATTATGATGGTTCGCAAGGTTGCTGGGATGGTTGGGTGGCACAGTGTATTTGCAGCTACCGCAGTGACTCTTGCGCCGGAAGACCTTTGCGGCCACTCGGCAAAAAGAAAATCTACCAGCAAAATCACGTAGTTATGGGAGAAATAATTATACAATTAACAGACTTTTTGTAGGAGAAAGGACTAGGGGTTGGCTGAACGAGTCTGCGGGCGGGAAGGCCACAACCCTGGGAGGGGTAGGGTCTGTTTTCTTGCTCTGGGTATATCCACCCTCAGAAGTGATACAACGCGAATGAAGAGAGTATCTACCCTCTCAAGTTGCTATTAAATTCCAGTGGAAATCAGCAATAGGAGAAACTGGGATGCGAACAGCTGCCCGCGATGAACGTTTGTGAGACCCGGGGCGTATCAGCCATGAAAATCTGTGCTGATGGGTCCAGCAGATGGTCGACGATGTGTAGTACGCCCTGTATTGAGTGGCGGCTGAGATTTGAGTATCGCTCAAGTCTAGCAGTCTGGGGAGAAGGGTTCGTACACTGGTAACTGGAAGATCTGATTCGACCACTTTGGCCACTTGTTTGAGAACAACGGTTCCATCCACTACCTGAGAGCCCACGTAGAGATACATCGCGGTCTAGCCTTGATCTTAGCTTACGGTGAATTGTGGAAGGACTGCCCTATTTCACCTGAAATTGCTGCAACGTCTCATTGAAACTGGACGATGTGAGCTCAGAGTTCGGCACGTAGTGGTGTAGGATAGTGTTTCCCAACCACCACTTCCCTTTCCTACTCAATATCAGCACGGCAGTCCCCCTTTCAGAAGCTCAAATTGAACATACGGGGTTGCTGCGAAAGTGTCATAGTACGTGCAAGTGTTCTCAAATGCATCGTTGTTCGGTGCAAAAAAAGTGAATTTCCAGGCGGGGTCCGTGTCGAACGCTTGAGTAAATCCTCCAACTTCCCCGATCACACCAGCCAGAGTACTCAGGTCCGATCGCGATCTGACAAAATCCAGTGCCATCGTCACGTTGAAAACCCAGGCGTCACCTATCCGATGATGTTTCGGTAGCTTAGCGGGTCTGCCGTGGCTATGCTTAGACTGCTCAGTCACAGAATTGCCATCAAAGCAGAGATTGGCGATCTCATATTAGGAAAATTGGGGCGTTCAAAGTGTTCGGTCAAGGGCGAAGATATTCAGAGAGACGCATTTACCATTACAAACCCTCGACGGAGGTGGAGATGAATAAGTATACACCCCTACAGCAGGGGATTCCCGAGGTTCCGCGGATGTTTTTGCATCAATTAGACCGCGAGAATTTTCGGAGCGTCTCCGCAGTGCAATCAGAAATATTATACTGGCAACGGCGGAGAGCCCGGGCAATGTCCGGGAATTGCGCGCTTAGCCAGCATTGGATACGAAAAGCGAAGCTCTCAAAGTTGCGATACATATATTTGTCCTCGGCGCTGCTTTCCTGATTGATTTTGGCGATAACTTACACTCCCCCGCATCTTCATGGGTCTCAAAGCACGGCTCCCTTAACTCTTCTTGCTCGCAGGGGCGATTCTCCTCTTTGCCCACGTCGTGTTGGGAGACAAAATTTTGGCGCAAAAACCGTAGATGGGCTGGAACTCATGAAATGTATTCAGAGCGACAGTCATTTACACTATTGTTCAGGAGGTAATACAGCTCTCTGATTCGCTCGGACTCAAAGACGCGGGCTATGAATACATACTCTTCGACGACGGGTGGTCAAGCTTCGATCGAACTGCTGATGCACCTTTTGTGAATGCCATGGAGAAATGGCTGATCAACTATTGACCGGTTGAGGGGGTATATGTAGGTCAAGCGACGAGAAGAAGAAGCTCTACTAGTGACGACTAGTGAACCACTTTGCAGCCATAGCCGTGCCGGGCAATCTTTCGGTCCGGGAGGGCCTCCGGCCATTCCCCCGCCGATCTACGGCTTGTCGCTGGCTTTATTGGTGCAATTTAGGGCTCCAGACCAGCAGAGCACCCCAATGCCAGCAATGGCAATAGCATGACAACCTTGAAAAAGTACGTGCGGGGAAGAGATGCATGCCATGCCCTGTGGGGTAATATGCTCTGCGCTTTTTTACATGAGTGGTCCTTGACGTTGCATGACTATGTTTGGCTCTCGTGACCTGAAGGCGCTTGCTGGGTTCCGCTTTCATGTCACCGGGGCTATACCCCGGCTCATCCTGCCTCAGAAATTGACAGAGCACAGTCTTTGGGAAGAACCATGTAATTGTTCCCCGAGTGCTACCTGTAATTGAACCCAACACGTTCCCACAACTACTGACCCGATGCCCCTCGAGTCCCATCCCGCAACCCGGGAAACAACTCAATTGTGGTAGATCCAGGTCAAGGAGGTTTTCGTGTCAAGGAGTGATGAGTCTGGCACAAAGCGAATGGTCCTCACCACACCTCCGATATAACAGTTCAAGAATTTCTCGCCTACTAGGACCTCCGTTGCAGCTGCATCAGTATACAATATTGTCTTCGGGCGACAGGCTGGGCATTAGTCCGCCATGGCAGTTCTTCGGCCCAGATGGAATGAAGTTTAGCGTCGGGCGAATGTCCGGAGTGACTCCGTCAGGGCTTGCTTCATTCCCGCCAATTCCTCCCAGCCTCTCTACCGAATTGCCTTATGGCCACAGAACATCTCATCGATTTGGCGCTCAGATTCAATCCCTGGGTAGTTTCCAATTGCTCCGCTCATGCTGAAACAACTCTATTACCTTGGTCCCACAAACCCACTCTCCCCGGGGCCACACCATGGCGCTTAAGGTCTCCGGTACAGACACAACAGCAGTTGACCACCTCGAATCAATCGAGAAAATAGATCCCTATGCAGCTGCTCCAGGTATCGAAATAGATGCAGCGGCCGATAAGCGACAATTTTGGATGATCACTCGCCGTATTCTGGTCATCCAGATTGTCACCTATTTCTTCCAGTCCCTCGACAAAGGCATTCTCAACTATGCCTCCATCATGGGTATCAAGGACGATGCACACCTGGTCGGACAGTAGGTACCCTTGTCCCTGTATTGCGCTTCTCTGAGATGAGAAATGTGTCACTGACTGTTGATTGCCTAACTGTAGTACTCGTTACTGGGAACCATTCTGTACGTCGGAATTCTGGTGGGCGAATACCCCCAGAACCTGCTGCTACAGAAGTTCCCAGTCGCAAAGACGCTCTCCATCAATGTGTTTATCTGGGGCGCGGTCGTGGCATGTTCGGCCGCATCGACACGGTTCGGATCCCTGATGGCGGTGCGGTTCTTGTTGGGGTTTCCGAGAGCTGTATTCAGCCCGCAATGATGCTCATGTTCGTGCTTCCATCTTGCTGACCCCCCCTTGAAGTACAGCCATGTGGTATAAGCGAGAAGGGCAATCATTGTTGAATTCGATCTGGTAGTGCATGACCGGAGTGCAATTAATGGTATTGACCCCCTCCTGATGCATTGAGCCCTACATCCTCAGGAACCCCTCACAATCAGATCGGTGGTCTTCTCGCTTATGGCACATCCCATTACGTCAGTGGGGTGATCAAAAATTGGCAATTGCTCTTTTTGGCCCTCAGATGCGCGACATGCGTCTGGTCATTCTTCATAGGGGGTTTCCAGCCAGACAGCCCTCTCTCCGCCAAAGTGCTACAGCGAAGAGGACAAACGATTGATGGTCGAGCGCGTACGGCACAACGAGACGGGGATCGAGAATCGGACATTCAAAAAGTACCAAGCTTTGGAAAAGATCCAGGATCCCGTGGTCTGGTGCTGTGTGATGCTTATCCTCGTTGCCAACCTGATCATTGGTGGCCTAGGGGTACTCTTCAACCTGATCATTGGAGAGTTTGGTTTCTCGCTGCTGCAGACTCAGCTTCTGAATATTGCCCAGGGCTCCTGGACTATCATCGTCATGGTGGGGTCCGCGTGGTACTCGCAACGCTTCCAACAGACATGTTTGATAATGATTGTACGTCTCACAACCCGACCCTGCACATTGGCTCCCTTCTCTCTCGCATAAGCCATCCACAGACTAATCCAGCAATTTAGCTCTGGTCTATCCCCGCCATCGTGGGAACCATCGTCATCCTCGTCGTCACCCCGACGGCTTCAAACGCCGGTGGCATGCTCATCGCCTTCTACTGCACGCAGTTCTTCCTCGCCGAGGGCAATATGATCATCTCTCTGGTCACCCGAAACACCGCCGGCCAGACCAAGAAAAGTCTCACGATGACGCTCCTGTTCATCGGCTGGGCCGTCGGGAACTTAATCGCGCCGCAGATCTTCCAGCATCCGATGCTCCGCGATACCTGCACGGGTTTCTGGCACATATTGTGGTCTACGCTGTTTTCATCGCCTTGACGCTGCTGACACGGTTGATTCTGACGCGTCGTAACAGATCCGAAGAGCAGGAGGGTGGCCATGTTTCCCACGAGTTGGCGCTCCAGGACCTTACTGATCGAGAGAACCCGAACTTTCGATATGTCTATTAGCTTGCTCTCGTTTTTTGCAGGGTTACTTTATGACGAATGGAGAACAGACTTCGAGGATATGCCTCCCCACAGTGTACATTTTTAGATAGCAGCTGTCAATGTCGTTCTCATTAGCATTTACTTTCATCTTCCCATTTCTATGTTTTGGTGCTATTTCGCGCAGTCCGAGTATCGATGGCAGGATTGTAGCCTGAGGTGTGCATTCCACATGTCGGAAGCGAGGACCGGCGTCCGTGCGCTGGCCACCAACAAAATTGTTAGGGCTGCGTGTCTTTACCATTGCGAGATCCTGTGACTGACAAGTCAAACCAGGAGCGGCGATTATTCTGGCTTCTGGTCCTGTGTTCGCAGATATTGCTGCGTATCGCCAATAAGACGCAGCACTCTCTGCTTCGACAACGTCACCTGGTATGGAACAGGCAATGAAAGGAGTGGCTGGGTAAGAGATGGTGGACTCGGGCGCTTTTCTGTTGGTTCAGAGGACGAAAGGACATGATTACTCTTCGACGAGACCGCTCAGAGCTTTAGTATATTCTCAATCAGACGATCAGTTTCTCTGTTCAATCAAAGGTATTTCGTCAGCTGTGTGCCAAAGCCAGCGCGGCTGCCGAGCATTGGGAATAGGACACGCGCCAATGGTCAAGGTTGAGATCAGTAAAGTCTTTACAAATAATACCCAAGCGCAATCGGGACTGAAGGGCGCAGTTGCCGTGACCTGCAGCTACGGATCAGCTCATAGTATTGCACAAAATCAATGTATACTCGGTCACTTCCCGGCGGATTTAACAATTACAGGATCGATTATCGGGCAGATGTATCACATACCAAGCTTGGGGATCTTGGATTGCTTATCTCTATCGGAGCGAATATTTGGCTGGGTGGCGGAGCGGGCGGGGGGCCCCATCATTTTTGTCTGGTTATATTGAAGTATATAATACATAACATTGCGGGATTTCCGGGTAGTCCCGTGGGCCCAGATACAAGCCAAAATCAAAGGTGGATATAGTTTCCGTCTTACCCGTCCAAAACTATGCGTGCACAAGATGATATCTCGGTGCCGCAACGATGCAATCTCCATTATCTGTTGGTTCTGCGTCGATCATTGAGACATACACGCATGAGCACTATCGGAGCATCTACGGAGTCGACTTCGCACTAAAGAGCCCGGGTGAATGGCAGCACAATACATGCTCTGTGCACCCAATCGGCTGCATAATCAGCGGCCACACATATCCGATATGCATCCGAATCTTGCATAAGGAAATAATGCAAGGCGAGTCAGCGCTCCACATAGGCGGTCGCAATGGTCTCGAGGATCTGTGGCCTGTCAAATGATCCTGCAACTGCCGTCAATCAACATGGCACTTTAGCCTCGCCGATCTGCATGTTTGACGTTGTCGTTAGTCCTGTGCAATGTATCAAAACGGTCCAGTGTGAGGACATGGGTTTACTCACCAGGCCGGCTAAACGGAATTCATTTGGAAGGTGTAGAGGGTATATAAGTATGTTCAAATAGCAAGTGACCGCTGAGTTTTCGATCTAGTATTCTTCGCCCATTATCCAATTCAAATGTTCAGCTTTCAGGGCCTTCCAGGGCTTCAAAGTCCCTCGAGCATCGGTTGGGTTTTGCTGGGAGGAACCTTGGGAACGGTGAGTGCACATCGTACGGGTCATATGAAACCAAGTCAAGCTAACCCATGGTTTTGCTTCCCAAAGCTTCTGCTCTACACAGTGGCTCTTGTCCTGTACAATGTCTACTTCCACCCATTGGCCAGATATCCCGGGCCGACTTCAATGGCAGCCACGCGCATACCCTATATGCGACTGACCATAGAGGGCCGGTTTCCGCAGACCATAAAAAAGCTGCATCAGCAATATGGCAACGTTGTTCGTATTGCTCCCAATGAGCTTTCGTTCACGGACGGGGAGGCCTGGAAGGCCATCTATGGGACTCGGCCGGGGCATGGCCAGAAGGAAAAAGATTACCGATTCTACTCACCTACCGCTGGAGGAGCCCCGAGTATCATTGTCTCTAACGATACTGACCACTCTCGCTTCCGCCGCTTGATGGCGCATGGATTCTCCGATAGCTCACTGCGCGGCCAAGAGCCCATCATCAAAGCATATGTTGATCTCCTGATGCAGCGGTTGCGCGAGAAGTCGGAAGAAGGTGTGGCCGTTGACTTAGTTAACTGGTATAATTTCACCACCTTTGACATTATTGGCGATCTGGCCTTTGGAGAGCCCTTCGACTGCCTCAAGAACTCCAACTACCACCGATGGGTGTCGATTATCATGGGCCATGTCAAAACATCCGCATATGCAAATGTGGCTCGTCGCCTCCCTGGGTCCCTGGCTCTTATGAAACTGATCACGCCAAAGCACATCATTGCCGAAAGAAATACACATGTCGCAATGACGACGGAGAAAGTTCATGCCCGGCTAAGCAAGACCAATGACAGACCGGATTTCTTTGGCAACATCTTGAAACACGAGAATACTGAGAAAGGATTCAGCTTTCGGGAGCTAGTAAGCAACGGAAGCACCATTATCATTGCAGGCTCTGAAACAACCGCGACATTACTCTCTGGGGTGACCTACTTGCTACTGAAAACCCCGCGTGTGCTTGCAAAACTCCAAGATGAAATCAGATCAACATTTACAGACGAGAGTGAGATCAATCTGGAATCCTGCAATAAACTCGAATACTGTCTTGCTGTCCTCACGGAGGCGCTGCGGGTGTATCCTCCCGTCGGACCCGGCCTCCCTCGGATTGTTGACGAACAGGGTGACATGATAGCTGGAAACTGGGTACCAGGAGGCGTAAGTACAGCCCAAGTGTCCTCTACACGAGCTTCAGTCAATAACAATATCCTCAGACCATTGTCTCCATCTCTCATCTGGCTGCAAGCCACTCTCCCGCCAATTTCACCGATCCCGAACAGTTCATTCCGGAACGTCATCTTGGAGATCCTCGCTTTGCGAATGATAACAAAACGGCAATGCAGCCCTTCAGTTTTGGTCCCAGAAACTGCATTGGACGCAAGTCAGTCCACACTCTTTTCCCTCCCTTTCCGACAGATCTAACTGGTTCTTTTTCGGTTTGTTTAGCCTAGCAAGTGTCGAGATGCGGCTTATCCTTGCCCGGATGGTCTTCGATTTCGATATGGAGCTCGAACAGCCGGATTCTGACTGGCTGAACCAGGAATGCTTTCTCTTATGGCAAAAACCGCCTTTGCCGGTCAGGCTGATTCCCAGAAGCATGAAGGTGTAGCGTGTCGGAGACACTTGATCAAGGTTAAGCCCATGGCCAGATGACTTGGATTTGACTATCGATGGCACCGACAATCTCGCTTGATCGCTCATAGAGACAGATGACCAGAAAGATTGGAGAAGCTCTGGTTCTACCCCAGTTCTAGTATTTTATTATTGTTCTGAGGACTCAATCTCAGCTTCACCACCAACTTCCTGTTTTGCATCGGCTAATACTTATGGCACAACTCTGAAAGCGTAGACGTCTAGATACTAAGTACTCAATGTTATTTGCTTATTGCTATACACCCGTTTTCTGCTCGGCCATCAGCACGATCTTCAATTAATGCACGTATTTGAGCTTCATTTTGGCATCCGTCAGGGCGGGAATATTTCCGAGTGATGTTTCGAAAATACCTGCATAAGATTTCCCCCTCCGGCTTTGTCGCTATTTCTCGCATTTTCTCTACGGACATGTCCAATCCTTTCTAGCTCATCATGTTCCGATGGTGAAATTGTCATGGCACGGGCCTATGACCCTTGAAGCCACAATTGTTGCCATCTAGTCCCGAATCGGGGGTAGTTTGCGAGTCCGAGCTCGGGGTTTGCGGGGATACTGCGCCCAAGCGGGGCATCTCGTGCGGGGATACCGTTTACAGGTCTCAGCGCCGAGCCACTTGTGCGGGAATTGCGGCATTTGTTCCTGCAGACGGTAAGCGGACCGGGCGATCCCATCCAACCTCCGATTCCTCCGACTTTGTTCCCTGATCCGTTGCATCAATACGCGTGGCCTGCGCGGAGTGAGACACGGCGATCGACCGCGCCCAGTTACTTACGGAGGGTGCGGTTTATTACCCAGTCCGTCGAGCTTGAACAATTTCACGAGGAGTTTGATAACCGATCATGCTGTTGAGATTTACTTCAAGGAGAGCGAAAAGGTTATCAATCACTGACATCATCTTTCGACCCGGTAGATTGATCCGTGAAGAATCAGAAATATAAAATATGGGGTCCTGCTGGACCTTTGTGAAGAACATGACGACATCAGTGACGGCAGTTTAATCGTCCATCCCTTCTTCGCTCCGTGGATGCATATCTGATTCGTCTTCGCAAGGCACCATGCTTTCTAGAGCTGCATTTCTAGTAACTTGCGGCAATGATCGTCATGCGACTACGCATGAAGCACTATTCCCAATCACGTCCACACGCATATTCCTGGTTTATCAGACCACCTCGGTAGTCGACGACGTCTAACGGGTGGTCTAAACTTCCCGTGCCTGCAGGCAATCTATCCAAGTCCCGTCTGGCAGGGATGCAGGATATAAATCTCGTCCTTTCTCCCGTTTGCCACCCTCTAACTCTTCACCCACCATCACCATCATCTCCTCCTTATCCAGTCTTTCCCTCTCAAGCGGAAAGACATGCCTTCCTTCGCCACCAAGGGTCTGGCCTCCCTGGCCCTGGGCGCCTCCCTGGTCCACGCCCAGCTCTGGGATGAAGTCATCCAGACCACCTACGGTCCGGTCCAGGGCTTCCAGTACTTCAACCAGTCGACGCTGGAGAAGTACTTCGGCGTCTCGGAGTCCAACGTGACCGCCTTCCTGGGCGTCCCCTTCGCCGCCGACACGGGCTACCAGAACCGCTGGAAGCCCCCGCAGCCACGCACCCCGTGGAACGAGACTCTGCACGCGACAGCCTTCGGCCCCGCGTGCCCCAGCAAGGACGCCACCACCATCAGCGAGGACTGCCTCAGCCTGAACCTGTGGACCAACGCGGGCAGCAGCAGTGACAAGCTGCCCGTCATGGTGTGGAACCAGGGCAGTGACGAGACCTCGGACGACGAGTGGTGGTACGGCGGCGGGATGGCGCTGAAGGACGTGATCCTGATCACCTTCAACCGGCGCGACGACGCGTTTGGGTATCTGGCGCACCCGGAGCTCAACGAGGAGGGCCTGCGGCTGACAGGCCACAACACCTCGGGCAATTACGGAGTGCTGGACCAGCTGGAGGTGCTGAAGTGGGTGCGCAGCAACATCGCCAACTTCGGGGGCGACCCCGATCGGGTCGTGGTGGCGGGCCAGTCGTTTGGCTCGTCGCAGGTCTACCACGCGGTCAACAGCCCCCTGTTCAGCGGTTACTTCCACGGGGGCATCTCCGAGTCCGGCATCCGCTATCCCTATGACCCGCTGCTGGCCGGGCTGGCCACCTCCTACGTGAACATGTCCGCCGCCCTCTTCCACGGCGTCAACTACACCACCTTCCACAATGCCTCCAGCATCGCGGAGATGCGCACTCTCTCCATGGAGGATCTCCTGGTGGGCTCGCAGGACCGCGTCAACAGCACCTGGATCGACCCCATCACCGCCCTCTCCGCCGGATACCCCTTGATCTTCAAGCCCGTGCTGGACGGCTACGTCCTGCCCTCGACCTACCTGGAAACCCTGATCAACGGCCCCGCCAACGACGTCCCCGTCATCACCGGCAACACCAAGGACGAGTCCGGCGCCGCCACCACCACCTCCTACACCGTCGCGCAGTACGAGACCTACACGCGCCAGAAGTACGGCGACCTGTACGACGAGTACATCCGCCTGTACCCGGACAACGGCACCGCGGCCACCGCCGACCGCTCCTGGAACGCCGCCGCGCGCGACGCCTCGCTCATCGGCTCCTGGGCCTATGCGACGGACTGGTACAAGGCCGCCTCCGCCGACTTCTACACCTACTACTGGACCCACGCCCCGCCCGGTCAGAACCAGGGCGCCTTCCACCAGTCCGAGATCATGTATGCGTTGAACGCCCTGTACGCGAATGTCGACACCTACCCATTCACCGACGTGGACTGGGAGATCCAGGAGAAAATGTCCGCCTACTGGGCGAACTTCGCCAAGACGCTGGACCCTAACAAGGGCGGTTCCTACACGGGCAATGGCACTTTGCCCGTGTGGACCCCGAACAGCAAGAATGGAACCCAGGTCGTGATGGAGCTGGGCAATGGGTTTGGCAATGTCCCGATTGCTTCGAAGCCGCAGGTCAAGTTGATCATGGAGTGGTTCCACAAGCAGATTCCGTACTGAGCGTATGCTGTTGTTGTTAGGGAAGGGGTGGTTAGAAGAAGTTGCCAGACTGGTCAGAGTGCGTTGTGATCGATACGCATGAGATAGAGCTTTGGCGATATGAGCAAAGATGTATGTATCTGGACATTAGCTTGTACTTTAGTGCTAGTCTTAGACAATATATATATATATATATTGGTTGCGTGAGCGCCGAGTCGCGGTGACACATTACTAAGTAGTAGTAGTAGTAGTATAGCATGAGCTTCTGCTAGTCTTCTACTCAGCTTACGCTTTAGTATATCTTGATCCAGGTAGTCCAATAGGCAATGACAATTGCATCATGAAAAGTCTTCTTCAACCTCAGCAGACTGCTGCTGACCGAGATACTGACTGACCGACGGACTCGCCATGAGCTCGTCCCTCTAACAAACAGTATTAGCACCGCACCATAACTACTATACCGGGGAGGCGACATACCTGCTTCTCCAAGCCCTCAATCGCTCGCCCCAGCAACTTCATTTCCAACATCCTCAACCGCTTGATCATACCATATACATCCGGGCGGAACATTGCCCGCATGTCCTCATTCTCATCAATCTCCGAGACCATCAGCCCCGTCTCCCGAAGCACCCAAGCCTGCGTCTCCAGCCTCTCCAGAATAAGCACCACGGCACGAAGCTGGATGATATCCCAGTGCGGATCCGCCATGAGCAGCTCCTTGAGATGGTCCGAGTCTCGCACATCAACCCCCTTCCACAGAGCCTTCAGCTCGCGCCCGCCATCGGTCGTCTGCAACACCGTGAAATCCAACCCGTCTTCCTCGTTGACACAGGCCCACCAAATGATCGAGCTTTCCCAAGCAACCTGGTCCGCTGCTGGGGACGTATACACCCGAATACCCGGCGGTACCTTACAGAAAGCCTTCTTGACCACCTTGAGTGGATCGTCATCCGGAATATCCAGGTCGAGGAATATCTGCCTGGCGTCGGTGGTATCTCGATCCAGGAACCCATAGGAGAAGATCATCTCCGAGGCGGATTTCTCATCGCCGTACCTTTCCCCACAGTAAGCCAATGCGACACATCCAGCGAGATATCCCACCTTGAGAGAGAGAAACTCACGAGATAGTGACCTCCTCGCCCGCCTGCACGGCGTTCCCATACCGCAACTGCAGCATAACGTTTCCCTCCGCATCCTCGTCATACAGCGCCTTAACCGTCTCCTCGGAGCTATGATTCGCCATATCAATGCACGGGACCATCGCATGTCCGCTCGTCGGCAGATCCACCATGCGGGAGCGGTACAGCGCGTCGACGTACTTCCAGTCCTCGAGCGTCACCCGGCCCGCCGTGTCTTCTTGCCCTTCTTGTTGAGCATCATCATCAACATCACCCTCACCCTCGCCCTCGCCAGTGCCCCACCACAACTTCCGACACCACCCAATCCCCCGCGTCGCCTCCCGCAACCGCGCAAATTCCTTCTCCAGCGCCGCCAGCTTCGCATGCACCGCCAACCGTAGCGAAGTACCGCGCAGCAACTCCATCTCGGCATCCGAGTAAAACGTCGGCAGCGGGACCTCCGCCGGCATGTACTTTATGTACTCGGTCCAGGGGCTCGACACCCCGACTGAGTGGCTGCCCTCGCCGGTCAAGTCCGGGCTCGAGTGCGTGATCTGCATGAGCAGGAAGATCAAGATCGCGCCGCGGGGGGTCTGCAATTGTCGTCAGGATACATAGAATTCCCGAACACAGAATCAAAACGCTCAACTCATATCTTCCCCACCTCATGCCCTAGAGTGAAGCAAAAAGATGGAAAAAAAAAGCATACATACCCGACCGAAATCCCCCACCGCCTCCAGCACCTCCCTCAACCGCCCATCCGACTTCGCATAGCCATGCACCGTCTCGTATGACAGGATTAAATCCGCCGGGACCGTAAGCAAGACCCCCGTATCGACCGCCCCGAGCGCGGACTCCCCGCCCACTCGGTCTTCGGTTGCGACTATCGCCGAGCCTTTGTTGGTATTGTCCACATTCTCACCATTAGAACTAGCAGTAGCAGGGAAGGTGGAGAATACAACGCTCTGCACTCCGATGCCATTGAGCTTGACCCACGCAGGCAAGGTCTCGATGGGCAGATGAGCGCGCTTCATCTCTTCAAGTGTGACTCGTGCATAGCACCAGTTAACATGACAGGCCGAGGGATGGATGTTATGATTTGATGTTGCGTTGGGTTTCCCGTTATCGATAAGCCTTGCCCCCAAACACCCCCACCGCCCCGAGCCCTAAGCCCTATACTCGAGCTCATTACGGCATGGAGACGTCATGCGCCAAGAGCTCCAATAACCGGGGTAACAGCATTGAACAGAGGAAAGTAGGTATATAAGTACCCGGGGACGTAGCAGGTCGTTGATGTCATTTGCATACATCTACTCCTTTAATCCATCTCTCAATCCATATTCTGCCTTACCTCCGCACCGATCTCATTCCCACCAATTGCAAGAGAATATACGTACGACTACGCAAAGAACTACCACCACCATGTCCATGTTCACTAAGTCCACTCGCATCGCGACCGCAAGACTCCCGAGTCGGCTCGCCCGGCAACACCTGCAGCAAGCTGCCTTCCGCACCAGTACTACCACCGCGCAGATCCGTCTGAACAGTTCATGGGAGGGCACCAAGGCCGAGGACCACGCCGTCAACCGAACTAAGAAGGGCGATACTACCGATGTTGAGACTGACGCCTCGCGGCGGGGTCAGGAGGACCGCGAGGCTAGCCACGGGCTGCCGGACAGCTCCAAACAGGGGGCGGCCACCGAGCGCGGCGGGTTGAAGCACGAGCGTAAGGCCAAGAAGGAGCATCCGCGGGCGCCCGAGCCGATCATCGGGATGAACGATGAGAGAGGACAGGTATGGTGAACACAAAACATCCCTTGCTTTGCGGACTGCCAGCCACCAATGGTTTGGTTCTGTGGACGTGTGGTTCGGATTCAATAGCTGACTTGCCTACCTATTTCTCTAGCGAGGACACTAAAAGCCAATGACTGGTATTTTCTGGCTTCACGAAGCCATTGTACCAATCGGGTTCATTGCGGTTCCGAACGCCCGCGTTTTATTCATGATTGTAGCATCGTCTCGGTTTATTTCATTATCATGTTCACTGTACATAGATTGGACAGGAGAGAAATCTATCTGCCAGGTTTAAAGGAAAGAACCTAGATGCATCGTTAGTTCTCACTTGCGCAGTAAGGAAATCACCAAGCCACGTACATCGTGCTTCCCCACTTCGACAATCTCGTCCTCTGAAACTCGGGTTCCGCCGACTCCTTCGATATACGAGATGGGTACATCACCCATGACCTTGCGGGCGACATCGCCCACCGTGCTGTTCCTGCTGGTTGTTAGCGCTGCCATGCACAAAGTCCAAATGGCTGCTCACTTCTTGACGAGCACACAGTCTCGGAAGACTGCCGAACCAGCTCCGGATGAGAACGTATGGATGTTACGGACGGGGAACACGGGTACGAGCCCCAAAAGTTCAGCAGCACGTGAGAGGCACTGCACAACACCAGTAGAGCCGAATCGATAGAGAACCATATCTTTCAAGTTTTCGACGCGCCTAGGAGTTGCCTATTAGCTATGCTTCTGAGAAAAAAGTCAGGAGCCATACGTCTTCAGCTTCTCATCCATCTCCTTGAGACCGCCTCCATCCGGATCACCCATGTCGATCAGGTCTTCTCGCATATCCACAAACTCACTCCCTTCGACGTATTTGATGTATCCCTGCTTCGCAAGTCTGCGAAGGAATACTTCCGATATAGCGGAACACAGAACGATAGACTTTGGGTCTTGCATCTTGGCGATCTTGCTGATATTCTACCATCAAGCAGAATTAATTTCCAAGACACTTCCGCCCGAAACTGGAGGAGACATACCTTGTCCGCATCGGGGTGGTCGATCTTGTTCAAGGCGAACACGGTAGGGAACTTCTCGTCGATGAACGTCTCGACAACCTTCTCGACTGTCTCGTCGGACCATTCCTCCAAGGGTTCCTTGAGCGCCAGTTTATCTAGACACCGTCCAACAATAGAGGATGTACTTCCATATCCGGAGAACTGAGACTGTAACGTATCCACAGCCGTCGATTCTAATCAAAGCGTCAGAAGGCTTTGGATTGAAACTGGATTAATCCCGTCAACTCACTAGTCGCAACATGTCTTCTCTTGATCGAGCCCCTGAATTCCAAAAATCAGCACCACCGGTCGAGTCTGGACTGCCGTGCGCATCCGTACCATCTCTGCATCAGGTTGCCAAGCACCCAGCGCACAATCTCGGAGTGAAGCCACTCAATGTCTTGCGAGGGGTCGTAGCCACGTGTGGCCTTGCCTGCAGATATCCAATCAGCTCGCCCTCTTCACCAATATGCGCCCAGAAATTTGAAATTGTACCTTCTGCGTCCGTCGTTCCGCTCACATCCACCACATGAATCAACGCATCAGCATGGCGCAAGTCGTCCAAAAACTTATTTCCAAGGCCGCGGCCTTGATGCGCGCCCGGGACCAGACCAGCCACGTCCAGGAGCTCGATCGGCACCGAACGACGGCCCTCCACACAGCCTCCATAGTTCGGACGGCACTTATCGGAAACGTTCAGTCTTCGGCAAGCGCATTCTATTTGCAGGTAGCCGATCGCGCGCTGAGGATCGATGGTGGTGAATCTGCGGGAGAAGGGGGAGATCAAATCAGCGTGATGGGATGGCAATCAGTGGGTGGGTTTTGTCAACGCACGGGAAGTTTCCTAAACAGTAGTCATAATAGTGAGTATAACTTGAGCGAAGGACCATGGAATTGAGGATCGCAACAGCAGCAGAACATACCAACTTTGGAGGAGGCGTCAGTCAAGCTGTTGAGGGTGGTTGACTTTCCGCTAGACGGCTATATGTGCCCCTCACTGGAATCAGCAGTGGCCAGACAGGAACTCAAGGGAGAAGTAAAAGACCTTTCCCACCAAACCGATCAATGGATCTCTTGGCATCTTGGAGATATGGTTTTCGAATGTAAATCAAGCGAGCGACAGCCTCCCAAAAAAGTAAATAGTTCTTCTCGTCTGGAATGGGGACCAGTTCCTGAAAGCATTTCTGCAGGAGCGGGGAAACAGTCAATTTCTGCCGTCTGTATGAGGAAGGCGGTCGATGCGCCCTGGGCTGCACCACTGTTTCGAGTCGGCGGTCGCCGCGGTATGGCGCCACATCCGGCGTCGGAAGTGTACACGGAAGTCTCAGGACGAATTCGGAGAATTGCGCAATTGATGTGATATAACTCTTACTGACCATTGAAAACGGATGCCTTCTGCTTTGGAACTCTCCAAACATCCCCCCTTAGGCTACTATGTACCCGCGAAGTCGTTCAAATATATAACTTGCACGGCCACACTCAGCTGTGCACTCCGCCATACCGGGATGATATGCGCAGGGATCTACTGATCATTGCGCCGAGTCGAATGGACCATAGAAGAGTCTCATATAATACAGATCATGCTCTTTATTTGGTAGCTTCGTCATCTTGCGACATTTGTCGCGAAGTAAACTATGTACAGGACGTAGAGTATCGTCAATTCCACCACACTAGGCACTAAGCCTTTCTTGCACCTGGCAAGCTGTTTTCCTTGGATTCTCAAATTAAGCATCCAACAAAGGAGGGACCTTCTCGATGAGGTATTCGACAATGGCATCGGGGCCACGCTCGACCTGGAGGCCTTCGGGGATGGCGTGAAGCTTGATGGAAGGGTTGATCGAACGAGCGATGGAGTGGATCTCCTGAGCCTGCTCGGCAGTCCACATGGACGCACTGAACTGTAAACGAAGTCAGCATCAGAGCTGGATGAGTCTGCCAGTGACTGTCTGCTACTAGACCAATGGTCGGAAAGGCGATCGACTTACCAGAACGTCAGGCATGTGCTCCTTGACCTTGGGTTCGACCTCCTCGATCTCTGTTTAAGCTGTTAGTCCATGCTAACACGAGACAGTGGCACGGTCATTGAATCACTCACTTTCGCAGTTGTCCACGTGGATAATAGTGTAGCGGTCCTTGAGAGCCTCGATGAGGCGGCCGATGAGGCGCTTGGCTCTCTCAGGAGCAGTGTTGACGGTGACGAGACGGAAAGGACCCTTGGGAGCAGACATGGTGACTGGTGTATGATCAAATGATTTTCTTGGAATCTGGCAAAAGCTGCGACAGCGTACTCGGTCGCCTTTTAAAGCAGCCAGAGCGCGATTGCGACTTCGCCGCTTTGCCCGAAGACAATAACCCCGCTGGCGACATCCCCACAACCGCAGCGTGGGGAAGTGTTTGAAGTGGGCTGTTTAGCGCAGCTGTGGTCGAGTCATTGCCGGGTTTTGTCCGACCAGAAGCCCCGAGCTTGTTGCCATCCCACCCGAGTCGAATCGCCATGCCCCACCTCTTCTTTTCTCCCCTCCCCGCACCGGAAAGAGGGGTGGCAGCTGCGATGTCGGGGTAGTTATATGCCGCCCACTCTTCTTAAAATGCCTGTATTCCACTGTTCTAGACACATTCCGGTTCGCTTCATCAACCGCATATCCCACAATCGCCCTTTGTACACCATGTCTAAGATCGCTTCCACCTTCTCGCGTACGTGGCAGATCTCAACAGAAACTCACACCTGCTAACACCCCTCCAGGCCTCGTGCGCTTCGTTCCCAAGTCGAACCCCACCAAGATCCTTATCGGTGAGCCTGTCGATGCGTCAATCGACGTGGGCTTGGCCGTCTACAAGGGCCAGGAGGTCTCTGTGCACCCTTTCTCCGGCAGCTCCGTCCTAAACCCCGGCCAAAAGACCGACGCGACCGAGACGATCGAGCGCATTCTTTCTCCATTGGCACAGAGCGAGGTTGGAACGATCCGCTGCATTGGCCTGAATGTAAGTTAGGTTGACCTGACATTGGAAGCAAAGAGGCTAAACCAAAATTTTCTTCCTAGTATGTCTCCCACGCGGCTGAGATGAAGCTTGATATCCCCAGCGTCCCCACGCTCTTCATGAAGCCGCCAACGGCACTCTCCGACCCGTGGCCCGCTCCCACTGTCCTGCCCAAGATCACCCAGAAGGACAACACCGGTGACTACGAGTCGGAAATGGTCATCGTCATCGGCCGCGACGCTAAGGATGTGAGCGAGGAGGAGGCGCTGGACTACGTGCTCGGATACACAGCTGCCAATGACGTATCCAGCCGGACATCTCAGATGAACCAGAGCCAGTGGTGCTTCTCCAAGGGATTTGACACTTCCTGCCCTATCGGTACTTGGACCTCCCCGATTACTCAACGCCGATCATCGCAATTCCTCTCTAACTTTTCTTGAACATAGGCCCCGTCCTCGTCTCCGCTGCTCAAGTCCCCGACGCCAGCAAACTTCACATCCGCGGTACCAAGAACGGCAAGGTGCTGCAGGATTGCCCTCTCACGTAAGTTTGACCTTGATCTATTCGGTTTACACATGACACAAGGCTAATCTTTCTGTCCCTGGCAAATAGCGACCTGATCTTCAGTGTGCCCCAGCTCGTCAGCTTCTTGTCGCAGGGCACCACCCTTCCCGCTGGAACCATCATTCTGACCGGTACTCCCCCCGGTGTTGGTGCCGCCAAGAACCCCAAGGAATTCCTGAAGCACGGCGATGAATTTGCCGTTGAGCTGCAGCCCCATGTGGGAACGTTGATTACCAAGATTGAGAACCAGGCTTGAGGTTGAGTTTTTGTAGCGATAATATCACATTTTGAATAAAATTAGAGTTTTGCAAGCATATGTTTATCTCTACGTTTCCTAATCTAACTCGATCAAATCGACCTCTTCGTTTTTCTTGGGTGCCTTAGCTCTATCGATCGCAGGTAGCCATGTCGCCAAGAATAAGCCTAGGGAATGGGCATACGCAGAACATCTGATGATTGTACCGATTGAGGTGCAATTGTTACACGTCATGAGGAACGCCAGCACGCAAAGTCTCGGCCTAATGGCAGAGTATCATCGGCATTTCCGACAGCTGCTTGTATGCCGGAACAATACGTGGGCGAATGCGAATGTCCCCACGATGACAAATCTGGCTCCCCACAATCATTACCCCCGTCTCTCACCGGGGAGGAACTACGGAGTTCTCACCCTGTATCATGGTTGAAGCCGAGGCCGGTAAGGCAAAGCTGCTCTTTTTTGATAACAACAAGAACAACACCATTCTCTCACCTACGACGGAGTTGTATCACATAAATGGATCCGTCCTTGTACGCCGCCATATCATTTTCCTTACCTATGGGATCAATCAAGAATGCACACAAACCGCAACTGCGCACCGGGGCTATCCGACCAGTAGTATTGGATAAAATCTACTCCGCCCGGAGTATGTCTATGCCGGAGGGCCGACCGGCTCGGGCTCCCGATTTCGCAGAAGTGGTTGCAAGACAAACCAAACAAACACCGCATATCTCAAGGAACAGACGAACAAGCATGGCATAGATCCTTCTGGCGCGAAGTTTTGCGAGAACTGTCTGCAGTAATGGCGCATGTGAGAGTTCGTGGTGTACAAGACAGATGGCCGTGCTTAGGCCCACGGGAAGCTCGCATGAACTGTTGCTCCCTTGAAGTGGACATGTCATAGTCTTCTGTTCACCGAGTCATTAGTCTCAAACCGGTCTGTAGGCGGCTTCTGAGATGTCTCATTCGCGGTCAAGCTTTTCTGATCACCAAAAGCATCTGCCTCCAATTTTATGGCAAGGATCAAATCCTTTATCTTTACTGAGAAACTTCCCGCCCGATCTTTGCTCCTGTGCGTGGGCATGTGTATCCGCATTCCCAAGCTTTGTCAAGCCTTCAACCAGCCCCTCCCGCATTCTCCTTTGATAAATGTGGCTAACTGGAACTTCTCGACTGTGTAGAACTGGCAGGAGGTTGGGTGAAGTGGCTGGCCTGGTGATGGCTTGTTCGAGACCAGCTAGCAGGTATGGTAGAGTCATGTTGCTTCGATAAGTCTAGCTCTTCGCGCGCTAGTTGCATCTAGCAAGCGTATGAGGATGGCAACAGGCTTTCTTGTTGACATAGACACTCCTGTTAATGGAGACATGAGGTTGATGGTCTGCCCAGGTCGGAATTCTCGGCAATGGTCTGAGGATAGGCAACCATCAGCTCCTGTAGAGCTCTCAGGTCCTGTATGGTCGGTGAAGTCTTTGGTATATGTTCTCAAGAACGAGGGACGTGGTGAGCTTGGTCTCTTACTTGCCACCATCACCGATAAACCCAATACATCTCCTACATAGCAGAGGCGACGGAGCTGGTGGGCGCTATCTGCGGTAATGGTTGTGTAGTGCTTGAACCGTGATGAGGTAGTTGAGGGGGCTTCGGTGGGCGCAGGTCTGGATGCGAGCCAGACAAGCTCTAGAATCTCACTGTGGCGGCTGACAGGCATATCTCATTATGTGTGCGATGCTGTGTTGTGCTTACTTACATACCTGTAGACGAGCTGGCTTATTGAGGGGGTTGAAGTATTTTCCTGATCGGGTAAGGCTCAGTTTGCGGGCATCTCCAGCCCGATCCCGAGTCCGTCCCTGCCAAATACTTACTACCTTCTTAGTGACTCCAAACATTCCATCGCGCTGGGCCACTGAGCGAGGTTGGAAGTGAATACCAGAAGCTACATGGTCTCCAGTCATGCGTCCAGTATTCTCTTTGCAGCACATACACTCAATGTAAGTTGTTCTTCCAACTACCGAGTCTTATGGTCTGTGCTCACTCCACGTCGGCTGCAGCTGCTAACTAAACCTTCCCCTCACCTCATTTTTAAGGGTCCCCGCCTCTCAATTATTTCCTGCACTGCACCTATCCCTTTGACTCCCACCGAAAAAAGGACCAGGACGTCACAAATGATACATACGAATGCAACCTTTGATACCACCTGTGAGCTGGTCGGCTCTGACGGCTGCAAGCCACCAAGAGCCCAGCCGACCTCCCCCCGCATGAACCCCAACTCCCAATTCACTAGTGGCGATGATCCCCGATAATTGACCGAAAGGGTCCTGGAAAAGGATGCCAATTACCCCGTTCGAGATCCAGTTTCCGCTCTAGCCAATCTTGACTTGCCGTTCAAATCCAATGAGGCCCCTTGGCATGGCTTTTGAACTTGGATTGTGGTCTTTGTCGGCAACCTCCCACCCTGAACAGGTCTTGGCATCAGAACAATTTGAATCATTGTGAGGCCGGGTGGGGTCATGTTGTACTGCAGCCTGCATCTGATGGCCTTGGATCAACATGCCCTGCATTAACTGTCAGCAATAAGACTGGCTATCAGACAGATACCTATATATACCCGCACCATGTCGTCTGGGTCATCCGCCTCTCAAGCCACGCTGTCTCCTAAGGCGTGCTCCTGAACAGGATGTTGGGATCCCTGCTCTTTCTTGCACCCCTCGTGGGTGCTGCAGCTGTTGACTCAAATGCATCACATCGCGATTGTCCTGGCTACAAGGCCTCGAACGTCAAAAAGGATGCGGGATCTCTAACGGCAGACTTGACCTTGGCGGGTACGCCTTGCAACAGCTACGGAGAGGACTTGAAAGACCTGAAGCTTCTCGTGGAATACCAAACCGGTATGAACTCGCCCAATGCTGCAACGCGAAAGTCGCTCATAGCCCATTATCAGATGAACGTCTACATGTGATTATATACGATGCCGACGAGCAGGTATACCAGGTCCCCGAATCCGTTCTTCCCCGTGTGGGTGGGGGTAGCGGGTCTAGTGACACATCGGCCCTCGAGTTTGATATAGTGGAAGAGCCATTCTCGTTTGTCGTTTCGAGAGATGAGGAGGTCCTGTTCAATACCTCTGCATCAAAGCTCGTTTTCCAATCCCAATACCTGAATCTGCGTACCTGGCTCCCCGAGGATCCGTACCTTTACGGACTGGGAGAGCACTCGGACCCTATGCGCTTGCCTACGAACAACTATACTCGCACACTCTGGAACCGCGACGCTTACAGCACGCCCAACGGGACGAATCTCTACGGCAGCCACCCCGTCTACTATGATCATCGTGGCGAAGCTGGCACTCACGGTGTTCTACTCTTAAACTCCAACGGTATGGACATCAAGATTAACAGAACCAAAGACGGTCAGCAGTACCTCGAATACAACACTTTGGGTGGAGTCTTCGACTTTTACTTCTTTACCGCGCCCACTCCTAAGGAGGCCAGCATTGAGTATGCCAAGGTTGTTGGCCTTCCGGCGATGCAAAGCTATTGGACTCTGGGAGTAAGTGTTCAATGGAGGTATTTTAGTTCACCGAACACCTGGTCTAACTTTGTTCAGCTCCACCAATGCAGATACGGCTATCGAGATGTCTATAATGTGGCCGAAGTGGTGTACAATTACAGCCAAGCCGAAATTCCCTTGGAAACCATGTGGACAGACATCGATTACATGGACCGGAGGAGAGTGTTTACGCTTGACCCGGAAAGATTTCCGCTGGAAAAGATGCGTGAGCTCGTTACCTACCTCCATAACCACGACCAGAAGTATATCGTGATGGTTGATCCCGCAGTTAGCGTCAGCAGTAAGTGATCCTTGCGCAATATCTTGTTATTCGACTGTTGATAAGATGGTACAAGACAACTCCGCGTATACCAGTGGTTTGAGTGAAGATGTCTTTCTTCATCACCAGAATGGAAGTATTTATGAAGGTAGTAGCCTCTAGCTTTTCGTCGCCCGTTAGGATGAAAGAAGCTTATACTTGCTCCTAGGTGCCGTCTGGCCTGGCGTGACTGTCTTCCCGGATTGGTTCAACTCCAATACCCAGGAGTACTGGAATGCACAGTTTGCGCAATTCTTCAATGCTACTTCCGGAGTTGACATTGATGGTCTTTGGATCGACATGAACGAAGCGTCCAACTTCTGCCCTTACCCGTGCACGGATCCTCAAGCTTTTGCAATCTCCGATGATCTTCCGCCTGCTGCGCCTCCTGTTCGAGCCAGTAGCCCTCGCGTTCTGCCTGGGTTTCCCGAGGATTTCCAGCCTGCCAAACGATCGACTGCCAAGGGTCAAGGAACTAAGGGAGCTAAGATCGGTCTGGCTAACCGGAACCTTACCGACCCGAAATACCAGATCCAGAATGCCGCCGGTGTGATTAGTATGAACACGATTCAGACCGATATCATCCACGCAGAAGAGGGTTACGTTGAGTACGACACGCACAACTTGTACGGGACGAGTGAGTGGGCCACCGCATTCTCAAACGCTGTTCGCCCTACTGACACAAACTAGTGATGAGTACTGCCTCTCGCGATGCCATGGCCCTCCGCCGCCCGGACGTCCGACCTTTAATCATCACCCGCAGTACATTTGTCGGCGCGGGATCCCACGTTGGCCACTGGTAGGTCTTTTGTATGTTTTCAGGCAACCGTATTCTGACTTCTCAGGCTGGGCGACAACATCAGCGACTGGGAGCATTACCGGATCTCCATCGCCCAGATCTTAGCGTTTGCCTCGATGTTCCAGATTCCCATGGTGGGTGCGGACGTGTGCGGCTTCGGCGGCAACACCACCGAGCAGCTCTGCGCTCGATGGGCATCCCTGGGCGCGTTCTACACGTTCTACCGCAACCACAACGAGATCAACGACATCTCCCAGGAGTTCTACGTCTGGCCCACCGTGGCCGAGTCCGCGCGCAAGGCAATTGACATCCGCTACCGCCTTCTCGACTACATCTATACCTCTCTCTACCGGCAATCTCAGACCGGCGAGCCTTTCTTGCAGCCACTGTTCTATCTGTACCCGGAAGACAAGAACACCTTCGCCAACGACCTCCAGTTCTTCTTTGGGGACGCTATCCTCGTCAGCCCGGTCACGAAAGAGAATTCTACTTCCGTGGACGCCTACTTCCCCGACGACATCTTCTACGACTGGTATACTGGGGAAGCGCTGCGAGGAGAGGGTACGACGGTCACGCTCAAGGACATTGACTACACGCACATCCCCATCCACATCCGTGGAGGCAACATCCTGCCGGTGCGGGTCGCCAGCGCCATGACTACGACCGAGGTGCGCAAGAAGGGATTCGAGTTGGTGATTGCCCCGGGTCTGGATGGGACCGCGTCTGGCAGTCTGTATCTTGATGACGGAGACTCGGTTGAGCAGTCCGAGACGACGGAGATCACTTTCCAGTACAGCCAAAAGAATTGCGAGCTGCAAGTCTCCGTGGAGAACGGGTCCACGCTGCAGGTGAACATGATTACGCTGCTGGGCGAGTCGGGGAAGAAGACCTTCGAGCATGGGTTCAGTCTGAGCGAGTCGATCAATCTAAGGATTTAGCTTACATGAATGCCGGTGCTAGGTCCTGTGTGTAACAAACTACTACATAGTATCCGGAATAGCGAGTAACTTCTCAACGGATGTGTTGCTCAGGTAAATACAATAATTGAACCATACCACAAACTTCTTGAAAACGTCCAGGACGCAATATTCAAATTGGACATTAGCACTAGTACACTTCCCCCGCAATATTCACAGAAAAATGTCCCTGAGTGTAGGGTCGACCTTTCTTATGATTAGCTCAAAACATCTCTGGCGATAGTATTCTTTATCTATTATAATGTCATTTTCCCTGTCAGATTCATCATATTACAGGGGTGTAGCACCGCCTCCGAGGACTGAATCCCAAATGACTTAACGCCCCCCGGCGCGAACAACCGATCCCGAAGCCGACCAACAACAGAAACAGTGTGGCTGGCACTCCTAGCATCCTCTATGCAATTGTCGGAATGGATTTTGGGGCTGGTCTAGGCTGTGCGATTCACTATCGTTGAACTCTTCACATCCTCCAGTTGTACCAGTAACGGGCGCTACCTGTGCCAAATTACTGTTGTCCCTGTCTTCCGAAGAGATTCGGTTGCCAAAGTTCATTCTCGCTGATGATGGCTCATCATAGCTTCACTGCATCTGGCTGCTCAGAACCTTCACTCTTTGAATCCATCCCCATCGAAGGCGTGGAGAGACTCAAGGGATATCGTCCTGGAAGAAACCACCCAATAGAGATAGGAGATGACCTTCGATTTCCATATCAAGTTGCTCAGAAATTGAAATTAAGATACGGGAACAACTCCACGACATGGCTCTGTCGAGATACACAGCGCAAGAAAATATGTCGCCCTAAAGATCGTAACAGGGAACTCCAACTCTCGAGAAGCTGACATTTTCTACGCGCTCAATCGCGGCTGCTCCTTCCATCGAAATGCCCAGGGAAGGAGGAAAGTGATACTTCCGGTCGAGGATTGCTTCGTACTCGAGGGCCCTAATGGTGTTCATCCTTGCTATGTGACAGCCCCTGGCCAGGTGCAGTCAGTCTCTCTGGTGCAAAGGACGGACAACGGCCCGCTCCCTAATCGCATAGCTTATTCAGCTGTTGAGTATATCCATTCTGAGGGGATCGTTCTTGGAGGGACGTATGAGTCGCACGCACCAATTGCATTTGCCGCCTGAATCCGGTTTCGAACCAACTAAGCCCCTTTCCTTTGCATTCGATATCTGAACTCTTGCATGCGTTATATGGTCGATCCTGGCACAGGGGCCTATGTTGAAGAGATCCTCGCCACTTAGGATGATATCACGGCCTATTGGAGAATCTGCCTCCCGGAATGGTGGGATAATTGACGGGTAAATCATGTCAAGCTCGCTCAGATCGACATGTCGGTCGTGAGAGGAACGCTTCGAGCCACATGTTTAACGCCCACGTTTGGAAGAGGGGATACCTCATTGGCGTCTGTTTTGAGGAGAAAGCTGCTGTTTTGGGTATGTTACGGTCGATGCTGGCTTTCCGACCGGAAATGCGGGTTACTACCAGTGGCTTACTAGAGTATGAGATGAAGGATCAAAGGTGTGTAAATCATGAGACGGTGTGATTCGGCGGTTCGTTCTTGCAGAGGACTTCTCTGTCCATGAAGGCCATCAGCGATCCTGGCAAGAGGATAGGTATTCGGACTAAGGTTTTATACCTTAGACCGATTCCGCTCTCTGTTCTATTAGGGCCGCCCCTCGTGGGGACACAACCAGAGAAAGGATGCAAGTTCTACTTGCTCTAACTGCACACACGATCTACACTGGCATAGGTGTTGAGTCAAAAGTCTTCGATTGCTACTATTGCGAAGGAGTGTATACAGGGAACCGAAAGAGGTCACAAAGCCACCCTCCAAATCAACTCCAGCACTCACAAGCTCCGCACACAACCCGTCGGATAAGCATCTCATCCGCCTCAGCCTCCATATCAAACTCAGCTCTTCCGCCCAGGGTGGCATTGGTCGACATAGAAACGCCTTTACCACGCGCGTCCTCCCGGACATAGAGCAGCCGAGGCCCCTCAGGTCCCTTGACTGCATAGAATCGAAGACATGTACCGCGGATCACCAGTCCGAAGGAGTCGAAGTCCTCGAGGAATACGGTGAGCTTGCCGCACGTCTTCTCAATGCCAGGGCCGAGCTTCTGGGCGTGACGCTGCCATGCGGCCTCGTCGGTGCCGGGTTCGCCCTCGATGATGATAGAGGGGTGGAGTCTGGCGGCTTCGGTGATACTGGGGATGGCGGACATGATGTTGAGGTTGTTCTCTGTGAGTGTTTTCTGAGTGACTGAAAGAGAGTGGTTAGATATATTTGCTGATAGTGGTTTGAGGGAAACAGGGACGCTTCTTGAAAAGAAAGATATGTTTGTGGTGAAATGTGATTGGGTGATGAGAGAAAATGACTATTCTTATAGGCTTGTTAGAAAATTATTCTATCTGCGTCTGATCCTGCAAGGTCACGGAAATCTCCCTAGCCATTGTTGTGAGAGGGTATATATTCTTTACACTGTATAACAGCAGTGTTGTTGAATGAGTTCATTGTACGAGTACGAGAAGTTCTTTGGACAAAAGCCAAAGAGATATCTATGAAAGGATCTTCACGTGAGAGTGCAAGGCTTTATACGCATTCATACTGAACTGATCGATTGAAAACATGGGGCAGAAGTCTTTGTTAAAGCTCTAGGGGGTTACGCGCCCTTCTCTAGAGCCTATATGCTTTGTCTATCAGGCTTTGTCGGGACCATTTACTTGATCAAAAGTTCAGTCAGAGCTGGCAGTCGACTAGGCCGGTGTCTATCTCCCTTGTCCTGTGTGGAATAGGCCTACCAGGTACTAGTATTGTCAATACTGCTGCTGCGGATCACCGCCTCCTTCCCACCAGAAAACGTTGCTTCCATTGCGGAGGTTCGGTGCTGTTCGGAAGGGTCTATTCGGAGGACTAAACTCGAATAAGCTGAATCAGCGCTGCATCTTTGCAATCATTCTGCAGCTGCCAAGCTTTGCACTGAGCGGCGTACTACTCATTTTTGGCTATCAGTTCGAGAAGTGTTGGTCTGAACTTACAAAGGCGTCCCTTCGTAATATGAAGCCCGAGAGGCTGGCGGGTTTCCTACTGCGTAAGCCCTAGTTCAGTTACCACACTCCCCAACTGCGACAGCATAGCTTGCTTTCCATTAATCAAGCTTATTTTCCAGAAATTCACACTCCGAACCCACCAAACATATTCAGCAGCATCGATCAAGCTTCCCCGCACAAAGGCACGGAGAAACCAACTAGGGTCATCGGCAAGCGATGTGGAGGAGATACTCGGGATGTGGACCAGCCGCGCAGCGTGGGAATAGCTTCCAACTATACTTATTGCTACTTACTATATCAAGAGCACATGCTCGAGGAAATACCCCAGACTATCAAATTATCAATTCAGCCCCTGTAAGCCCAAATCTAAACCTAACCAAGATGTCCTCCCCCGAGTATAGCCACCACTTCTCCGTCCAGAACCTCCCCTTCGGCATCGCCTCGTCCCGGACCCGGCCCAGCCCGCAATGCGCGACACGCCTCCACAACACCGTCGTCTTTCTGGCTGAGCTGCACGAACACGGCATCTTCAACTCCATCGCGGATCTCCCAACTGGGATCTTCAAGTCCCCAACCCTGAACACCTTCGCCGCCCTCCCACGATCCACCCACACTTCCGTCCGTCACGCCCTCCAGCAGGCCCTGCAGAAGGGCCTAGCGACTCTCCCCGCAGGAAGCACCGCGGATATCACCGAGGTGGAAATGCACCTCCCTGTCTCTATTCCCGCTTATACCGGTACCAATTCCATCCCATCCCATCCCATTCCCATTCCCCACCTCCCCAAGCCCTAACAGACAAAAACAATTCAGACTTCTGCTGCAGCAAAGAACACAACCTCAACGCCGGCCGCGCCATCCTCGGCCGCGAGACCCTCCCGCCCTGCTTCTACCACATCCCGATCGCGTACAACGGCCGCGCCAGCACGATCTGCGTCTCCGGAACGCCCGTGCAGCGCCCGCGGGGCCACTTCGTCGACAAGACCATCACCACGCACAAAGAGGTAGTGTATGCGCCCTCGCGGGCGCTCGACTACGAGCTCGAGCTGGGGATTGTGATTGGGAACCCGGTGCCGGTGGGTCAGCGGCTAAAGGCCCGCGAGGCGGAAGAGGCGGGTCATGTTTTTGGATTGGTTTTGTTGAATGATTGGAGTGGTATGTTCCCCTACTCCTCTCTGGTTTACTTATATGCCGGGGGTGGTTCTCGGAGGTGGTTTGAAGATTAGCCCTTTGGGTTGCTTATCTAGTATACTAGAGGGAGGAAGATCTGGCTAATGAACGAGGCTACGGCTACGGCTACAAACAGCCCGCGACATCCAGGGCCTCGAAATGATCCCCCTCGGCCCACTCAACGGCAAGAACTTCGCGACGACCATCTCGCCCTGGATTGTCACGCTGGACGCACTGGCACCATTCCGCTCCCCGGGCCCCGAGCCGCAGCGCGAGTCCGTCCCGCCGTACCTCCAGGACTCCGGGGATTACGCGTACGATGTGCAGCTGCGGGTCGAGTTGGAACACACGGCAAACAAATCCGTGCTGGGGGAGACCAACGCCAACGAGCTGTATTGGAGTCTGGGGCAAATGTGCGCGCATCTGACGAGCACCGGGTGCGGGCTGCAGACCGGGGAGGTGCTGGGGACAGGAACGGTGAGCGGGGCGGCGGAGGGGGAGTATGGGAGTCTGTTGGAGGTGACAAAGGGGGGCACGGTGGCGAAGAAGTTGGGAGACGGGACCGAAAGGCGGTTTCTGGAAGATGGGGATGTGGTGACTTTGACGGGGTGGGCGGGCGATGGGGTGGGGTTCGGGGAGTGCAGGGGGCAGATTTTGGCTGCGGAGGAGGAAGGATGGAGATAGGTACTAAATAGATTAGATTAGATTAGATTTAAGAATGTTGTATGCATGTTCCACCCCATGCATGGGTAAGGTAGCTACAGTATGAACCCTGGGGGGAAAATTGCACACCTCGGACCAGATGCTGTACATACTACTTACTCACTCACTGACCCCCTCCCCAAACCGTCCACAAAGCACCACATCCTCCCCAAACGGATACCACTTCACCCCCCTTAATCTTCCCACAGCAAGCCCCGCTCTCGTCCGCGGCGGACACACCACCACCCCACCCTGTCCCAACCACGTCGGCGCAATCGTAACAATCACCGAACTCACCATCCCCTGATACTGTGGCTGCAACAACGAATTAATCACACTGCCGCCCCCCTCAACCATCACACTCCTGATCCCTTCCTCCCGCCGCAACAACCCCAGCAACTGCCTCCAATCAAACTCCTTCCTCATCGTCCCAACCTCCCCCACCACTTTGACGTTGACGCAAGGCAATGCAATAAACCTGCCCCCGACCCCTTCCAACACCTCCTTTTGACTCTGTGCCGGCTCCACCCCCTCCGCAATCACCACAAACGGCGCCCGCCCGCGCCCCTGCCTCACCAGCTCCAGGATCTTCGCATCCGCACCGAACCGCCAGCGTGCGCAGGGGTCCACGATAATCGGCTGCGGTTGACCCTCCAGTCCCTGACCTCCATACCCCCCGACCCCGGCGATCCTGCAGTTCAGGCCCGGGTCGTCGGCGATGGCGGTGCCGACGCCGATGAGGATCGCGTCGTGGCGCGAGCGGAGGTAGTGCGTCATGGCTTTGGATTGCGGGCCAGAGAGAATCGTGCGCGTGCCGGGAGCCAGGGCGAGGGAGGAGTCGAGGGAGGTGGCGAAGGTTAGGGTTGTGAAGGGGAGGAGGTCGCTACTATGGTCATCATCTTTCGAGGGGTTGTTTGATTGGATAGGTGGGGGGAGATGCGGTTCGAGGAATTGGCGGTCGGTGAGAGGGAGGGTGAGAGTGTCGCTTGGGGGTGAGCTCATGGTTTGTTCAGTTGATGTGGTGGATTGGTGGTGCGGTGGAGAGAATTGAGGTTGAATTGCGTGCGCTTGGTGTTTTGTTTATGTGGTGGTGAAATATTTTGCGGGGAAAAGAGACTGATAAGGTATCATCATCGTTCATGTATGTATGCCTGAGGCTACAATGGTCAGAGTCTGAGGCATCAAAGCGCCCCCCCACTTGACGGGAGACGATCCTGTTTTTACCCCTCACCGGCAATTGTGGGCTTGAACTCTTGGCGAAGGCTTAGAATATAAGTATATTTCTAATTGAATGAATCTGAGAGGAGTATCTAGGCTAATATGCTATCTAACAAACAAAAAAATACAAAATGCGATCGTAATCCGTAACCCCGGAGCGAATGATCTAGAAGATCTATACAAAACTCAAGCAGGAATACCACCAGTGCCGAACAGCTCCATCTTGATGCGATCCTCCGCAACACCTGCCGCCGCCAGCTTCCGCTTCACGTCCAGCATGAACGCACTGGGCCCGCAGATGTAGTACCGGGCGGTCGCATCATCCAAATACAAATCCTTCTGCTTGTCCAGCTGGTCCACGTCCAAGCGACCCGCAATGTCGTAGTCCTCGCCCTGCTTCTCCTCTGCGCTCGGAAGGCTGGTGAAGAACAGCGCGTGCAGGTTGGGCACCTTGGCCGCCAGCTCCTTGATCTGCGGGCGGAAGGCGCGCGCTGCCGAGGTGCGCGCGCCGTGCACGTAGGTGATCTTGCGCTGGGTCTGGGCCTCGGGGCCGTCCAGGAGCGTGTTGAGGATGGAGGTGAGCGGGGTCAGCCCGACTCCGGCAGCCAGAAGCACGATCGGGCTGCTGCTCTGCTTCTCCTCGTCCGACAGGAAGAAATCACCGAAGGGGTGCGAGACGCGCACAACGTCGCCCTCCTTCTTCAGGTCGTGCAGGATGTTGGAGACGTAGCCCGGGTGGCGCTGGGCCGCGGGGTCGGTGGGTGCAAGGCCGGCCTCTTTCTTGACGCTAATGCGGTAGTACTCGGGCACGGGCTTGTCGCTGAGCGAGTACTGGCGGCTCTGGGCGTACTTGAGCTCGTCCACGAAGACTTCGACGGAGATGTATTGTCCGGGGCGGAAGGCGGGAAGAGGCTTGCCATCGACAGGCTCCAGGTAGAAGGAAGTGATTTCGGACGACTCAGGCACCTTCTTGGCGATGCGGAAGTCGCGGAAGTCGGTCCAGCCATCTGCCTCCTTGTAAAGGTCCGCTTCGCGGTTGATCATGATATCGGCCAGCTGCCAGTAGGCGGCACCCCAAGCATCGAGGATCTCCGGCGTCAGGGCATCGCCGAGGACTTCGCCCATGGCTTCGAGAAGGAACTTGCCGACGATCTTGTAGTGTTCCGGGCGGATGTAGAGAGAGGCATGCTTGTGGCAAATCAGCTCGACAGCGGGGCTCAGCGCACCCAGGTTGTCAATGTTGGAGGCATAGGCGAAGAGCGCGCCGGCGAGAGCGGCGGGCTGGTGGCCATTGACCTGGTTGGCCGTGTTGAAGACGTTGTTGAGCTCCGGGTGTGCGGTCAGCATGTTCTTGTAGAAGACGGTCGTGATGGTCTTGCCATGGATCTTCAGAACAGGCACAGTGGCCTTGATGATGGCAATCTGCTCTTGCGTGAGGCCCATGATGTAAGTATGTCTGGGGTATGTGTTTGAAGACGCTTATTGATGGAAGAGATTGGATCTGAGACAATGCACGAAAGAAAACACGGCGATGCGCGATTCCACGGGTGTATTTATATGCGACTGAGCCACCAATTGCTGTAGGAGGTCGGAGTGTGGGTATGCATGATGTGGCGGACGAACTTTTTTTCAGAAGTTGACATCTCCGCGGAGAAGCTGGAGAAACCCAGCTCGTCCCTGGCCCAACTTGTTCCCAAATCGAATCACAATCCCGACAATGTTAAGCCGAACGGTCGAACGGTCCATTCTCGGCGCTGGTTCATAAAATGCATACATGACTACACTGTATAAACATGCGTCGCAGGATTGGCCCTTCAACCTGTGGCTTGCAGTTTTAAGTCGGTGTCGCTCATAGTGTCTAAGATGTCTTTCGCAATGTCAATTACAATACGTCTTGATTTTAAGACCATATTCCTCTCAGGAACGGCCATACGAAAGCCATATGGCTTGTGTATGGAACGACTGGCCAACAGTCACGAGGGCAATTAATTCTTATACGAAGGAGGATCAGCCCACCTCTGGCCGCTGTGGCCGACCGGGCGTTTTAGGACGGACTCACGGAGGGGATGACGAAGCCCGAGTCTCGGCCGTGAGAGGTGTTTAAAGAATAGTCTAGTAGTCTACAGCAGTCTTAAACCATGGACTGTTGGGCATGGCACGAGTGGCTGGGTCATAATTAAGTTACTGGTTGGAAAAAAACTAGATCGCGAGGCAAAGGAAGGACAGCGGCTTTTGCGGACATTGCGGATTGAACGGATAGCATCTGCATAATAGTTATGCTCGTGTTGTGCACTGGTTACTCATCTATATCAGCTGAGGTGACGGTGACATTAGGCTATCCATACTAACCCAATGCGGAATTTCCCACTGGCTGCCACTGTAACAGACTGTAAGTTTACACAGTGTAACATCATCGACAGTGACCTCATCTTGTACTTCGGGGGTTCATGATGATGCTGTTGGAATGCTTCACGGCAAGTCAAGAGTCATTCAGAAGCACTCATTGACGCATCAGCTGTCCTGCACAGGATTGTCTTTCCGGTCCAATCCTCCAAGGCCAACCATTGTCCTTGCTTGTCGTGGCAAGACTATGAGTAAAGCAAGATGACTACCACCAACTCTATTCCGCCGATGTCACCTACGCTTTACAACGTGACGTTTCGGGTGTTCCTGTCCTCTTGCCCCTCCACGCTGTTCCCAAAGCCATTGTCTACTGGAGAATGTCACCGTCCGGTTTGGGTTCCCTTTTCAATGTAGCCTCGCTCGACTGCGACTCTAAATCTATTTACTATGCCATCTCGCCCTGCCCGCTTCTGCTCTTTTCTTCTACTCCTTGCTGCGAGATCTGACCGACCTCGACCTTACTAGCAGTTTGACACGGATCTATACTCCGGAACTCCCGCCTCTTCTATCAATATGCCGGGAAAAACCGCCCCTGAACGTCGTATCACCAAACTCACCAACTGTCGCATTGTGAAAGGCGACAAACTGATCAAAGAGGACGTTTGGATTGATTCACTATCTGGAAAGATCCTCAAAGATCAGGAAGCATTTTACGACTTTCACATCGCGCCGGATGAGATCATCGATCTCGGCGGGCGCATCGTCGCCCCGGGACTGATCGACGTGCAGCTCAACGGCGCGCAGGGCTTCGATTTCTCGGTGCCCCAGCCCACCACCGAGGAGTATGAGAGGGGACTGCGCATGGTGAACAAGGGTCTTGCGCGCATGGGGGTGACTTCATATCTCCCTACCGTGGTGAGCTCCACGCCGGACGTCTACCACAAGGTCTGTCTATCCTCTGTTGGTCCGCTCCGTAACAATTTGGGTTACTGACGTCACGCTTGTATCCCAGGTGTTGCCTTCGTTAGGTCCCACAGGAGAAAGCAGCCTCCCTCAAGACGGCGCAGAGTCCCTGGGCGCCCACGTGGAGGGCCCCTTCATCAGCCCCGGCCGCAACGGCATCCACAAACCCGAAGTGCTGCGCGCGGCCCAGAACCTGGAAGAGATCGTCGAATGCTACGGCTCAGACAGCCTGATGGGACCCAACCAAACCGTCCGCATGATCACCGCGGCACCCGAGGTCGGCGACATGCTGCACCAGATCCCGTCGCTCACCTCCAAGAACATCATCTACTCGATCGGTCACTCCGACGCAACCTACGAGCAGGCGCTGGCCGCCACCCAGAAAGGAGCGACGATGATCACGCATTTATTCAACGCCATGCGCCCATTCTACCACCGCAACCCGGGGGTTTTCGGTCTGTTCGGCCAGACAGATCGACCGCGTCCCTTCTACGGCGTCATCGCCGACGGCATCCACCTGCACCCGACCTCCATCCGCATCGCCTACAACGCCCACCCGGCCGGGCTGGTCCTCGTTACGGACGCGATGCGGCTGTGCGGGCTGCCGGACGGGGTGTATGACTGGACCAACGGGGATCGCATCGTGAAGACGGGCGCCCGACTGACGCTCGAGGGCTCGGACAAGATCGCGGGCAGCTCCGCCACACTGATTGAGTGCGTCAACAATTTCCGGCGGTGGTCTGGCGCCTCGACCGCCGAGGCGTTGAATGCAGCCACGGCCACCCCGGCCCGTCTTTTGGGGCTGGAGGGCGTCAAGGGCTCGCTGAGCAAGGGCGCGGACGCAGACTTGATTGTGCTGGATGATGAGGAGGATCCCTTCTCCGGTCCGACATTGGTGATCCGTCAGGTCTGGAAGCGGGGCGTGAAGGTTTTTGACACTGAAGATGATGTTACTCGTTTGAAGGCTTGATCTTTTGCGGAACTTGCCTTGTTGCGTGATGGTAGATGATGGCTAGATCATCAGACCAGCGAACTTGATGGCTAGAGGCTGGACTGTAGCTTGCCGCGGTGACTCTGTGATACTATACAAATCTGCTCTTGTTCGGTGTTGATTGGTGCAAGATTATACAGCATATCAGAATAGATGCGAACGAGATAGAAAGACTGTTTTCTTGCTGTCCATGATAGAAGCACATTCTGCTTTTATCATCTTCCTCGCGTCGGGAAAACCGTTCAGCCCGCTTCTACTAGCTTGCTTGTTGATCTTCAGCCCCCATGCACTGCTCCAAGCGCCGGAGAAGCTGTAGAGCGGTAGTATCAGTATGGATTCGCTGTTGATAGAAGGTTTGAAGTTTAAGCAAGCCATCCAAAGCGTCCGTAATCGTTACCGGTGCAACGGGATCTGTTCCGGCCTCTCCCCCTGCGTCTGCTTCTTCTTCTCCCTGTTCCTGATTGGCAGCCTGTTCCGGAGCCCTGCTATCAGGATCACCCCTAGCATTGGCATCGCTCGCTTTTCCCCGGCGCGGCCGACTTTTAACACCCCACCGAGCCTGGAACCGATAAAGCCATCCGTAACTGAACGAAGGCACCATCCCAACCTTCTCAGGATATATATAAGGCCAAAGCTGCACAGCCTTGGCTCGTATCGCCGCGACAGAGAAGGTCCCCGATTGTCGGGCCTCTTGAATCCATCCTGACAGGGCGGTTTCGAGCTCCGGCCAGTGTTCTGTTCGCTGGCGTTTCGCGCCGCGACGATGTGCAGGCAGATCATCGAGATGTGCGTACCGTGACGAAAGGATTTCCGATACGGATGCCGTAGCGAGTGGCCAATTATATGTGGCCTCAAACCAGCTCTGGAGGCTTACGTTGGTCGCTGAAGGGTCCAGCTGCCTCTGAGTCTGTTCGTTTGTGATCGCGAGGCGTTTGGGCATTTCGCTAATTGGTGAGGATGATATGAATACTGCCAATGAGAACCTCGATATGACTTCGTCTTATAACTTTTGTTGTGATGCGAAAAGGAGGGATTCTGTAAACGGAGGGGATGTCGTGTTTTTGACGAGTTCGTTATTTGGAGGTGGAGTTATTGCAAATTGGCACGAGTAGCTTGACGTAGACTGGGACCCGCGTTACAAACAGTGCTCGGAACAATGAGATTCCCATTACAACGAGCTTGCTACCTACGGCTCCAACCTGCTATACAAACCTTTTTATGTCTGCCTTATTAGAAACTTCTTGGGTTGAAGCCTTGTCACTATATGTTAGCTCGTTATACTGGGATCAATGTTGGGCTAGGAAGATAATAGGTATAATACTACCGATAAGTAATTCAAGGTGAATAAAAGTGATGTGACTGGTCACATCATCCTTAGTCGCTATTATCAGTTGCATCTCAGGTTCCGGCTTTTACCACCGAACCCTTTACTCTATCGAATAGATCAGTCCGCTGTTATCAACCCCGGTAATGTGTCTTGCGCCTGAGGCGGCAATCCGAGCTAGATAGCCTGTGACTTCAAACAGGAGCTGTACTATAAAACACACTAGCAGTATATTGTCCAAGCCCAGCAACGGGCAATTCTGCAATGGTATGCCTCTCAGCAGACCCCACACAAACGAGGCTTCACAAGGCTGTGGTGATCGACCTTCGCACCCAGACACTAAGGAAGGGCCAGATCTCTTCTGGCCCGCCGCCCCCAAACCCCCCGAGCCGCCTCATAAATATATACTCCTCCAGCGATGCCATACCGAGCGTGCACTTCTTCAATCTCATCAACCTGTCATCTAATCCTCATCGTTTAAAATGCCCCTTCTCAAACTACCACCAGAAGTTCTCCAACTCATCATAACCCAACTTCCCTCACAAGCCTCCCTCGCGACCCTAGCGCGAGTATGCCGACACCTCGAATCGCTCGTCGACCCGATCCTCTACCGCACCATCTACCTGCGCAACCACGATGATACGTGCCTAATTCGTGCACTCGAGTCTCGCCCGGAACGGGCGCAGCACCCCCGCGAGCTACAGATCCACTACCACTACGTCGACGTGCCTAACCAGACAGAGTACTACCCGCTGCTGGTGGAGAGTCTTCTGCCGACCCTCAGCCGGCTGGTCAACCTCAAACGGCTGACCGTCAAGGGGCTGCTGTACGATGTGATCCGAGACGGGGTCGACGAGCCGGATCTCGGCAATGCGGAAAGATTCGACACCTACGCGATGGAGTGGTTCCGCTTTTTTGAGCGCGCCGCGGAGTCGGGGTCGAATATTTTGCCCGCTTTGGAGTCTTGTCCGTTCCCCGTTACCCACCCTCTCTTTTCTTCTCAGCGACCCTACTGAGAGAAACAGTGGACAGTGCTAATAACCCAAAGCAGGCCGCATGATCATGGACGATGTACCGTACGACCCCGAGCGGCGAACAGAGCTCTGGAGCTTCGACTCCCGGAGCTCCGTCGTAGTGCATCCCCACCTGAAGGAGCTCAGCCTGGTCGGGGCGGTGGTCGACGGTCTGGGTCCTGACCTAGAGTACGAGCCGCGCTCGACCCCGCTGGAAAGTCTCACGCTGCTCTGCTGCGATGTCTCCGCGGCTGGGATGGGCCAGCTGTTGAGCGTCCCCAAAGCCCTGAAGCATCTCACCTGGAAGGGTGTTCCAGCGGTAAATCCCCCGGACTTTTGGCCGGCTGACCGGATGAGCTACATCCAGATGATCCGCACCCAGGCTGATTCGCTGGTCAGTCTGGATCTGGATCTCTGGGCGCCCATTCATCAGCATCCACCATTGGATCTGCGCGCCTTGCGCTGTCTGCGGCAGCTTACGGTTGATCCAAACGTATTCCGCCGCGCGGACGTGAGCGCGCAAGAGTGTGTGCTTCCCGGGAGCTTACAGAAACTGGTGCTGAGGGCGTACCGGGAGTATAGCTTGCCAGATCTGGGGCCGTTGGCTCTGGTGTATGGCTGGGTGTCGTCGGGAGCGCTGCCGAGTCTGGGGTGTGTCACGGTCCAGTCGGCCCGGTTCCAAGCAGAAAAGATCCTCGGTGCTGTGTTTAGGGATGGCGGATCATTTGAGGATGCGTTTCGATCGATTGGGGTGCAGCTGGAGTATGAGCGGGTCCGGCCCAGTGTGGAGGAAGAGCATTTCGCTTTCGACTGCCCATGTTGCGCGTGGGCGTTGCGATGGAACAATGGGTTGGACTGGTGAGTTGATGAGTCTATGCGATGCAGATATAGCCATAATGAGTCAACATGCAGACATGAGTAAAAAAAGTTCAATATGAGTCGGATCAAAAATGGAGCCACCAAAGGTACGGCATCGTCATCACCAACTGGCGGGCCCACCTGAGCGTCATCCGGCCCTCGGCGTCCACATCTGGAAGCCGAGGCCCCTAGATAAGGCGGCTGGCTGTCCTCGTCGCATCTTGGATAAGTACATACAACAGTGTACACAACTTTTCTCAAACCCGGATCGAATAGAGCCACAAGGAACGATCAAAATGTCTCGATTATCCCCCTCCCTCAAAGCACTCATCAACTCCCCCGCGTCACGCCCACACCCCCTCCCAGCCCCGCGCAACATCGAATCCGTGTACGCGAAGATCCAACAAAGCGCGCAAGCAAATGGCCTGTCGCAGCCCTCATGGCTTGCTCTATCGGTACCTTAACCCTTCCCAACAAAAGCTTTTTCACACCCTCAATCTAACCACCATCCAGACAGCAACAACCATCACCATGAACTCCCCGGACTCCCTACCCATCCTCTACCAGCTAGCCACCACCTCCGCCCCCAACCCAATCTCCCCCCCCTCGGAAGCACAATCCATCCAAACCGCCGAACTCATCCGCGAAACTGCCCTAAAATGCATCAGCTTCAACGGCATCCCCCGCACGATCAACAGCCTCAACGCCTTCCGCGCCTCGTTGCCCGCCAGCATCACCGCCTCCCTCTCCATCACGCCCACCCGCGAACCCAATCCCGAAAACATCACGGACATCCACTCCCGCGGCTGCGCCCTCTGGGACTCCATCTACCGGCCCTTCGAGACCAGACTTTACGACAAGCTGGCCGCCGCCCACCCGGACCTTCCCGTGCACATCCTGAATATGAACTACGGGGCGCTGCTGGCGGATCCGCCATCCGGCCAGAAATTGGTGGGGCGGGTGTTGACCTCGTTGGTGGCTGTTGCGTGTCTACGCGCGCAGACGGGCGTGGCGCCCCAGCTCGTGTCGCATGTGTTTGGGCTCCGGAAGGCGGTGGAGGATGGGTCGTGGAGGGAGGATTGTCTGGAGAAGGGGGAGGTGGAGTGGTTGGCGAGCGAGGAGGGGTGTGCTTGGGTGTTGGAGAGTGTGGATGAGATTGTCAAGGCTATTGGTGGCGGGGAGGCGAGTTTTGCTGCTGCGGGTAGAGAAGGGAAGTTGTAGGTTGTGGGCTGTGTCTGTGGTATGTTGAACACAAGGGTTGTGGTCAAGTAGAGGGGGTTGTATATACTGTGGTAGAAGGGTGTTTTGTACAGTACAGCAGTTGTATATCCGGCTTAGAGAGATATATGTATAGGCCTTGCATAGTGGTACTAGTAAGTTGCGTGGTAGATCTACGTCTGTGGGTTGTGATATATTATAAAGTAGTGCCGGGGTGAATACTGTCTGGAAAGGACCCAGGAGCCTGGTGTTTGCCTCGTACTCTCCGCTATATATTCACCCTCTTTGTATGTGCTGTTTTGATTTATAATTACAATAGTGAGAAAAGCAAACATCAACTGGGTCCCATAGCTCAGTTGGTTAGAGCGTAACGCTAATAACGTTAAAGTCGAGGGTTCGAGCCCCTCTGGGACCATCTTTTTATCTACCTGCGACATCTTTTTGGACTGTACATACCACGAACAACATCGCGTGCGTGACTCTAAATCCAATTGGTTGTGAACGGAGAGAGCCCTTGGTCCTCCGCATGTTTGCCAAAGAAGTCATTCATTCTCATTAATAGCTAGCGCTAAGTCGTCACAAACGGAACACATCCAAATCATAAACCTGGGTATCCTATTACCAGAACAGCAGCTGGCCTCACAACGGTGTCATTCCGGCTTCTGCCCGTACACAATATGGACCTTGGTGTAGAGATGCAAATTCGGGTCGCGGAGCTCGTTCTTTATCCCCGCGACGAACACCTCGATCTCGGACCTCTGCCACCCCATCACCCGCGTGAACAGCGCATAGCAGTAAGGGCCCATGGCCTCGAGCATGTTGACCTGGTGGAACTTGCCCAGGTCCTTCATCTTCGGGTCCTTGGCCCACGGGCCTTGAGGGAGCTTTTACACTCGTTAGCGAACGCATGCCTCCCCACATGTATAAGTATCATACCTTGTAGATCTCCTCCCGTACATTCACAAATCCCGCTTTCTCCATTTTGTCCTTCCATCCGTGCACGGTCCGCATATCCTTTCCGTACTTCGAAGCGCAGTCGTGCATGAACTTAACCCCTTCCAGCAGGGTCGTGGCCTTGAGATGCGTCCCGTCGTCCGAATAGGTGTTGACCTCCATCGAGGCAATCTCAAACCAGCCGCGCGGCCGGAGATTCTCGAGCGCTTGTGCCATTAGCCGGTCGACGTCGCGGATGCAGCCCTCCAGCTCGCGACCGTGGATGTAGTCAAACGGTTTGCTGTACGACCAGGGTTGTTCAAAGTCGTCAATCTCGAAGCGGCAATTCGGCGGGACCCTGCGATGATGACGAGTTAGTCCTGCGAGCGGAGAATCAACCAGAGAGAATTTACCATGACGGTTGAATGGGACTAAGGTCGTTGCCTGAATGATCCGCGCACAAGCCATAGTCAGCCATATCTCTTCTGCGATTGTTTGTCTGCCAGCCGGGGCATGCGGTCATTACCGATAACTTCAGATCCAGTATGCTGACTGCCAGGAATGCGAACACATCAGCCGTTTTGTTCACCACCCTTCGTGTCCCCGGAATATGCTCTTCCCAAAGATCCGTGAAAGCGCCCCCCGCCCCTGCAACCTTCTATCCACCCGCGGTATAGGTGGGATGGCGTCCACTTACTCCGCAAAGTCTATTGCCCATATCCCCGTCCCGGTGCCGATATCCAGAACGCGAGCGGGGTTCTTGATGGGCGCACGGTGCAATTCGCCTTTCAGCAGCATGCTATAAATATGATGACTCTGTTCACACGCGACCGATCAATATCCATGTTTTGTGTCCGATGATCCACCATCTCATTCCCTTTGCGCCGACGGTGTGTGTACTAACCAAGTCGAGTCGATCTTGCTCTTGTTCGTCATTGGGCTGCGGCTTGCATCAGTATGGAAATGCGATCTGAGGACGAGTTTCGTTGCCCAGGCTTGGAATCGCAAGAAAGGGGCGTCTCATACTAATACATATTCACCCTCATGGTAGGAATGATATCTGCGACCGTTCTGAGGGCGAGGCGAAATTGGTCAGAGATGAGGATGCGGCAATCGGGTTCGGGAAACCTAGAAATACCTCATAGCTGGAAAGTGTCAGCTCGTACTCGGGTGAAAACATAATAAAAACAATTTCTCAGATACATACGCATAATTCATAGCACTCGAGGCGAGACTGGAAGTATAACTGGCATCATCCAGCCTGCTGGTTTTCAAAAAATATTAGTATCGATGCTGAAAGGCGGCGCAGTGGTCCAGCGCGAAACCGCGGAACGGCGGACGTCAGAATCGCGGGCTGGCAAACTTACGAGTCGGGATAAGTGGAGTCGTTGTCATCGAAGTCCTGACATTCACCAGCGGGTTAGATGGCCGGAACTGGGAGGTAGATGGTTAAGGTTTAGCGTAGTGACTGACATCAGGTTCAATGATGCTGTCATCATCTTCGTGCGGCGAAGGAGTTCTGTCGGCGCACATTTTGAAGAGTAGAGAAAAGGAGTGAAACAAGTGAGGAAGTGAAGAAGTGAGGTGGTGGTGGTGGTGGGTAAGACGAGAGAATTAATGAATAGCGGTGGCCAGGAGTGAACCACCACCACGGGCAAAGCGTTGGTATCGATTTTCCCCACCAGTCCAACTGCAACCCAAGATTTGAGCAAAGCGGCGGAGAAGAAGAAAGAGGATGTAATTGTATGCAATAGAATTCCAGAAGAATAAAGGGGGGGCCCGTTGGGACTCTCCTAAGTTAGTTAAGTTAGTTAAGCATAAAATAGTAATTGACAGATGCTACGTCGCAAAGAAGAATAAAAAAAACAAGAATGGCACTTTTCGGAGTAGTAGGAACTCCGATATTTAAGCCAGTTCTGAAGAAGCAGCGGAGGACGGTAGAAAATCAAGAATATTCGGATCAGAAGCCATAAGACACACACAAAGACAAGAAAGATTCACGAACTAGATACTATCACAGTAATCATAAATATAATACTGTAATAAGGGGTTAAGGAATCGATTGGGCCGAGGGAGAAAGGAGGACAGACGTGCATGCAGCCAAACCTTGAAAAGACTGAAGAAACGACAAGAGTTATGCGGGTACAACTGTTGAGATCCCAGTAGTAGCAACTGGCTGGGCCCAAGAAGGATTCCGTACAGCTAGTGCCAACTTCTCAAGTACGGTGTAGACGGTGATGGTGCGGTGGTGGAGAGGTAGCGGTCGCTTACGGGATGCTACTGCCGCCAAAGGATGGATCGTGGTGTTTATCTTGGGTGTGTTGTCTGGAGGCAAGTTGGGACTTTGGAACTGTGCAGGGATTAGACTACTTACCTACATGGTACACAGTCTTGAGTTGGAGGTCTGAGTCTGAGTTCGAGAATTGATGACAGCACGAGATACACTCGGCCTATCAGATCCATTTTGCTGACTACTCACTCAACATCTTTGCGAGTGCAATGATCCATCATTCTTCAGCAACCGAGAGGAACGAGCAGAGATGCATGCACCAATGCACGCGGTCTGCGAGTGTCTTCGCCAAATAACGAGGTTCTCAGTGCAACCAATGGGGCCGAGTCCCTCCAAGACATGCTGGCTAGTGTCTATTCCGTACTGTCTAGCCTAACAGTAATTCGTTTGAACGGCCCACAGGGCAGTCTCGGCTCTGATTTCACCAGCCTATGAACCCACGATGTATACGCTGCAGGAATACCTTTGCATGGATCAATTGGGTTATATATCCCGTCGTGCGCTCTGACAGTGACATGCTTTCGTACTTTGTGAAAAGAGTTTCTTAGGGATGGTATGATGTGATCTCTCTCTCTTGAGACCATTTAAGAATTCGAATCAGAGCCAGACATCCCCGCGGCCCCTGCTGGACACCGGTAGTGGGTCTAAAACCCCTTCCTAGTTGCCTACTGTACTTCATACTCTCTCCGCTCGTCGATCCCCCCAAGGCCAGTTATACTTTGAGCCTACTAATCATGACTTTCAATGGTGCTCGACCGTGGCTGTTTTACATCTACCCAGCGCAACACTTCCGTGCTCAAATGCTGTCAAGCCCGATGACCTAGACTTACCACGGCAAAGGTGCGACCATGTCACTTTCTCCCCCAGTTCGTGCGAAAAGCGGCAACACATAGCACTTGCAGGAGAAGGCATGATCGACCAGAAGATCTGGTAGGGCGTCGTCAACCAGCATGACCAGACCTGCCTAGGCACACCGAGTAAGCAGATACTGACTGAACATAACTTGGAGTATAAGCTCAATTGCACAGTTCGTGTACTGCGACGCCCCACCTACCACCCATGCTTTATCCTCTTCCGCTTCCATACAGTACATCTAGACTCTATAGTAGATGCAGTTCTTACCATCTCCGAAGCAAGACATACAAGCAACTTAGAGTTTACCCCAGAGCCAAGCATAAGCCCTCCCCTCATAAAGGATGCCGTAGGTAGCAGTCAGTGCACACACGCCGCCGTCAGAGCCAAGTAGACCATAAACCTACACTCCCAACCGACCTGACACTTATCAAATCACAGAACCCCGGACAAACCACTGCCCATCTCTCTGGGTTCCAAACTCGACCAAGCCCTCCCTCCTGATCAGAACAACCAACAAACCAGAGAGTCCGGTAGCAGTAAGTAGCAGCTCCCAAGCCCAAGTGGTAAACTTAAGGTAAATAGTAGAGGTACCCTCACCTCGTTTCCCACCGCAGATACATTATTACACCGTTCGCTAGTAGTCCAGCCGCCTCGCAGTTGGCTCCGAAAGGGCCTCGGTTCGACCTACCATAAACGGGCTGCCAATTTCCTACTACGTAGAGACCGGGTGAGTCGACTCTGTGCGTCTGAACGCAGCTCCTAGACAAGACTATGCGCCCCGGCTGGCGGTGGTAAGTGATTGGGTTATCGAGTTCGAATCTGGAGGCCCAAGCGATCCCGTGCCCGTGTGGAGTGGTACTACCTCTACCGATTGCCAGTGCGTATTCCCTACTGATTGCGCCGTACTCAGGGTCTCGCAAGACCTCCGTCCCAGGCTTTGATTCCCGAAAAGGCTAACGGTCGATGGGTTGTCCGCTCGCTCCCTCGAATCGAGGTCCTGCAGGTGATTGGGGATATTTCGTGTTGCTTCTTCCGGGACTATGGGGTGGGGCGGGTAGTTAATGGCTGTGGCCATTAGGATGAGAATGTAAAGATGGGAATAGGATTAAAGCGAGTCCATGTGGTTGACGGATTGGTAATTCATTGGGAAAGATTTCATTGTGGGTGGTGATTATGGAGTGTTCATTACTTGTGACCTAGTTTATCATCATTTTGAAAGAGGTGATACCATCGCAGGCTTTTTGTGCGCTGACGGCGTGGAGAGTATTGAAGTTAGGTTCTCGTCTGCAGCACACAGTATATACACCACGCACAAGACAATGCAACGGTTCTGCTATTACATTTGATGGTCAGGCCGTGGTAATTGTAAGTAGTCAGTGTCCAAGTCAACCGAGCAAGCAAAACAATCCAATGCGGGCGGTACAAACGGTGCAAACAACCGCCGGAGCCTCACAACTTTCTGCCGCCCTGACGCGCTCTAGCAACCCAGTCTAGCAAATAGTCAGATTATCGTTGCGAGTGTGATTTATCTAGCCAATTCATTACTTGTAGGTGCTCCAGATGAGCCTGAACATGTGGGATATTCGATCTGGAGTCTGGTTGCTGATCTCACCGGTAGAATCACCCTCAACCCCCCAACCACCGCCGCCGTTGCTGGGCTTAGTTGTTTATCCGCCGCGCTTTGTACCCCCGAAAGTCGCGTCCATCCAGCGCAGCATAGTATCGAAACCGCATTGCGCATCACCCGTCCACCCTCTCTTAACCAGACTATATATACCGAACACAATGCCCAAGCGAAAGGCAGCAGCGGCGCTATCCAGCCTAGCAGGTTCCGACGACGAGAGCATAATCCAGCCTGGCGGCGACCGACGCGAGGGCGCGCGCCCAGCCAAGAAACCCCGGGGGCGGCCGCGGTCGAAATCCACCGAACTGAGGGCTTCGCCACAGATGAGACGGGAGTCCACAACCCAGGTAGCAACACAGGAGGCCACAGAGGGGCCCGGGAAGAAGAGCGGGCGGAGGGGCAGGCCGAAGGGCAGCAGGAATTCGGTGCAGGCGGCTCCCTCGCAGGACGAACCAGACCACAAGGACTGGTCCCGGGCCACCGAGGCTGCAGACGAACCTGAAGCCCTGGCTCAGCCGGCGGAGGAGTCGACCGCTGTCTCGAACGATGAGCTGGCCGAGGCACAAAACCCACCCCCCAAACCCTCGAAGCGCGGCAAGTTGTCGAAGTCGGCGAAGACGGGGTCAGGAGCGGGAGGTGCGCGGTCGCGCGGCAAGACGGCTGAGAAGCAGGTCGTAGCGGATGGTGGATTTGAATATACCCCCTCGAGCAAGCGACGTCAACGTTCACCGCGAAATGAAAGCGAAGCACCTCCGCGGAAGACGCGAGTGAAGGAGAAGGCCGGGGTGAAGGATACGCAGGATCTGTCGGAGGTGGAGGATGATGTGCCAGAGGAGGCAGCGGAGGAGGTTGATGAGACGGTGCTGCAAGACGCTCCGAATGAGGCTCGGTCGCGCTCGGCCTCGCCGGCAAAGCGCAGACAGTCCCTGCGGGATGCGCGAGTGTCTCCCTCCAAACCGCGGACTAGTGATGAGCCCGAGTTGCGACGGAAGATCGGCGAGTTGACGAAGAAATGTGATACGCTGGAGAGTCGCTATCGGACTCTCAAGGAGATCGGCATAGTCGAGGCGAATGCGAATATGGAGAAACTACGGAATCAATGCGAGTCAATGACCGCCGGTGCGTATGCCAGATTTTGCACATATAGGGAGAGTCGACTGACGCGAAACAGTCTCGGACAAGATGATTGCCGCCTTGAAAACCGAATTAGAGGCTCAGAAGGTTCTTGGCCAGCAAAGCCGGAAACTACAGAAACAGTTGCAAAACCGAGACGAGGAAGTCGCTCAGCTCAAGGCCCAAGCTGAGGAGACGGAAAGCCAACTCTCTTCTGCCCAGAACGAAGTCAAAGCGTTGCAGACGAAACTTTCTGCCGCCCGTAATACTGCTGCAAGTCTAGAGAGCGCGGCGGCGACTATGAAGGTCCCTGGCAGCGCCATCAAAGGAGGCTCCAACCGCGCTACCGCTGCGGCGAGTGCGGAAGCTGCGCAGGCAGCTCAGTATGCACAGTTGAAAGAAGACCTCTATAGTGATCTCACTGGGTTGATCATACGTGATATCAAGAAGCGTCAATCGGACATACTATACGATTGCATCCAGACTGGTAGTAACGGAAGTAAGTATACATACATGGTCTACTCTGCTACTTGCTTGCGCTAACCGACACAGCTCTTCACTTCAAATTGGTTGTCCCTCATGTATCATCCACCAACTACGAGTCGGCCGAGTTCCAGTACATCCCTCTGCTGGACGATAAACGCGACCGAGACCTGATTGACATTCTCCCGGAATATCTGACGGTGGATATCACATTTGCACGTCAACAAGCATCTAAGTTCTATACTCGTGTGATTGATGCATTGACGAAGCGGAGGAGTACTGCTGCCAGCTGATAGCCCTGGAGGCCACGCACGGCGCGTAATAAATCATTTGTGGAATTTATGTGGGGCTGTTTGAGGGCGACCGTCGGCGCAGACCTGGCCGAGTCGTCGGGGGGAGGTAGAGTCCGGTCGGCATTGGATATTTTCTTGCTTGTTAAGAAGTTTTGGCTTCTATACCAACATGCGAGTCTTTTTTTGGTGGGGGGGGCTTTGGGGTTTGTTGGGTTTGTTGAATGATCTTGTGTAGCATGAGTGCCACCTTTATCAAGTCCCTTGTCAAACTGTGCACAATTGAAAGTAATGGTATGATTTCGGGCTGGAAGCCGGAGGCGAAGACGGGGGGGGAAGAGGGGGCAGGCAGACCGCGGCAGGCCACGGACGGGGCGGGATTGCGGGAGACGATGCAGTGGGCACTGGGTACCCCTCGGGGTCAGCAGTTCTCCGTACAAAGCAGGGTCTCGCAACCTCGCCAAATTTCCCCTCCAACCACAGCTGTCGCCAAAATTGTCAAATGGGTCAGGAACCGTCATAGCTGAGCCCATCGCCTAATTCATTTACTACTAGCTGCCACTGCATCTATTTCATTTCCCCTTTACTATTTTACCTGTGAATTCCCACCCCTTCTCTCCTACTCTTCTTCTCTTCTCCTCTCCCCGTTCCCTCCCATCTAAAATCTCTCACCGGCGACCGCACTTGTTGTTGTACCCCGCCATGGCTGCCCCGCAAGAACTTGTCCCCCAGACCGAATCTATTGCGGAAGTCTACGCAACCGACGACGCTTCCACCACCTCGGTCGCTCCGGAGAATCAGTCTCGCTTCAATGCTCTGGTCTCGAAATTTACCAAGCTTTACTCACATCGGCCCGATTTCGTCGCGCGCAGCCCCGGTCGTGTCAACATCATCGGGGAGCACATTGATTACAACTTGTACGATGTCTTGCCCACCGCCGTCAGTGTCGATGTGATCATCGCCGTCAAGGTGGTGCCTGCGAATGGTTCCGAGTCCGTGGTCAAGATTTCTAACGTGAACCCGGAGAAATTCCCCACGCGCGAGTTCCCCGTGCCCCGCGACACGGACATTGAGATCGACCCCAAGAAGCATGACTGGGTCAACTACTTCAAGGCTGGGCTGTCGGGCGCTCTGAAATTCCTGCGCCAACGGAACTCCGACGGCTCATTCACACCCGCCAGCATGGAGGTCCTGCTGGACGGAAACGTTCCCCCCGGTGGTGGTATCTCCAGCAGCGCCGCCTTTGTGTGCGCCAGTGCTTTAGCGGTCATGAAGGCCAACAACCACGATGTATCCAAGCAAGACCTGCTCGATCTGGCGGTCGTGTCTGAGCGGGCGGTTGGTGTCTACTCCGGCGGGTGAGTTACGTTTCTGTGATATGTCGATTGCGGCCTCTGACTTTCCATAGTATGGACCAGGCGGCCTCCATCTTCTCCCGTCGCGGCTACTTGCTTTACACTCAGTTCTACCCCAACTTCTCAGTTCAGCACGTCCCTATTCCCAAGGCGGACGAAGAGATCACTTTCCTGATGGCGCAGAGTTTCGTCACCTCCAATAAGGCGGAGACCGCTCCCCGTCACTACAACCTCCGTGTCGCGGAGTGCACGCTTGCGTCTGTGGTGCTGGCTGCCCGCAACGGGCTGAGCCTGCCCAAGGATAACAGCTCGCTCGGGTACAGTCTCCGCAACTTCCACAATGAGCTGATGCGCAAGGAAGGTCGCCTCGGTGATCCCCTGGAGTACCAGATCGATTCTGTGATCCTGAGCACTCGGGAGATCCTGACCCAAGAGGCCGGCTACACGCGCGAGGAGATCGCCGACCTTCTAGGGATCACGGTGGATGAGTTGGAGTCCAAGTATCTGTCGTCGTTCCCCGTCCAGGCGGAGCGCTTCTCCCTGCGGCAGCGTGCCCTGCACTGCTTCACCGAGGCTCGTCGGGTGCTGGACTTCAAGGCTTGTCTCGCCAAGGCTCACACTCTGGATGAGAGGCGGATCCAGTATCTAGGCCAGCTGCTGAACGAATCGCAGGCCTCCTGCCGGGACCAATATGAGTGCAGCGCTCCCGAGGTGGATGAAATCTGCGCCATCGCCCGTCGGGCGGGCACGCTGGGCAGCCGTCTCACAGGCGCGGGTTGGGGTGGTTGCACGGTTCACATGCTGCCGCAGTCCAAGGTTGAAGCTGTCACCAAGGCGTTGAAGGAGGAGTACTACCTGAAGCACTTCCCCGACATCAGCGAGGAGAAGCTGGCCCAGGCGATGGTCATCAGTAAGCCGTCGAACGGCTCGTTTCTGTAAGTGCCCTTAATCTGACGGTGTGACAAGATGCTAACTATGACAGGGTGACGGGTGCGGCGATCGCGGAGGTTGAGGTCTAGGTTTTTTATGCAGCGTGGTACTATCTAGCGAGATGTAATATAGCTTAGTGCTGAGATTAATGGAGATGACTTGACTTTATTCCGATACCATTGTGCATACCGGCATCCTCGATGGTTTATGGGGGTCTCGATTATAGCTTCTCAGGGAGTGCATGATGTCATTCCCATTGCATTTATGCGCTGATTATGTACTGTGCAATGTGCAGTATATTGTTATGCCTCCGGCTACCAGCGGTAAGTTACCACCCGCCTGAACAAGCAGGCCACCACAGCCACCAAACAAAACAAACACCTTATCAGTCGTACGTTTATCGGTCTCATCTCTCGTGCACGCCGCATCGAACCCACCCCCTGATCTTCCTCCTACACCCCAATCACCCTCCAAAGATGTCTTAGCACTATGCCCATCCCGTCACACTCGACCTTCTCCCTCGCCCAACTGGCCGCTCCGGCCGTCACCACCCTCATCGCCTTCCTGGCCTATAGCTCGCAATACCTGCTCCAGCACTTCCAGCCGGCGCCGCTGCGGGGTTCGGAATTCTGGCGACTGAATGTCCTGGCGGCGTGCATCTGGATCTGCTACTATCGGACCTGCACCGTAGACCCGGGTCGCATCCCCAAAGACTGGAAGTCGAAGCAGCAGCAGCAGCAGCAGCAGCAGAAGCAGCAGCAAACCGCCAGCTCAGGGATTCGTAAGCAGCCGCTGGGGACGCAGCAAGTGGGAGGAATCGGAGCAAGATGGTGTCGTAAATGCGAAGCGTATAAGCCGCCGCGAGCTCATCATTGTCGAAGTTGTCAGAGGTATCGATCGCTCCCACTTCCCCTGGTCAATGCTCTTAGCAGTGAATGCTAGTCATAATCTTTTCTTCTGTGTCGTTTGTTTATCTTCTTCTCTATCATACTAATCAATATACTTGGTTCGGGTGAGCAGATGCATCCCAAAAATGGACCACCACTGCCCCTGGACCGCCAACTGCGTCTCACACTTCACGCTCCCGCACTTTGTGCGGTTCTTATTCTACGCGGTCGTGGGGATGGGGTATTTGGAAGCGGCGCTGGTGGAGCGCGCCTCGTTGGTCTGGGCTGCGAGGACGTTACCTAGTGTTTGTGCCCTTCTCCTCCTCCTCCTCCTCCTCCTCCTCCTCCTCCTTCTTTCCAAGTTCCCAGACATCCAGCTCCACCCTCCTCCCCGCGCGCACTCAAGAGGAAGAGAACGGATATAACTAACATCTCCGGGAGGATAGTATCTCGGCCCCACCGCCCTCCAACTCGCCCATCTCTTCATCCTCCTCCTCGTCAACAGCCTCACGGTCTTCATGCTTGGCATTCTGTTAGTGCGCACTGTCTGGTCCCTGGCGCTGAACATTACCACCATCGAGGAGTGGGAGATTGAGCGCCACCAGACGCTGCTGCGGCGCGCGCGGCATTTCGGGGGCTATCTGCAGGGGCCGGGGGGCGTCCGGGTGCAGATCCGGAAGCAGGAGTTCCCATTTGACGTGGGGGTTTGGGCGAATTTGAAGGCTGGAATGGGAGGTGGGAATGTATGTGACATGCTTGTTGTTGGATTGGTTTGATTCGGTCATTGGATCATGCGGCAGGGTGGCTAGCTGATCTTGAGCTATGTATGTTGATACTGACTATGCCGCTAACGCAGGTCCTAAGCTGGTTCTGGCCCCTAGCTCGAACCCTCGATCGGCGGTCCGGGTTGGAGTTCGAGGTCAATGGCTTTGAAGGTACCTGCCCCTGCCCCTGCCTCCTCCCCTTCCTTTCCTCAAAGATACATTTGGGGTCGGATATGCTAATAAATACATAGACCCCTCCCTCCCCTGGCCACCCCCCGACCCAGATCGAATTCCCTGGCGTCCTACCCCTCCCCTTCATGGTGCAAGCCACAGCACGAGCACGAGCGCCAACACCATCCCACCCACGCAGACCGAGACTCAACCCCCAGTCCTCCGCCGCAAACGCTTCCACCGCCGCTTCAACCACCGCGGCAATCCCACCGATGCTAACAGCGATGGTGACAACAGCAACTCTGCCAGTAACAGCGACGCTGAGTCTGACTCAAATCTCACCGAGATGGACGGAGAGGAAGGCTGGCGTAACGCCGAGGGCGAGCGGCTGCGCGACTTCGGGGTGGAGGAGGATGTAGAATTCTATGATGAGGAGGATATTCCGTTGGCGATTTTGATGGCGCGGCGGGGGCTGGTTGGGGGTTCTTAGTTTGTTGTCTATGGTGGTGTTTCTTTGTGTATCTCATGTGGGGGGTTTGCTTGTGGATTCATGTGGGAGGTTCAAGGTCAAAGGGTTCCGGATGGAGAATTAGGCTAGAGCAGTGGGTTTGTGAATTTGGGGCCATGGTTAGGCGTATGACCGGTATGGCAGTCTTAGCAGCCGTGTCCTGGCTGCGGAAAAAGCATTCGCCTCTGGAAGTGGGTTGAGTATAGATAGGGCCAAGCAGTCCACGGTACCGAGGTAAGTTATACTTGGCGTTGCTTATCTGCTTATCTGGAACTTGCTGAATATCTTAGGCTCAAGTTCGATACAAATGAGCTACCTACAAAATACCATAGAACGATCATCTAATTCAATCACATTCGGCCGAACAAGAGCCAGGGCCAAGCGAACGAGAGCTAATTTTATGCTAACGCCATCTAAATGCAATGAGACGCTCAGGGACTCACACAAGAGAAAACACAGGACGCCAATAACCAGAGCAGAAACAAAGTCGTAAAAGCATCAGTTGCGCAGACCGAAGGCCTGGCGCGCCCGACGGCGCAGCTCGCCCATCATCGCCTCCTGCGACTGCTTGGTGCGGCCGACGGCCTCGGTGTTCTCGACGGCGCGGCGCATCAGGAAACCCATGCACTCCTTGACCGTACCCCAGGTCAGCAACTTGTACACATTGGGCGACTCCTTGGTGGCGGCGGCGTCTCCCCCGGGGAAGCCCTGGAGCAGCTCGCAGCTGACCTCGTCGGCCATGCCCTGGAGCTGGGCGTAGCTGAGGTCAACGCCCTGCGACTCGCCGGCGGCGGCCTGCTCGAGGCGGATGGCGTGGGCCTTGCGGACGGAGTCGCGGTTGTGGGTGGCGATGATGACGTTGAGCGGGGGCAGCTGGGTGGTGTGCTTGTCGGAGTGCGGGCGGAGCATCGCGTTGTAGCGGCGGGTCAGGAGCGCCTCGACGACCCCGTCGTAGCACGCGTCCGTGTCCTCCTTCACGTCCCAAATCAGGTGCCGCGGCTCCGTCTTCAGGTAGGCGCCGCGCACCAGCTTGACGCCCGCCGTGAACCCGTGCTCGCGCGCGAACTCGAGGTGGCGTGAGATCGTGGCGGGGGTCGACTTCAGGTACGCCTGGTACGTGTTGAAGAAGATCGCCTTGCCGGGCGTCCGCGAGTTGCAGTACTGCTGGTATCTCAGCGCCCAGTTCTCGATCCCGTGCTGCACCGCCTGCTCCTCGGCGTCGACCAGCAGCCGTGCGTTGCGCGCGATCGCCAGGTCGCACACCTGCTTGATCGCCTTGTCCATCTGCTCCGAGGGGTCCAGCTTGTTCTGGAGGTAGTGGAGCACCTGGTGGCCCATTCCGGTCCATCTGTTGTGCAGATGCATTAGCTTCGTATTCTTGGAGGAAAACAGTTCCGGATTTTGGGTGGTGAAAATTGGGGGGAGAACCTACTTGAGAGCCACAAAATCACCCTCCTGCGCCATATCTACCGTCTTGAGCGTTCCATCAAGCCAGGTCTGGATCTCTTCGCGGGCGAGCTTCTCATCGAAGGGGTCGACGTTGCCCTCGCCCACCAGCACCTCGCGCGCGTACCCCAGCAGCACTCCGCGGTAGCCCAGCGATTTGATGTCGCGGATGGAGCGCGTGACCTCCAGCTTGTTCTCGCCAGCGTTAAACTGCTTGTAAATGGTGTGCTTGACGACGGCGTTTAGCAGCGGGTTGCGGGCCACGTCGAGCAGGGCGGACTTGGGGTGGGCCAGCGTGGATAGTGCGAAGATGCATGGCTTCAGCAGCAGTTTGGAAGACGAGACGGAGAGTATGACGAGCGAGCGCAGGACGGTCGACAAGGGCAGCTTGGCGAGGGGAGTGGTGGAGGAGGCGGTGCTCTGGAGGGAGGCGGAGACCTGGTGCTGCAGAGTGGTGGTCGACGAGGCAGGCGAGGCGACGACGGACGACTTTGCGTTGCTGGTGCGGCTGACATAGCGGCGGCCGGGGGCGCTGGCGAGTGCCCGCATCGGGCGGCGGGCGGCCTTCATAGTGATAGGATTTGTATGTAGTGTGGTGTAGTGTAATGTAATGGGTGTAATGTAGTGTAGTGTCTGTGAGAGGAGGGATAAGAGATGAGAAGAAAGCTCAATTCTAGAAGACAAACAAGATCAGGAGGGAAGATGAGAAGATTTCCTTGAAGGACTACTATAAGAGAGAAATTTCATTTCTTTGTAGTCCGGTCCGCGTGCTGTATAGATAGTCTGGAACTGATAGCAGGTGGGAAGCAGTAGCCGGTGGAAACCGGGCGGTCCTCCTGCCGGTTGCCCGCATACTCCTTATGTTAATATAGACAGCACAGTGACAGACCAATGCCGGTGATAGCCTTTCTCATTATTCATAAGAAGCTCAGGGGGAGCTGACATCAGTCAGCCACATGACTTCTGCCCTTCACTAAACTTAGAGAAAAATGCTTACACAAAACGCATTGCCCTCGTGATCGTCTCGTGATGTCAACCCGCATGGGGGACATTTTTTCCACTCCCCACAAGGAATAGATACTGTGGTGATCACCGATGTCATGAATTGTGGCAATTGCCAGACGGTGGCTACTCTGATCGGATCAGGTCCAGTGAGCACCTCCTAAAGTCCCTATGAACCGCCCCCTGCCCCAATGCGCATGACCTGAAAGCATCCTCGTACAACAGTGACGCCTGGAAAAGTGGTTGATGCGTTCATGGGGGAGGCGACTGCGATAAGGCGATAAGCAGCAGCAGCATCAACAGCGCCGGTGAACGGGCCGGTTGGTTCAACTGCCCCACCGGAGTTCAAGTGGCTGAACCGGCCCGGTTAAGCGAGTCTGGCACGTGCCCCGTTCAATAGCTTCCCCCTTTGCGGTCGATTCTCGGGGTATCGCAGACCGGGGTGGGTTTTCCATCTTATCGGCTGACGCTAGCCCGCCTCGGGCAGTACATCCAGATCTACGATTACGATGTGCAGGACATACGGAAATCTTTCACCATCCGGAAGAGCCCTCCCGATGGTGTCCATCTCAGTAGCGGGAAGCATTTCCGTCCAAGACTGATCTCAACTACCCAATGATGTTCTCCAAGAGTCTAGCTCATGGCATATGGCTTATTCAGCGCACAAGATCAGTGGTCTTATGTGGTACAGGAGACAACGGAGATACACAGGGTCATTTCAATAATGTAGTCGTGAATGCCAAAGAACAGGCAGATCATGCTTTCATGCAATTACATTCAAAGAACCAAGACAGGAGATTGCGGCTAAGGGTATGACGAAAGAAGAGAAAACAGGAACAGATGCTAGCAACTCAGCCTGTTATAAAATCCATGCACCCAAGGCCGCTGCCAGCAGAACTGACACCATCACCGGGCTGTTTGAACCGTGCGAGGCGGCGCTAGTGGCCGTCAACGAGGTAGACGCGAAGACGTATTTGAACCCGATGTCCGACGAGTTGAAGCAGTTGTCCTTGGTGACCTCGGCGACCTCATCGTCCTCGGCAAAGGTGATATCCACGCACTTGATAATGAGCCATTAGCACGGCAGAAGATCGATCGCAAACAACGATACTCACATCGTATAGAGCTGCTCCATGTTTCGCCACCTCGACGATCTGAATGGTGGCGTTGTCTCCCGCCTTGACGGTCATATCGGCCGGCAAGGGCACCTGTGGCAAACAGATCGTGCCCGGGTAGGGGTTGTTGCTGGGGCCGGTAATCTCGAAAACCGAGACCATGGGAAGACTCATGTTTTCGGGGATCGTCCCGATACCCAAGTTGATGTACATGAAGGCCGTTGAGTGACCCTGGAACCAGCCCGGCTGGAGAGCGATAGCGCCACCGTTAACAGGCCATTTGGTCCGGTTCGTCGACGTGGGCATACCACCGCCTGATGAGCAGTCAAATGTTAGCGAGAATGCTTGGCAGAAGACGGACCATCGAGCATACATGGGTAGATCCATTGCATTCCATAGGGATAGACGTAGGAGCCATTCTCCCACGCCACGCCCAATCCGTTGGTCTGCTGAACCGTGCCGTTCGTGTGCAGGTTGTTACCCCGATACCCAGGGTAGGTGATGATACTATGGGCGTTGACGAGACTGAGCGAGAGCAGCGTCAGGGCTGCCAGGCAGCGCGATATTGACACCTCGAAGGTCTGCATATTGTCTGAATGGGATTGCGAGCCGCGAGGGGCGCAAGGACAAAAGGAGGAAGGTAAGCAAGCGGCAAAAGAACGAAGACCAAGAGTCTATGCGCTCCAGTCAAAGCTCCCAAAAGCCTGTTCGAATGTTTCAGTTCGAGTTACCGAGAGAGCCAGACGGCATCAGAAAGGATTCTCATCGAAACACAAGCCACCGTGAATCAGGAGGGTTGGCAAGAGTTTTTGAGTGCCAGACTGAGGGTATGGGCAGTTCCTACGATGGCGCCTGCATAGTGAGGATGGCGGGGACTGCAGGTCCAGTTCAACGAGTCAAATTGCAGAGCACGGTGTGATAACTCCCGCAGGGGAGACCATCCAGGGTCGATAGTTCAGGTTGAGGATTGTCCAGTCTAGATAGCAGGAGACCATGCGTTGCACCGAAGAGGCGGAGAGACACATCGCCTGAGGCTGGGGATTGGACAAGAATTCAGTCCAAGCCGCGGGGCTGCAAGAGAAATCACGTTGACCGAGTTGAAAGAGGCATTTCTGCGATGTTATTCGTTGGGGAAGAATTGGAGGTAGCGCCCGGATCGGAGGCTAGAGGAGGAGAAATGCGGGCGCTATTCAGTCTGGGCGCTTAGAGATCAACTGCGACTGATTGCGGCGGAGGTGTGACAGAACTGCAATCACCTTAGCGTCAATGTGTGTGAAAGAGTGCAATAGAGCAGTGCTTGCGGGTAATGGTCGGTAGTAATTGGCTTGTTGGCCTTTCCCCCGCTTTAGACTCAGTATCGCAAACTCAACGCTCAGTTCATGCTTAGAACATTTATTCCTCGACCAAGTAAAACTATATCGCAGCCCACACTGTAACCATGCATCTTGAATGGCCACGACTAGTAGCAACCACTACAGTGAACCTCCGATCAAATGATGTCTGGATCAACGGATTGCCTACTTTAGACGATCGTTCCGCCCCTAGAATTTATATCACCGTACAAATATCGTTTCTCTTCGCGGTAGAAGGATTATCGCATGATGAAGGCTCTCCCCATACAGATATCACTACATAGAGGAGTAAGCACGTGATTCTAACTAACAAAGTAAGAGAATCTATTAGATGATATCGATTCAAAAGTAATAATCACGTGTTTATACTGTTGAACTACTAATTCCATCTTACAGAATCCAGTTCTTTGATGGACTGAGTTATAACTGACCGCCTGTATGATATACTGATATCTACCTGTCTACAACGATGCATATGGCGTGACGCTTCCCGTGGTTGTTGTGAGGGGGGTCCACTGTACTCTTCATTGTACTCTGTTGTACAATTTGGCCACCAGGTCATTATCACGTGATAGTCATATGCCGTGTCCTGCATGTCACTACAAACAGTGCAAACACGGACTACCGCCTACGATGATGGGCTGCAGAATTTCAGACCCATCACAAAATATTTACTTGAAATTGTGCGGAGTATAGAAGCGTTATTTAGATCAACTCGTACTACCATCGGCTACTAAACATGCACACTCTCAAAGCAGTCGCGTCATCCTCACTGTCCCTTGCCGAGGACCACTACATCTATTCTATTGCCGCCGCAGCTCCCGGCTCATTTGCTGTAATCTCATCCGACGACTCGCTGCGGGTTTTCAATGCCGACGATCTCAGCAATTCGTCCATAATCACGCCCAGTGCACATGAAGGCGTAACGTCTCTTAGATCCTACGATGCGGGCCAACAGCTCCTGGCCACGACGGGGAGAGATGGCAAGGTGAAGCTATGGGATATGCGCCGCGGAAAAAGCCCGGTCGTAGAATTGCATACATGTAAGTGAACTTTTTGTTGTTCTGCAGCCTACGTCCTTTTTGGCTGGATGGCATTGGCGAATGGAGAGAAGAAGTATCCACCTCGTCTCAGCACATATCTCAAGGACAAGACGACAAAATAAGTACCGCATGCGCGAATATTTGCTTACCCTGTCTTAGTAAATCATGCTCCCGCCTTGTCGCTTGCATGCTCTGCCCAAACTAATGATATTGCTGCGGGAACCGAGTACATCAAGCATGACAATGTGTATCAAGCTGTGGTTGCCTTTTGGTATGTCCTAAGCCCTATGTTGCATTTACCTGCGCCTATGTCCAGGAGTCATCTACGGACTGCATGATTGTGTTAGGCTGGCGCGAAGCTAACTGTCAAAAGGGATATCCGTTCAGCGAGTCAACCACGGTTACAATACATTGAAAGTCACAATGACGATGTCACAGAGGTGAGCCTTGCTGCGCTGAACGTCCGCGTTGATCAATCGTCGTCACTTGCTAACCAAGAAAGCTTCAATATCACCCAACTCTCAACCACATCGCCCTGTCCGGAAGCACTGACGGGCTGGTGAACATCTATAACACCAATATCACCGATGAAGACGACGCGCTGGTGCAGGTCATCAACCACGGATCCGTCCACCATGCCGGGTGGTTGGATGAGAAGACAGTCTATGCCCTGAGCCATGACGAAGATTTCGCCATTCATCCGATGACGGACCCCGATGACCAGACCGCCGGGGAAGCCGAGCCCACTCAGTTCAATGACTTGAGACAACCGCTCAACTGTGAATACGTTGTGCAACTATGCCAGAACAGTCAAGGCCAGTACATTGCTGCGGGCAACAAGCTGTATGGAAACCATCCTTTTGCTACAGGTTGAGAAACCAAGCTGACTTTTATAGCGAGCAACGGCTGGACCTGGTTCCGCTTGTATCCTCACCGTCGTGGCAGTTCGACCAGACCAATTCGTGGCGTCTTCCAGGCGCTCATGGAGAAGAGGTCATCCGGTCGGTCTATGTGGACGAGCAGGTAAGTGTCCCGACCATAGACACCAGCCCTTACACGAGCTAATTTTATGTCCCAGTCCCAATCTGTATTGACCTGCGGCGAGGACGGGTGCGTCCGGGTGTGGAAGCCAGAGGCTGGAGACTCGGCCAGTCAAACGGACAGTTCGGCCAAAGGAACGCGACAGAAGGAGAAGCGATCCAAGAACAAAGATCGATTCAAACCCTACTAGACCGATGAATCAGATTTGCATTAGCGACCATTTATCGGGCGTCTTCGCTTGTCAATACTACAGTGCCCGGTAATCTCAGATACTACCACATTGCGAGCAAGTGAGGTCTCAAAAAAAAGAACAAGTCATATTCTCATTAGCATATCATTAATAGAAACCATCTCAAACACTGATCATGTTCAAAAACCTGTTCCCCAACTCATCCGCCGCCATCGGATTGCCCCCCGTCACCAGCTCGCGATGCAGAGTCGTATAGCCAACCTTCTCCGACAACCCGGTTTCCATAATTGCCCCTTCCTCCTTCAACCTGGACTCGACCTTTTCGACCTCCCCCCCAAGCAACGTTTCCATTGCCTTCTCCTCAGCATCACTCCACGAAGTAATATGGTACCCCTTATACACAAAGTCCCCATCCCCCGCATATTTAGTGCTCAGCAACGCATAAGGACCATGACAAATCGCCGCCGTCGGCTTATTCTCCTTATGGAAGTAGCGCAAAATCCGGCCCAGATCCGGGTTATCACCCAAATCCGCCAGCGGCGCGTGGCCGCCGGGGATGAACACGCCGGCAAAGCTGGCCAACTCCTCGTCGCTGATGGACGCCAGAGGACGGGGGTGGCTGAATCCGTTTTCGCGCTTCATGCGCTCGATGAGGGCGTTTTCGCGCCGCCGCTCGTAGAAGTTGCCCGCGAAGGCCAGTAGGGATTCGCTGTTCGGGTCCGGGGCAGGCTCCTCACCCTTGGGCGACGCGAAGGTCACCTCGTGCCCGGCATCGAGGAGCTTTTGGAGGGGTTTGGCGAGTTCCATGAGGAAGAAGCCGGATGGCTGGTCGACGACTTTGCCCGCTTCCGGGCCGGAGATCTTCTTCAGGGGGAAGGAGTGCGCGTCGCTGAGGACGATGAGGACTTTTTTGGTGGGCATTTCGGTCTTGATTCTTGGTTTTCTTGGTTGATTAATTGAGTTGGGTGATGGATAGATGGATGGAAGGGCAGGGAGACGCTGGTGGTAGGTTATAAGTATTGGGCTTTTTCATCGAGGGCTAGTTGGATGACATGCGCATGACGTACCTCCAGCTGGCTGCTGTCTTTCGACCCCCAACTCAGTCACTCTTACGTAAACTGGCAAGTACATTAGTTCACTGCAACATTTTGTTTGAATCATTATGATCTGAGAGCAGGAATATAATATCATTAAGTGGGTAAGAAATTCAATTCTGGCTGCTGTTCCACTAGACTTGCACTCATGTGCAGGAGGAGTATGACTCCCGCTCCCCGCCACACCCACAATCCTGTCACCAAACCGGGGACTAAACCTAACCCTGAGTTACTCCGTGAGGCCCAGTAAGGCTCAGGTACAGTACAAAACACCCCTTCACTCTTAACTTTTAACTGAAAATACAATACGATACTCCGTACAAGATATCGACATATCATCCCTCCCAAGGCACTTCTCCTAGATCATCATGCTCCTCGCATCATTTATACGCTCAGCATCGCCCGACAACCTGCTCAAACCAGCAACCGCACTCATTTAATCATCCTCGTACACCCCATCAGCCGTACAGATAAACTGCGTGTTCTATCCACAGACACAGATTAGCACTATAGCTCCAGCACCAGAAGAAAGAAAAGATAACTTACAATAGTATAACAACACGCCACAGCCGCACCATTGGGACAACTGGGAGCAGGATCCGCGAGCGCTTGACCTATAATCAGATACCAAGGTTAGACACCAGTCGTCACAGCCACCGCACCGCGGGGGAATATGTGAAGAAAGCAGACGGAACAACATACATCCAAACCCCTCCATCGCCAAATCCGTGTTTGGGGCCGGCCCATAACTGTCACAGCAGTAGGGGTGCTGGAGCATCCCGGACTTGTCCTTGGCGAAGGGGCAGTATTCGATCCAGTCGGCAGCGGCTAGAGATGCTGTTAGAGCGAGGAGGAGAGCCTTGAGTTGCATTTTAGGGATGAGTGATTGGAAGGACGAGAGGAAGGATATGGTTGTGTTGGTGTAGTAGAGGAGGATGGGCAATATAGGAGTGAGATGAAGTTTCAAGGAAGAGCACAGAGTGTGGCGCTGGGCAAGGTATTTGAAGGGTCGATGGAGGGGGGCCAGGGTAGAGATTAAGATTGCTGGGTAAAGTAGGGGGAGGATGTAGCTAGGGTGATGGAGGCGCGTGCGCGTCTTTCTGTAGGTACAGTGTAGCACTGGATCATTAAATGCGTTGTTTGAAGGGGTGGAGGTTGGGTTGTTTATCCCTTGCGTGAGGGTTTGAGGTAATAGAATTGTTAAATGTCTTGAGACAGTTGGTATGTTTTGGTCAAGTAGGGTGGGCATTCCACTTGCTGGGATGAGATGTAGTGTACGTCCGAGGTAAAAGATGTTCTTATAGAAGCTGCGGGAGGAGTCGCATTTAAAAATGAATATCGTTAATTGATCTATAGTTGTTGTAAACTAGGAACCATGAACCTGTCTAGCCCCAGCAACTCTGACACAGGCATCCATTGGTGCACGGTATACAATGTACAGTTACTCTCTAACACAGACTATGAGTAACAGGAGGATTCAAGCCTTCTTCCTGTGTCGGTTGGTCTGAAGCAGCTGCTCAGATCTTCTTCATCGATGTGAAAAGTTGATGCTATCAGTAAGTACTGTAAAGGGCCAATGCACGACTGACTCCGCAAAATCCGGCGCAATGCAAAGATCCGTAGCTGGCACGTGCCGGCTGATCCGCTCTGCAGGCGCCCCGGCAAACAGCACAAACACTCGGCACCCTGTCGCCTAACCACGTGATCCAGACCAAGCATTTTCGAGTCACATGGAACCGCCTATCTATCGTCTTATCCAGAATCGCGGAGTCATCTATTGATCTCAAGCAACGATGCCATGATACCCCAATTACCCGTGATTTTATACCATGAACAAACGTCCCTACTCAGGGTCATTATCCCACAGTGACTCTCAGACACCCGAGCTTCCCGATCACCTGCCTAATGACAGCCCGGAGCAGCACCGAGCTTCGGCGGCGGTTAAGAAACCCCGGAATTTCATAGCCACAGTGGTTGGTGACCCTTTTTGTCTGGCCCAACACAACCCTTGGGAGGTGTTTGGCGTAAAACGATCGCAAATAACATGTAGTCATAGGCGTGCGAAAATTGCAGACTGAAAAAGACCAGATGCGACGAATCCCGGCCAAAATGCGGCCTATGCAAGTCTCTTGGCTTGGAATGTGTCTATAATGAGCGCAAGACCTCCAAGTAAGAGGCCGATAGACAACGATCGCCAATCCACTAAATGTACTGACCTGTCACAGGCGGGATCACTCGCTGAGTTTGATCATGAGTACTCTGCATCGACTTGAGACAAAGCTTGAGAGTGTTCCTACTGCCATCTCCGGAGACATTCATTCTCTGCGAAATGAAATGATCCATGCACTAGATGCCTCTCCAAGCGTCTCACCATTAACACGACGTAATTTTAACACCAAGGAGCCGGGGGGCTCAGACAGGCCCCAATTGCAAGGCCTCACTCCGAGAACAGTCGACTTCAACAACGATTTAGACCATGATAGTCCCGGCTACCTGCCTTCGAGCGCAGTGGACTCGAACGGCCTGGTATCGATCTCTTTCAGTCAGCATGGGGTGATCTCGTGGATTGGAGCACAGAATATCCTCCCAAAGAGACTCCTGGAAGCCTATGAGAAGCTCGGAAAGAATTACGTGATTGACATCGAGATGAAAAGACCCATGCTGCCGATGTACATCTGCCCTTTCCCACCGCACGCTGGGGACAATTGGTTGGAGACACTCCCCCTGGCTATGATCAAGGGACTATCGGATGCATTTTTCACCACTTTCAACCTGTACACGCCAATCATCGACAAGAACTTCTATTTTGCTTCGACGCTTGGCGCTGCGATCGAAAGTAATTTCGGGTATACAATCGAGAGCTGTCTCGCCTTGAACATCATGGCTCTAGGCTGTATCGCAGTGCATGCGTATCAAGAGGGGAACTACCCTCTGCCAGGGAGCAGGACTAGTCGGTTTGAGCTGCCTGAATGGATGGGTGTTGTCTATGAGGAACCCCCGGGCTTACGCTTCTTTAACGAGGCTCGCCAGCGCATGGGCTTCTTGATGTGTGGTAACGATCTCCAAAGCTGCCAGTTCTACTTGCTCTCATTGTAAGATTGCCCCTTTGGAGTTGCTGCTCTGATTCTAATTTGCTGCGCAGCGTTTACTATAGCCAGATCCTGCGGCCCTTAGATTCCTGGGCCATGATCCATCGTGCTGCTACCTGCTGTCTCTCCATGCTAACCAAGTATGTATTCCCCCATGTTATCTATTCTTTGTTACAGACGATTTAGCTAACATCCTTAGCCGTGACGTTCATTTTGACGAGTGGGAAGGCGACATGAAGTCTCGAGTGTACTGGAATTGCCTCATGAACGAGACAATCCTTATCCAAGAACTACATGTTCCCCCAAGTGGTCTTGCACGCCTGGAGGAGCTTGTCCCAATTCCAAAATTCATCAGCTTCGAAAGCGTTGGCTTCGGTGCCTCTCGCTCCATGTCGTTGGACGAGATTGATGATTCCTTTTTCCAATACCATTTCCTGGCGCAGGTCGCCCACCGTATAATACTCACCCGTATCCGGAATTCCTTGTATTTCTACTGTGAGTCGATTTGTCTCCTCTGCAGCTGATTACCACGACTAACCATCCACTCTCCTACAGCCGACTCAGGAACATTTCCTCGCCCAGCCATCAATACAGAACTGCACCACCAGCTCGATCAGTGGCGCGTCAACCTACCTGCCGCGTTGCAATTCTCCGATAGTACACCCAATCCTTCTTCGGACAACGATGCTGCCGCCTCTCCCCCGACAGAATCACACTTGCCGTTTGACCCCACGCGTCATGCCCTATCCCCTGCAATCGCCGTCTCCGAAGCCATGCTCCGCGGCCGCTACATGATTGCCAAATTCCACATTGGCCGGCCCTACCTCTACAAAGCTCTCCATATTCCCGCCTCCTTGACCGACCACGATCTCGAGCAGATCCGCAGCGGACTGCTTAACGCTATGAACTGGCCCGTCGTTGGGGGCATATTCCGTCGGATGAAGAGCTGCATCCCGATCCGATTTGCATTCTGCTCTCAGTACGTCTCCCACGCATTGGCTTATTCGGGTGTTATGGACCCGTGACTGATGATTATCCCTAGATTCTTCGGCCAGATCCTTCTTTTCTACTGTATATCCCATTCACCCGATGCCCGATTGCGCGACACCTTGCCCTCCGGCTGGGAGCAATGGAACCAAGAGATGCTGCGGTTCCTGGAGAGCTGCGCACCGCATAGTCCAGCTGTAGCCAAAGATGTAGAACTCCTTGGCTTGTTGTAGCTTGATGTATCTAAAGAAATTCTCGACGCAGTTCACGTGACAAGTTGTCATCAGTGTCAGAGTAGAAGCTGCGGTGGTGACGCCACCAGAGGGACTCCACTAGCCTGAATCGTATTTATTGGAAATTTTAACCCCACGGGGGGGTAAGACATTTCCCACGCGCTGACTTGGCAAGGAAAAAGATCTGACAATCTCCACCGAATTCAGGTGTTGACCGTAGGTTCCGTCGGCTGAGACGCTCAGAAGAACGAGATTCCCAATTGGTCTTTTTCCTGCGTGGCAGAAAAGCTGGTTACGAGCGGGTAAGATTTAGACCGAGCCCACGGTGGAAGGTGGGGAGACGCTGTGGGAAGAAGTGGGGAAGACTCAGTACAGTTACTGGAATAGTATGGGGAAAGGTGGCGGAAAGCTGAATTCGTATGTTTCCCCCATAGTCATACGTACACTTCTTTCCCAAGCCGATAAGGATAAATAATTTCCTCTCTGCCTCGGACCAGAGCTATTATCTTTCGCCTCCCCTCCCCCCTCCTCCCCTTCTTCTTCTTCTTCCTCTCACGCATTGCTCTCCCCTCTACCACAATCGCATCATCTCTCCCCTTACACAATGACTCACTCCGAAGCCGAGTTGCAGAAGCCTACGGGCGAGTACCGTCAGTACTTGCCTGACCTCAGTCTGAAGCGCTTCCAGGTGATGCGCACTCAGGACGCCCATGAATACGCACACGACTTCAAGACAAACCGTCAGCCTCCGTGGCTGCACGCCCTCTATATGCACTGGCTGGACCTGTTGCAAGAGCCCTTCAAGGGTGTAACCACCGATGGTAAGCACTCCCGCTGATAAGTCCAGAGCCGCGTTCTCTTGCTGACCAGCTGCCCCAGGAACCGTTCGTCCCGATCTGTTCAAGCTTCAAGATGAAGGCATCCCGATCGACACGATTGTGGAAGCCGTTCAGAACGTGCTGTCGCTTGCCGACGAGAACCAGCGGAAGGCCCTGTGCTACCACATCGATTCTCCCGAATGGCGGACCTGGTCCAACCCCGAATTCCTTCTCAGTCACAAGGGTGTCCGCCTCGATGAGATCAGTGACAAGCTCCGTGACGCCGTGCTGAATGTTCTCAAAGTCACGCTATCGCCTGAAGGCTACGAGAAGGCCATTGCGGCCATGCGCATCAACCACTTCTTAGGCGAGCTGGTCGACGGTACCAAGGTCATGAATGAATACTCCTACAACTTCGTCCTCTTCGGTCGCCCCTCGACCACCCGCCCTTGGGGTTGGTCCTTTTACGGCCACCACCTATGCTTGAACATTTTCCTTTACAAGGGTCAGATCGTCGCATCTCCGTGGTTCACGGGCGCTGAGCCCAACGAGATCGACTCCGGCCCGTACGCCGGCACTCGGATCATGCAGGTGGAGGAGGAACTCGGATTGCGGCTCATGCAGTCCCTGTCGCCCGACCTTCAGCAGAAGGCGCGTGTCTATGCTGAGATGCACGACCCGGCGATGCCGCCCGGCCGCTGGAACCGCGACGACCAGCGCCATGTCTGTGGTGCGTACCGGGACAACCGCGTTGTGCCTAACGAGGGTATCCCGGCGAGCACGTTCAGCGACGAGCAGAAGAAGCTCATGTACGGAATCTTTGAGCAGTACCTGCTCTACCTGCCTGCCCGCGCCCGCCAGCTCAAGCTGGATCATATCCGCCAGTTCGAGTCCGAGACCTATTTCTGCTGGATCGGTTCGTACGGGAATGACGATCCTTTCTACTACCGCTTGCAGAGCCCGGTAATCCTGGTCGAGTTCGACCACCACTCTGGGGTCTTCCTCAATAACGAGGAGCCCAAGAAGTTTCACATCCACACTCTGATGCGGACGCCGAATGCCGGCGACTACGGCAATGCTTTGCGTTCGCAGATCCCCGCAGTGGAGGGGTTGAATGGGAAGGAGATTGTGTGGGAGAAGTCCGCACTCTGAGAATCGCTCAGGCCCTGTATATATGATGAAGTTATGTGAATAGTGTTTCAATATTATCAATGCAGCATATATGAGTTCATTCAAACCGTCTTGTCCTTACTGAGTAGACACATCCCTGGCGGCAGGTGTTGTTGCGCCAGCTCCACGCCGGAAGATCCGACCCCACGATCGGGATTCCCTGCGTTCCTTGCGATTGCCGACTGATCCAACCCGAGAACAAGAAAGCATTTGCCTCGGAATAGCCAGGAGTTCTGAGATCTGGAGTTGTTCATCCCCCCATTCAACATTCATCTCATTCATGCTGGACGTTCCGAAGTCGGCATTTACGGTCATCCATGCCTCAGGCATGGAGCGACGAGTTACCCCGCGGCTGCTGCCTCCCCCCCCTTGCTTCGTCTCGGCATTAATGCCTTCAAAAATTCTCAATTTCGGAAAATTTGCATGGCCCTCCCTTTCGTATGCTAGTCCTTTCATGCTACTTAGAGCCCGCAATGAGTTGTTCAAAGCAGAGAGAACCTGTCGACCGGCCAAGGTGGGGTCTCCGAAGGCGTTGATACGGTGGAACCTCAGCCCCTCCACCACCAGCCATGGGCCGAGATATCATGCTGGGTGTAGGTATCGCTGCATGCACGACAATGCAACATGGCTCCAACAAATGATCCAGACAAAGAACATACGTTGTGGTGTGATCTCCGACAGGATGAGTTCATTGTTCTAATAGCGGGGTGGTTGAATGCAGCATGCAACATGCTCATTTCGCTGCTCTCGATCCCAAGTGGCATCAATAGGCATCAAGTGGCATCCCCGCTACGAAGCGGTAAGGCAGGGAAGGCTGGGTTTGCTCTCACTATCTCGACTCACCATCTCTAAGTGCGACTGTTGTGGATAGCATTTGACGACCCGAAGCGCGGAGATTGACCTGCCGTGAATGAAAATGCCTCATAACGAAAGAATGCACATCTACCTTTCTTTTTCAGAAGGACAGTCCTTCTGGCACAAAAAGCCCAGCATCACACGTTCAAACTCGCATCACTAATGTATCTCCTGCTTCAAAAGCCTGTTCGCGACCACCATTGCTGATATGCACTCCTACATTCAGGCATCAACAGCTGCATATATCGTGCGCGTTAACTTTGCTGTCGTGGCCGTGCATACGGCTCCTTTCAGGCTCGAACTGTTTTAAAAAGCGCCCCTCCAAGTGCTGGAGTGCGATTGAACTTGAAAGCCCGTCTCCAGCTTTTTTTTTCATTTTTCGAACAAGAGACAAGCATAGAAAGCAAAAATGGCTCCGTGGCTTATGGGCGAGAAGTTCAACACTGTCTACCCGCACAAGGGGTCGATCAAGGCCCTTTGGGAGACGAAGTGGAAGTTTGCTGTATGTGACTTTTCTCTGGCTCCTCTTGATGGTGATAGTGCTAAGACCAAATGCTATACAGTGTGAGAAGTCGGTCTATCCCTTCCACGACGGCTCGATTGAGGATTTTGAGCCCATCTTCCAGAAGTTGATCAAGGTAGGATGCCCTTCTGACGTCTACAATCATCACCAGCCTTGCATAAAGCTTAAGCTCATCCTCGCCAGGAAAACATCAACGATGCCTACGAAGACGCCTACACACAGGCCTTCTTCCCCATTGCCGAATCCCTCGAGCAACAAGCCACCTCCGCCCTGAACAACAAGAACCCGCAAGAGGCCTCGGACCTTCTCCGCCGCGCCGCCGTCGTCTACCGCATTTCGCGCTTTCCCTACGTCGACCCGACCAAAGACGACATCAAAAAGGAAGCATTCGCCCGCCAGAAGCGGGTTTACCTGCAGGCCGCCTCCTTCTGGACCCCCAAGATCGAAGAAGTGATCATCCCGCACAAGAACCAAGCGGCAGCCGACGGTCCTAACGTGCCGCTCTTCGTGCGCACCCCAGAGCACGCCTCCGCCAACGCCCCCGTGCCCGTGATTCTGTTAATGACGGGGCTAGATGGCTACCGCCCGGACAACAGCCAGCGCACCCACGAGATCCTAAACCGCGGCTGGGCCGTCGTCATCGCGGAGATTCCCGGCACCGCCGACTCCCCTGCTGATCCCAGCGACCCCGCCGCTCCGGACCGCCTCTGGGACACCGTGCTGGACTATATTGCCAGCCGGCCGGAGCTGGATGCCTCGCGCGTTGCCGCCTGGGGCTTGAGTGCCGGCGGCTTCTACGCTATCCGCGCCGCCCACACCCACCGTGACCGGCTGCGCGGGTGCATCGCCCACGGGCCCGGGTGCCATTACTTCATGGATAGGGAGTGGCTGACCCGCGTCGATGATCACGAGTATCCTTTCTTGTAAGTCGCCAGTGCCGGTTGCACCCTTAGGATAGACATGGTGCCGCTCTAAACACCTTCTCCCCGCCCCCCTCCCCTTCTGCTTCCTCTGTTCAACGATCCCGCACAAACCAAGCACACTCACTAACCTCGATTGCTTCCTCTTCGCACAGGTTAACCCGCGCTTGGGCCAAGAAATACGGCTACAATGACGTGGACGACTTCCGCGTCAATGCCCAGAAGAAGTTCTCGCTTGTCGAGACCGGTATCGTTGACCAGCCGAGTACCCGGCTTCTTCTGTTGAATGTGGGTGACCACCTCCCCCTCCCCCCTCTCTCTCTAAGGTCTAGAAATCAAAAACAACTTCACTCAGTGGTCTGAACCGGATGAATTAACGAAACCCCCGATTGCGGGTAACAGGGCATCGACGACGGCGTCACCCCCATCGAAGACTGTCTCGTCTTGTTCAACCATGGAAGTCCCAAGGAAGGACGGTACGTAACATACCTTACAAAATCTGCTGAGAAGCTCTTCCCCCGGAACGATCTGTTCCACGCTTGTCTTTCTTTTTCCGTGGTGTCTTTTTTTCTCCCGCACAAGCCGAGCTTTGCCAAGCTGACTGACTATATCCATACTCAATGCAGTTTCTTCCCCGGTCTTCCGCACATGGGATACCCACACAGCCTGCCGGTGTCGTACAAATGGTTGGAGGAGGTGTTGGAGTCGAAGTCTGCCATGCTTAAGAATTGAAAAGATGGGTTGGGTTGAGTTGCCTCCGGGACAAGTCGGGGCACTCACGTCGAGGGTAACAGGCTACAGGAAAAATCCAATGCGCTTGATTCTCGTTCATGCCGACCACCCTATCCCTAAAAAACCCCATAGCAGAACACGTAGTAGCAATTAAGCTAGCTGTTTCAAGCCCTGGCTGAGAGTGAGGAGTCACTACGAAGCTGCAGGTGTTAATTTATCTAGTGGAGGCTTTTGAACTATTAGTCTTACTGCCTTGCCTACTACAAGGCTTACTTCGTATGAAGATCTTTACTTACATTCATGATCGCTTTTACTGGTAGTAGACGCTCGCTAGTTTGTCTTGGGTTAGAAGTTCGCGGTTCTTTTAGCTAAATAAGTACTTGTAGTCACGAGGTCTTTCGGCCAAGCCCTTGGGCTACTGTGTTAGAAACCCTACCTTACCTGATTGTTGGCGCCATGCCTTGGGCCACACCACACTTCAACTCCCGGCTAATATTAGATCTTAGTGTTAGACTTGGCTAGCCGGCTGGAACGTCAAAGTGCACCTGAGATATCTCTCCCGATCGAAACTGAATATGCTTCTCGACGACATTGATGTACTGTACACTAGGCGTGTGCTTCGCTTGCCTGCCCGTACTTGGCCTGCGCTTGATTACGAATAACCCCGCCCTTACGTGGCATCTTACTTGATCAAACTAGTATACTATTACGTTTTGTTATGCACGGTTGCAGTAGCCGTCATACAGATCAAAGCAGCAAGTTTGGGAAGTCGTAAAATTGTAAAATTTGTGATGGGTGGTTCGCACCCAGGTATAGACATTTGGGGTGGGGAAGGAATAAGCTAATCGAACATAGCTACATATACAAGAGGTTAATCAAGGTCGTAATGTGGTGACGGAGCCCGCACGGGCATAGCACCAGCAGTTTCAGAGGGCAAGAACGGCTCCAGGCGCAATCTATGCATCCCCCATAGCGACAGCGACCAAGCTCTGCGGGCCAAACGACCCCGTGCCTAGCCCGAACGAGGAGCTCTGCGCCGCTGCATCGCGCTCGCGTTTGATGCGGAAGAACGCCAATTTCGCAAATCGGTTGAGCTGGGCCCAGAAATGCCGCCCTGCAGGATGGGCGGCGATCCGCTCGAGCAGCTCCACCGTCGCCTCACGGACAGGAGGGTACGGGTGGAAGAGGCCCATGCTGATGTAGAAAAGTCCCGCTTGGTTCTCGGGCGTGATGGTCAGAAGCTGGCAGATGCCCGCATAATCCTTGACCGCGTGCGCAAATGCGATATAGATGGCCCCTGAATCAGCAGCGGAGAGTCGCAAGGCGCGAAGCCGGTTGTGGTGGTGGAGGAGATCGGGCTTGAGAATAGGTCGCGCCGGATAATACATGGCAGCGATGTCCTGGATGAACGAATAGTAAGATCGTGTTGTGCGCCATCCTTCGATACGCGATACGGAGGCCAGCAGCTCCCGTTGTTTTGCGCCCTCGTCGGGCCAGACATAGCCGTGGCCGCGAAGGGTGGTCGGATCCAGCGGATCGGCCTGTACTCCACTCGGACTCTCTGGTGAGAGTTCTTCATTGGGCCCGATGATGAAAAGATTCGACGCGCCGTAGACCATTTCCTCAAATGCAGCGGCAAGCTGCGTGAACTTCATGATGTATGCTCGCCATTTGGCGCGGATCGCGTTCTCACCATAGCGGTTTGTGATACTCCGCTGAATCTCTTCCATGAAGACGTTGTCCCCGCTGGGGTCGGTATTCGAGCTGGACGGATAATGGTGTAATGAAGCCTGCTGCTGGAAATAGAGCAACCCTTCGGTGACCGGCGCAGGCTCAATGAAACTACTGATTTTCATTCGACCAGTGGGAAGATCGCAAAGCACATCCCACCACTCCGGATGATTGGCAAAGGTGGGATTCGTGACACCAGCAATGAACCCAGGTACCTTCAGTAGATCATCAATTTTCGTTAAATCTGTGTAAGGGAAGGCGTGTCGCGTGAAGCCTCGCAATACACCGCCCGACGCAATAGCACACGCGGCCAGTACTGCTTCAGCCACCTCACCGGACGGCCGGTTATGGCCCAGAAATATGACTCTTTTCTGGGTGAGCATCGCGTTGACGAGGACAATAATGGGATGTGTAAAAGGCCCGCTGGTAGTCAGATGCGGGTGAACGGGAAAGGCTTGTGGGGAAGAGTTATGTGGAGCGGAAAAGGTCTGGATGAGTTTGATCAGGGAAAAGTCGCCCACAGTCTCTGGCCAGATAACCGTGGGGACCTTGACAGGAATGGGAATCTCGTTGTAAACGACTTTAGATTCGAATTCGTGGGTATCGCGTGGAAGGGCGTATTGAGGGGGCGCCTGACGCTTGGGCGATGGCGGATCGTCCTCGTCATCTGGCGGGGCGCCATCTTCTAGTAACCGTTGGTGTATCATTTGTTCGAATTTCTCGATGAACATGTCTTTGCAATTGCTTGCCTGCAAGATTTGTCTTTCCAAGAGCGATAGTCTCGGCATCAGCGACAAGTCCATGTTGTTAACAGCATTGTATAACGTGGCAAGCGTTTCGGGGTACGGGTTCTTGAAGTAGTCCTCCAGGGCTAACAACAACAATGGCTTTAGGTGAGTTGTCAGCGCCGGCACAAAAGCGCTTTCTTGCGCATATAACTCACTTTATAGATATGAAGGAAAGAATGCCGCGTACAGATTGCCATTGCCTTCACGACCGCACCACTGTGAACGGATCAATATTCAAGGCCTTGCCACGAGGATGAACGAAGAGAGAGACGTTCACTCACCGCTTGACTGTGTTATCTTGTTTTGTGTTGACCAGATTGAGCACATACATCAAAGGAGGGCCTTCGCCTCCCTCCTCTTCGTCGTCGCTGCTGTCCTCGGCCTCTGTGGAATCCTCCACCTCCCTATTATCGCCCTCAGTCGACTGCGCCCCATCACCGGCCCTGCGCTTTCCCTTTTTCTTCTTCTGCTTCTTGCTCGATATCGAGGCATCGTCGTCGGCATCGGCGCTTGTATCTTTATGTAAAAAGAATATGGTCCAGTCCTGGCTTCGTACATGGGTCTGATCGGGCAGCATGAGCTCTGCCAACATGCTCTCGTCTCCACTGATCGCAGTGGGATACTGATGCTCCATAATCGGTCCGCGATCAATGTGGAAGGATGCGACAAGGATGTACTCGACATGTCGCTCGGACGAGTCCCGAGGGTATTGCGACTTGCATTTGCGCGGCTTGGGAAATAAGGCAGCGGTGGCAGGAACATTGGCAAGGGACGGCTGGCGGAGAGATGTGCGAGAACTGCTCGGCGTGCGATGGTGCAAAAGGGATGGGGCGGGCGAAAGCCTTGGAAGGCCACCCGCATCGTCAGCTGAGCGGTAGGGCAACGATATGCTCATCTTTCGTCAATTGGTCGAGAGAAAATAGCGAAGGGGTTGTGAGGGGTGAAGCTGGAAGTCGTCGTGGTCGCCTTCGCGAATGGGGACAACCGGCAAATGAAGAAGCACGGCGGCGACCGACCGCTTTCAATGAAGTTGGCGGAGAGTGGACATGTCACCCTGAGCCCTGACCCCAGGGTATATCTTGAGAAAGGTTCGTTTGAAAGCGTCAATTGAGAAATATGGGGGAGGGGGGGAGGACCACGCGGGCGGAAGGCTGAAGAAATTCAGGGGGCAAAAAGGATAAGGGGGGGAAAGGCGGAGGAGGAAGTTGGGGGCATTCTCGCATGTGACGATCTCGGAGAGCGGGACAAGCAATAGTTAGTAGTGTTAAGTTAGTCGACTAACTTGGCTAGTTAGTACCTATGTTTGCATTGTTTGTTTGCTGCTCCCCAGCTTCGTTTGCAACAAGATGAGGTCAATCCGTGGAGTATGATAAAGTAATAGTATACAAAGTAATTACTCGGTTCATACCTTTCTGAAGGCTTGAGCAATGTGAGAAACGTGATCGACAGGGAGATTGCCAGCCCCCTCTCCACCTGCAGATTCGAAGCCGTGGATCTGCATCCATGCACATACAGGTGTTTCAGAAATGCTTGACGACCCTGGGCTCCTGCAACAGCTGGTCTAACCATATGAGGGGGTTGATTGGTGGCGAAAGAGATGGAGTATAATGCGCATAACACTGTGTACAAAATCTAAGTCTAATCTATATGCAAAGCTCAGTCCCGTAGCCCACATTTACATTCCACGGTTGAACTCCACCATCCCGTCCTTCCCTCCCTGGCCCCAGAACTCTTCTTCCAGGTTCTTCGCACTGATCGCCTGTCTTTGCGGGAAGGCTCCCAGCGCCAAGGGCAATGCGAACAACGAGGTGCCCAGGATCAATGCCAGATTGATCGGCAGCACCATCTTTGGCCTAGCCTGCAGCCACGCGGTCTTCTCCAGTCTAACCAGCACCAAGGGGGGCACCACCATGATTGGGGTGGCGTTCAACACCCGACTGATAGCCGTTTCTCCGACAGCGATAGTTGCTGCCTTCTTACTCTTACCCAGGCTTTGCACGGGCTCGCCGGTTTCCTCCCGCTTCATCTTCTCGGCTTCAGACAAGACAGGGTACACATCAATACCTTGGCGGATTTCTTCGCCTCTCATGAGGAAGACATTCAGAGCGCTAGCACTGGAGACGGCGGCGAAAGGAACCAGGCGACCGAGGAGGAGTTTAGTATTCGGGGAGACGCCTTTGAGACGGGGAACCAGAGCGTTGAGACCGAGGGCAACGGAGCAGGATGCGGAGACGGCCATGAGGTAGGACTTGGCCATTTGGGAGACAGAGAGCGGAGTTGATTTGTTGGCATTGGCATTGTTGATGGCAACATTGAGGGACTGGTTGGCAATTTGCCAGAGAAGGGTACCGGTAGTCTAAACACAGGAAGAATGAGTCAGAGGCCTGCTGTGAGGAGACAGAAGGGAAGCGCACCTGTAGACCGGGCGTAAGCATACCCGCAGTAACGACCAGGTTGGAAAGAACATAGCTGGACATGCGGAAGGGGAGGAAAACGGGCTCGCCGGTGTCTAGAATGGTCAATCATACTGTTGCGAGAGGAAGGTGAGAAGGCAAAGCCTACCAGGGTGCAACGTCGAGTCAACAACCTTCTTAGCATGCCACAATTCCGACGTCATGGCAGGAATGTGGTTTTGCTTGTAGGCAGAAACCAGCTGCTTGGCTTTGTCCAGGCCAGCAGAGGAGACAAACATCATCCTACACATGTCAGTCATGGTCGGCGGCTCTGGTCAGCACTTGCTCACTCACCGCGGGTCGGAAAGGTCAGCCGCATGGCGCACGCGACCCCAGTACGTCGAAAGATCATACTGAGATGATGGGAGGTCCCGGTTACCAGGAAGGGAGCTTGACATCTTGAACCACCACGCTCGAAAAGAAGAACAGAAAGGGCGTCGAAGAGAGGAAAGAAAAGAAATGGTTGCTGACTCGTCCCTGAAAGGCGCGGCGAAAATCAGTACCGGGCCGAGGATCCTCACGTGCAATGCCGGGCGGTGAGCCGATAAGCACTAGACCCATCTTTTTCAGGGGCTGCGATTTGCCGATATCGCCCAGGAACATTTCGCCGCCGGAAACCTTATTTTGATTTTCTCTTGGGCCCTTTTCTGTTTCATCAATCAAGATCCCGGGGTTGATGGGGTAGACCAAGATTTGTCGCCACCTGCTCGATGCTAAGAACTGTGCTAGAAGTCCTCATGGATATTCTTTTTGCCAGCAAGACGCTTGAGTATTCATGTGCCTGTCAGATCTCTGAAGGATTAGTCGGATAAGCACAGCAATCACTGTGACATGGTCAGCACTACTCCGTAAGCAGAAGGGCAGCTATTGGTTCTGCTGCTCGTGATCTCATCTCTCTTTATCCAAAGGAACCATTCTCTCGCGCATGCCGTCGTGCAATCTCAACCGCAAGGCTACAGAAATCCGCCCACGTTGTGCCCGAAGGCCTTGCACTTTTTTACTCCGTTAGCCAGGGATAAGCCGCATACCCAATCGGCAGCCAACTGGTAAATGCCAGGCACAATCGGTCATGTTGCCACCTGATTCTGCCGCTGAAAACATGGCGGTGAGAAAAGCGTTTCTGACACCCCACCTTTGCTTAATAATGGCCCTCCGACTGCCCCTCCCCCAGTGCCTCAGTCCGCGAACGACATCCCAAAGTCAACAGGTCAATTGATTTCTTCTGTTTCAGCTTGCATATATGCTTGTCAGGGCCCTCCGTCACAATGTCAGAATCTATCTATACTAGCTATCCTCCATCCCTGAACCCTGCACAAAAGGAGTTCCTCGTCAAGACAATCAAGGACTGGGCCACGCAAAATGGTCTCGTCGTCCGCCCCGCGCCGACCTTTGTCGCAAGGGAAACCGACCCTCAAGGCGTGCTTGCAACCAATGCGCCAGTGACACTGTTTCCAAGTCCGTTTCCTAAAGCCTGCTTTGAAGAGGCGAAAGCTCTGCAGACTGTCTACAACCAGCTTTACGCTGCGATCACATGTGACGAAAACTGGATTGGGAAGATCATGGAAGAGTAAGAGCCTGCTTCTGCTTCTCCTTGATTAAGAATAGCAACCCCATCTACTTGCGAACTTGCGAAGACGGCCGTGCTCTGGCATTTGGGATGACCCCAACTAAAGAAGCGTGCATATAGTTTGATTGACGTCGACGATTTCATCTCCAACCTTTGGAAAGTCCATCTTGCAGTCAAGAAAGAAGGATATGCCCAGAAACTGTCACTCGGTCTCTACCGGTCCGACTACATGGCCCATACTCCGTCCGATGCCACGTCTCCCAGCCTGAAACAGGTCGAATTTAACACGATTTCCTCTTCATTCGGCGGTTTGTCATCCTTGGTAACCGCCCTTCACACCGAGCTCCTCAACTTTCCACCGGGTCACCCGGTCGCCTATCCGTCCCACCCTCTGCTCGACGCAAATCAACCACCCGAGAACCCTGCCGTGGAGACCTTGGCTGCCGGTCTGGCTGCAGCCCATGTTGCCTACGGACCCTCAAAAATCACCCCAGCCCTTCCCACCTGCATTCTCTTTCTTGTGCAGGAGAACGAGAGAAACATCTTTGACCAATTAGCTCTTTCCCGAGAGTTGACCAAGGTTCATAAAATTCCCGTCTTCCGCGTCCTCAGCTCCGAAATCCTTGACCACACTACCGTCCAAGATTCAAATCCTTTGAGGCCACTTGTCTATCAACCGCCGCACTCGAACGGCGCTCAGTTCGAAGTGACTACTGCCTACCTCCGCTGCTTCTACGCACCTACCGACTACAAATCAGAGCGCGACTGGCAAGCACGGACACATCTCGAGCGCTCCGCGGCTATCAAATGTCCCACTGTTCTCAACCAACTTGCTGGATGCAAAATCGTTCAACAGGTCTTAGCCGAGCAGGAAGGCAGCGACCATCTTGCGAAGTTCCTATCCGGCCTGAATGAGGCAACAATCTCAAGAATCAGAGCTACCTTTGCACCCCAGTATGATCTTTCGTCTAATGGCCGCGGCCAGAAACTCGCATTGAACCTTGAGACCGCCGTCAACCATGTGTTGAAGCCACAGCGTGAGGGTGGTGGCAATAATGTGTACAAGGAGGCTATTCCTGAATTCCTGCGGTCAATTCCAGAGACTGAGTGGAAGCGGTGGATCTTGATGGAACTGATCCACCCGCCTGCCGAGGCGAAGAATGTGGCCCTGCGTAGTGATGGGGAGGTACTCAGCGGGCATGTCATTGGAGAGCTGGGTATTTATGGAACCATTCTGTGGAATCAAGCTGACGGGAAGATTCTGCAGAATGAGCAAGGTGGGTGGCTGATGAGAACCAAGGCGAGAGACGTCAATGAGGGAGGCGTAGCCACTGGTTTCTCCAGCTTGGACAGCATTGTTCTATACTAGACTGTATTTTCGAGATTAGACTCAATAGAACGACAAAATTTTCCACTGCATACCAGGTTGCTTCAGCTCAACTTAAGCTAACTGCTCGACCCTGGTTTTGTATTTGTTAAGTCTGCTTACCCCGTCTGTGCTGACGTCGATGCTGATCTTTGTGGGGAAGCCAAGTTGCAACCCTAGTCTCTGGCAACCATGGCTACTTCGACTCCACAAGCTACCCCTTGAGTCTCGATTATCGTGAAAATGCACCGAGATCAATTTGATGTGAGGATTAGTCCATTTTCATCAGATTCTCATCTGCACCATGAATTGATTGAGTTGCAGGAATCTTGATAAACGCGCCCGACTCCACCCGTTATCGCAGATCGACACCAAGGCCGTAGCTTGGCGGCGAAGAGGGAGTGATAGCAACTGATAAGCCCGCCGCTGCGATGCAACCTGACCGCAACCGGCGGGCCAACATGCGGAGAAAACCCGTGCGAGGGCGAGCTTGTTTCATTCATAATGTGACATTTTATCCATCCTTTTCTTGGCAGCTGATAAGGTGCGGGTTACATACTATGGCAAGCTTTGGTTTAAACCGAGGGTCGATGACGCCCTTGAAATACTTGATCCCCGATCCCTTGCGTCTCTACCATCCTGCTTGCCCTTCTTCTCTCTTCTTTTTTCACTCCTCGGGCCCTTTCGTCTTGCCCGTTCTTAATCTTCACCCTTCGCTTCCCGAGTGGCCGATATATCATGGCATCCAGCTCCAGCTTGAGTCCACATGACACCAAGACGGGATCGATACACGATGAGCCTGTGAAGGCTGGCCATTACACCACTGAGACGAGCATCGTCGAGGATGTCGTCCAGGTCACAGATAACCAGGCAGAGAGGCGTCTGTGCCGAAAATTCGATCTGCGCTTGCTGCCAGTGCTGGCGTTGATGTGTAGGTCAATCACCAATGGGTCCTAGAACACGCAATTCATGTATTATCCAGATCTATTCAATGCGCTAGACAAGGGCAACCTCAGTAACGCAGAAACGGATGGGATGAGTGATGGTGAGTCTTCCATCACTTGAGTTTCAATTGCGACCCTGGTGCTAATATGGCTAGACTTGCATTTCAAGTCCAACCAGTACAACCTGCTGCTCTCGATCTTCTATGTACCCTATGTCATCTTCGCGCCGCCATTTGCGATGCTGGGCAAGCGGTTCAGCCCAGCGCGGGTGCTGCCTGTCCTCATGTTCAGCTTCGGCTCGTTCACGCTTCTCGCCTCAGCAGCCCGCAATTTTGGCGGCATGTTTACTCTCCGCTGGTTCCTGGGGATGTCCGAAGCGGCTTTCTTCCCCCTGGTTATCTACTACCTAACGACCTTTTACCGCCGGGGAGAGCTGGCGCGCCGACTGGCCATCTTCTATGCGGCGTCCAATATCGCCAACGCCTTTTCGGGGCTTATCGCGTTCGGCGTCTTCCAGATCAAGAACTCGACGATTCCGAACTGGCGCTACTTGTTCATCATCGAAGGCAGCGTGACCGTACTCTTCTCGTGCTTCGCATTCTGGTACCTGCCGCGGTCCGCCAGCGAAGCCAGCTTTTTGAGCCTCGACGAGAAAGCCCTGGCCTATCACCGCATTCAAGTCGACTCGTCCGCGGTTGTCAACGAAGCCTTCAACCTGCGCGACGCCCTGCAGATCTTCCGCCACCCCTCCACCTACGCCTTTTTGGGGATTGAAATCTGCCTCGGCGTGCCCCTCCAGGGCGTCTCCCTCTTCATGCCGCAGATCATCCAGCGCCTTGGCTACACGACGGTGAAAACCAACCTCTACACCGTCGCCCCCAACGTGACAGGCGCCGCCATGCTCCTCGTCCTCGCCTTCGCCTCCGACGCCGCCCGCCTGCGCTCCCCCTTCATCGTCTTGGGCTTCCTCCTCACCTTTACCGGGTTCATGATCTACGCAGCCATCTCCGACGTCGAGCGTCAGCTCCACCTCGCCTACTTCGCCACCTTCATGATGACCTGGGGCACCTCCGCCCCCAGCGTCCTGCTGAGCACCTGGTATAACAACAACATCGCCCACGAGGGCCGCCGCGTTCTCCTCACCAGCATCGGCGTCCCCCTCGCCAACCTCATGGGCCTCGTCGCCAGTAACGTCTTCCGCGCCCAGGACAAGCCCAAGTACATGCCTGCGCTCGTCACCATCGCCGCCTTCGGCGCCACGGGCGCCGTTCTCGCCGCTTCCTTGGGGGTCTTCATGTTGCTGGACAACCAGCGCCGCGACGCCCGGGCAGGATGCAAGGTGCGCGCGCAGGATGTGCCTACCGAGCGGTTGCGGGATGGGCCGGCTTCGGCGGAGTTTCGGTGGTTCTTGTAGATTTCCCCCTGAAAAACATATTTCTTGTTTTCTTGTTACTCTTTTTAGTGTTGCTTTTGAGTGTGGATGATGACAATGACAATGACAATGACCGCTATGCATATGATGACTATTGAATCCAATCCAACTAGTGGCAGATAGTACAATATTACCATTGTAGCGGTCCCCACACCGGCAACTGAACCCAGTAACCAGCTCCGTTCATGATCGGCATCCCAGCAAAACGCCCGACATGCGGGGGGGGTCTTTCATCAACCTGACAGGGCCTCGAATTGGATTTTCGAATGAGAATGAAACCTTGGAAGAACCGACGAATGGATTATGCTCCACCCACAGCAGGGACTGATTAATAATTTCAGGTGGGGGGTGGGGTTCTAATGACATCGATTTATAGGTACGTAGGTTCCAGGTAACTAAGTACGGTAGCTATTTTCTTTTTTCTTTCTTCCTCCTCTCGCCATTCAATTTTGCAGATTGTTCTTGTATACTACGAGATCAACTCTCTATCTTAGGAGTCAATTCCTTCTTAAGTATCTGCGAGATCCAAGTATGTCAATCCAACAATGGACCACCCCCCTGGAGGGGCTCGCCAGCCTCCGCCAAACCACAGCCCCGCAACCCACGCCAGGTGCCAATGAAGTCCTGGTTGAAATCCGCGCGGTGTCGCTCAACTACCGCGATATTGAGGGTGAGTATTCCGGTCCCCTCTTTTTTTACACGTGGGGATCTTCAGAGGTCTACAGAGCTAGCCTACTTGGAAGTGCTTTGCTTTTCCGTCCTAACACTCCCACAGTCACGAAAGGCGAATACAACCACCACAAATCCGTCAACAAGGAGACACCTGAGACGGTGCCCTGCTCGGACATGTGCGGTGTCGTCTCCCAGGTCGGCCCCTCGGTCTCGCGCTGGGCTGTGGGCGACCGCGTGCTCTCCACCTTCCTCCCGGACCACATCACCGGCCAGGTCACGCCCCAAATGCTCGCCAAGGGGATGGGCCACCCGCTGCCGGGCGTGCTGGCGACGCACCGCGTGTTCCCGGAGCACGCCCTCGTCAAGGCGCCGGGGTACATGACCGACGCGGAGGGGGCGACGTTGCCGATTGCGAGTGTCACGGCGTGGATGAGTGTGCAGGGGCGCTTGAGGGGGGCGGTGGAGAAGGGGGAGGATGTGAGTAAGAAGGTGGTGTTGGTGCAGGGAACGGGTGGAGTGGCCGTGTGTGGGTTGCAGATTGCGAAGGCGTGGGGCGCTAGAGGTGAGTTTCTTCGCGTTGGGGGGGGTTTGTTTCGTGGGATGATGCTAATCGCAGCCGGGATAGTTATTGTGACCTCCTCCTCAGACGCGAAACTCGAACAGGCCAAGTCGCTCGGCGCGGACTATACCATAAACTACCGGACGACGCCCAATTGGGAGGACGAGGTCAACCGTTTCACGGAGGGCAATGGAGTGGATATCATCCTTGAGACGGGCGGCGCGAAGACGCTGCGCAAGAGCTTTGAGTGTATTGCGTTCGGAGGCTTGATCAACTGCATCGGGTACGTCTCGGGCAAGGTGGATGAGCCGGAGGACCGTGTCAATGTCAATCTGTTGTGTCTGCGGCGGAATGTGACGCTACAGGGAATCATCAATGGGCCTAGAGATGAGTTTGAGAAGATGGTGGAGTTCTACGAACAGCGCCAAATCAAGCCGGTGGTAAACCGCGTTTTTGGGTTCGCGCAGGCGAGAGAGGCCTTCGAGTTCGTGGAGAGCGGCGGCCACTTTGGTAAGGTCGTTATCGATGTGGCTGGAGGTTCGCAATGAGGTGTCATTTTCTGAAGAGTCAATATGTCAGGGTTAATGAGAGAAGAGATAATCGAGCCATGGCTGCTGCTCGCAAAGACCATATCCCAGTCGTGTAGACATGATCAGCATCCCCCAGTGGGAAATCTAAGATGTGTTGGACAAACTGAAGTGAAGAGCTCAAAGCCATGCTCGACTGATAGATTTGTTCCATTCAGCCTTACGACACCAGTCTAGCTTAGTGTAGTAATCCCGAGACGTCTCGGATATTCCAAATACAGCAATCCCGAAACTACAACCACGCGCGATTTCTCGCTGCACGGCTTGATTTCTCATCATGAACAAACACCAACTGGCCTACCAGACCAGCGGCAAAACGAAGAGCATTACAGATCCATCTAGGTTGGGACTGCTAGTGGCATAGAGGATGTTCGTCGACAACTATCATCGCAGGTCATCCTATGTTTGGACACTGACAGGCCACTTCAGTCCGCTGCGATACTCAAGACTATCCGGGGATAGTTAGCGCAATCACGCGGGGTCAGCTTAGTCTCATCTCCTCCATCTGCCAGCTCCTGGTTATCAAAAAGAAAAAGAAAAAAAGTTCAACCTTGGTCTGGTCAGTTCTGCCATGGATGGAGATCAACCTCAGTCGAACCCATCCGGCCCAACTTCACCGGCCAAATCGCCCGCCCGACGACGCAGACCGCCATTGTCCTGTACCATCTGCCGGCGCCGCAAGCTGAAATGCGACCGCGCGCTGCCATGCGGACAATGCGTCAAGTCTAAGACCCCCGATCAGTGCGTATATGTCGGACATCAACCTTCCAAGTTTGAGGCACGTCGTGGAGATAATGCGCCGCCAGAAGGCGCACGTGTACCGACCAGTAAACCTAGTCCCGCACATGGGGGGTTATATGTGTTCGACTCCAAGCGTCAGTCATCGGCGAACAGGATCACCAAACCCAAAGCGCGCTCGGACGAGCTGCACGAGCTGCGCAACCGCGTGCAGTTCCTGGAGGCGGCGCTATCCAAGACTGGTCCGATCCACACGCCCGAGAGCTTGGGATATGACGCGCAGTCGGAGGCTGCGGTGCGCACTGCGCCAGAAGCTCAGAATCTGACGGACAATGTCAAAGAACTCTGCTCGCGGTCATGCTTTCGCGGGAAGAAGAGCAGGACGCGCTACTGTGGGCGGTGCCATTCGGCCGTCACTCTATCCTTTGTAAGTGAGCTGGCAGTGCTGTATGGCGAGCCATGGCTGATTTGATATAGTTCGAAGATGTCACGGTCTTCATGCGAGGACATCGCAGTAACTTGAAGCGCAACCCCGACTACAAGGAATTCAAGAGTTTCAAGGGCGAGATGTGGGCTCGCGAGAGACAGGATCACCAACGTGCCTTTCGCAACAAGTCCTGGAATCTGGAAGAGATGGTCCCACCACGGCACGTTGCCGATGAGCTTGTGAATTTGTACCTGTCGACTTTTGAGATGACCTACCGCATCCTACATGTGCCGACCTTTCTCGAGCAGTATGAAGCTTACTGGACGGCTACAGGTCCGCGAGACCGGTGCTTCGTTGCTAAGCTTTTAGCTTTGATGGCTGCCAGCACTTGTTTTCTCAGCCCAACAACTAAGATTGATGGTCGGGAAAAGCTGCACGATGCCGCTGCAGAATGGATTGCGGGAGTCCGTTCCTGGATCGCCCTGACTTTGGTCAGCTCAACCATTGATTTCAACATCTTACAGATTGAGTGCCTTGTTTTAATCGCACGGCAAGCGGACGCTATCGACGGAGACATCGTCTGGATTTCTTCCGGCTCACTGATTCGCATTGCAATGACAATGGGACTACATCGAAGTCCCTACCGGTTCCACAAGATGACCAAATTCTGGGCTGAGATGCGGCGGCGACTCTGGGCCACGATTGTGGAGCTGGATTTACAGTCGTCAATCGACAAGGGAATGCCTCCTAACTTGGATCTGGAAGAATTCGACTGTGAAGCACCATCGAACCTTGACGACTCTCAACTAACCGAAAACATGACGGACGATCCGGTCCCGAAGGACTTAGGGACGTTCACGCGCAGCACCTTCCAAGTTTTACTGCACCAGACCCTGCCATTGCGAGTGCACATCGCCAAAGCCATCAACACGCTGAGATTCACACTCTCATACGACGGCGCTCTGCGGTTGAGCGAAGAGATAAACCATTCGATGCAAGAAGCCGCGGGCATATTTCATCGCATGAGAGCTGCGACTTCGCCCACAGCCGAAAACGATTCTTCTTTCGCACAGTCAATGCTGGTCTTCTTGCTGCGGCGATCTCTTCTTGTGCTCAATCGTCCGTTTGCCCTGAGCATCCTCCGGACGCCGAAATTCTCCTATTCCCGCAAGATCTGTCTGGAATCGGCGCTGCAAATGCTCTCTTACCTCGAGCCATCTGCGGAGGCGCAGGCGTTGCCTCAGCTCGCCCAGCTCAGTGGTGGGATGTTTCGTAATGAGTTTCTCCACGCGGCTCTGACGGTGTGCGTGGAGTTGTACCTGCAGTCGTGCGAACTCAGTCTCCCGCAATCCTTGCCTATGGGCCCGTCGAGTACGCTGACATCGTTCAACGATCTGGTGCGCTCTCAGCAAGAAGTGATGTTGCAGGCCGTGCAGCAGACGATCGAGACGTTTGGGAGCCGGAGGGGCCCGAGCGGTAAGGGCTGCAAGGGGTTCTTCTTCTTGACCATGGTTTTGGCGTCTGTCAAGGCCCGGGTCAACGGACAGGACCCTCAGAAGATGATCGAGCAGGATGTTGCTGTTTGCATGCGACAGTGCGAACAGGTGATGCGGGGGACGCCATTGGCTGATGTACGGAACCGCGATCAGACGGGTAGCTCCACTACGGTAGGTAGTTACATCGAATAATCATAGTTAGTTTGACAGGCTAACTTTTTCAGGCCACTGCAGATTCCTCGTCGGTGGAGGCTACGGCGCCGGTTGACTTCGACCCTGCCTCTTTTGGGCTGGACGCTGTGAGTTACGTGATGCTTGTGATATTGTTGACTGGATGCTAATGTTGTTCAGCCGCTTGATTTCGGGAACTTGTTCGACATGGCAGACTTCGGGGTGTCGGAGCTGTGGGATCGAGATTTCTTTGCCAGCTTCTAGTAGTGACATTGGCGTTGGTTGGTTTCGGGTATACCATTGATGAGCATGTGTGTGTATGAAGCGTAGAACGTATCTCTTCTCAATATACAGAAGATAATCAGCTGCAATCTAAGCTAGGCTTTGAGGCAACCACCCTTCTTACTACGTTCCTGACGTAGACAGTAGAACCAAAGTAGCCGTCAGTCACCACCAAAACAACCGACATGACACATCCAAACAATAATACAAGTCTCGATTAAATGCACAACCATATATTCAATCCCGTTCGAAGATATATATACCTATATACAACCTCCTCCTCCTTGCCCCAAGCCATTTTGACTCAATTCTTCAATTCCTCCACCAACTCCTCCACACTCTTCATCTCCCGCGCATTATTCTCCCCAATATCCAGAGCCACCAACACGCGACTCACGCAATTATACCCCGCAATCCCCGTCGTCAACTCCACAACCTCACGATCACTGAACCCACCCTTCCCCGCCTCCTTCAGGGCGGCAAACGTCCCATCCCGCACCTTCACCCGCAGCGTCATCTCATCCGCATATTTGACCACAGCTTGCTGCCGCGCGCTCAACGCACTCCCGCTCAACGCCGCACCAACCTCTTCCTCCTCGCCCGCCGTCGAGGGCAGCGTGCGCACGGCCTGCAGCTCCGCCGGCTGAATGCCCCCCTTCAACGCCAGCGGCGCGTGCGCGTTCCACTCGTACACCGCCTCCGTCAGCACCGCGACCCGACACACGGCCAGCTCCAGCAGTCCCTGGTCGATGACGGTTTGCGTGCGGATCGCGCCCAGGAAACTGTTCCACCCGTCCGCGACCGGCGGGGAGTGCAGCAGGGAGAGATCTAGCGGGATGAGCGGCCGGGGGTGCCGGCGCGCGGCAATGCGGGCGTAGATTTCGCTCGTGGTGGGGGATGTTCCCGGGGGTGGGGTTTTGGGGGCGTAGGGGAGGCGCATTTTTCCTTATGCTGTGTGGTCTAGGTGTGAGAAGAACAGGGAGGGTTAGATTGGGGGGAATTTTGGGGGTGTGAATGCAGTGTGGGGTAGCGTACACTTTTGTTTGTTTCCTTTTGTAGAGTTGAGGGTAGGATACTGATCCACAGTATCAAAGTAGTGGTTGTGTGGAGGGTAGGGATGGGTAGCGCCGGCTGTTGATAACTTATATATATCCGGCGGGGAGTTGCATTGCCGGATAACACTGGCAAACGCCAAATTGAACGCGGGTGATTGCGGGGGTGGATGCCTCAGGTTTGTCGTGCTGGGTGGGTCCCCGGGTAGCCCAGTTGCCGTCGTTCGGCATGTGTATCCACTCAATGCCGAGTCTTCGGCCCGATCTCTTTCTCCCTTCTTTTTCTTTTTCTTTTTTCTTATTTGTTTTTTTCTTGACTTGGAATCTTTTCTTTGTTTTATGTACGGGCTGATTGGTGGATAGGGTGAGGATAAGGGTGACGGGTAACGAAGGCGGATTCCCCGGATTCTGTGCGTTCAGATAGGTCATTGGCTAGAGGTTGATTTATACGGAGATTCCAATATGTTAGCTTTGATGATCAGAATGGTAATGAACCGTCAATGGTATTTTTGACTCTAAACATAACATTCGAGGTATTTCATCTCAAAGAGAACCACAATCGCTAATTTATGTACACATGCAAAAATCATTCATCCCAATTACAACTTCTGGCCCTTGTTGAAGCGCTCAAACGAGGACACGGGAGGAGCAGAGTTGGGGTTGGGGTGGTGCTTCTTCAGCGCCATCGTGACATTGTACTCCAGATCCAGAGTAGCCTTGGGGTCGTCGGTCTTGGGCTTGAATTCGACGATCAGGTCGTTCTTGACGGCGAACACGGAGTCGATGCCGAGGTAGGGGTCGGTGGAGGGGTAGAGCTGGTTGATGATGGTGGCATACTCGGGGTGAGTGATCATCAGGTGGATGTGAGCGGGGCGCATGGGGGAGCGGTCCATGAGGTTCAGGAGGACACCGGCGGGGCCGTCGGTGGGCAACGAGTAGGCGGTGGGGTGGTAGCAGTACCAGAAGTACTCGCCGTTCTCGTTGGTGCGGAACTTGCCGCGGAGGTTGTTCTCGCTCTGCTCGGGGTCCTGGAAGTCGTACAGGGCGTTGGCGGAAGCCTGCCAGATGTCGAGGACGGCGCCGGCAATAGGCTTGCCGGTCTCCATGTCGGTGATGCGGCCGTGCATCCAGGTCACCTGGCCGTTAGGCAGGGGATTCTGGATGATGCTATCGCCGAGCTCGCGGAAGGGAGCGTTGGGAGACCAGAAGGGGCCGAGGATAACGTTGGAGGTGGGGGAAAGACCCTGCTCGGTCACGATCTTGTTGGCGATCTCATCGACAAGACTATGCACACATGAAGATTAGCTGATTGTCGTCGCGTGTGGCGCGGACAGGGAACTTACGACTCGAGACCGATAACGTCGCAGATACGGTGGCACTCGTTGCGGATGGGAGTGCTGATCTGGCCAATGGAGTTGATGAACTCGACACCCATCATCCACTCGGCAGGAGTAAGCTCGACCTCACGAGCGAAGTCGTGAATGTGCTTGATGAGAGATCCCAAGATCACACGAGCACGCTCGGGAGTCTTGGGTCCCATGGCGTTGATGACATAGGGAGTGAAGTCGGGGTCCCAGCGAGGTTGAGCAGACATGTTGGCGGTTGTGTGAGGGACGAGTTGTTCACAAAGACAGACTTAAGCAATGATAATAGAGAGGAATGGGGAGGAAGAGAATTGCAACCAAAAAGTCTGGAGCACTGAAGGGTCTATATACACGGTTCAGCCAGGTGTGGCAAGTCTGAGTATGGACCGTAACGGCAAATCGTTCGGCTCGTTTGGGGATGTGGGGAGCAGCGCAACGGTAAAACCGCTATTCCCACATGCCGATGCATTGGATAATGGCCTGATCGTGCAATTCATGGTCGTATCTGTCGGATTCCCAGCCGAAAGACGGTAGGATCTGATCAGACTAAGCGAATTGACTTTTTGTGAAACATGTTGGTCAATTGCACTATGGGGAAAGCTGAAAATCGCAGATGTATGGGTAAAACGTTTGCTGGGAGTGGTTGCTGCGATCGCGCGCTGGTGATCCCGGGGTAGCTCTTACCCGCGGCTAAGAGCTCAAGTCTGCTGACTCAGCCCTTTCCCCGTGATCTTCTTCCCCAGAGTTCTCAGTCACCCCCCGTTCGTCCACGGTTCCTGGCCTCATCAAGACTGTGTCCGTTACTATTGGTCGATGGCCTTCCCGACTACAGGTCCGATTTTATCACGTGACGCTACCGGAGACTCTTGCCGGCCGGCACGCGCCAAAGTTCCCAGAGCCGGATGCGGATATTGAGGCAAAAGTGATCCGCCAGCTGCCGGGGGCACAGGGAGAGTTATCTGATCATATGGATGATTTCAAAATCGGCTATTGCTCATGGTATAAGCCAGAGATGTAGAGGGAAAAACAATTTCCACACCTATCATCAGAACTATCTACTAACACCTGTGTCAACGGTCTTGAGTCTCGGTCACTAGGGTACCAGAACGTGAAGATCAATTGCGACAGCTTCTGGCTCGCATTGAGACGCAATAATTTGAACTTTGAAATCTCATTATCATCTAATCTATGTACTTTACAGACAATCGCTGCACTTTTAATCATACCAAATGGCGTTCATGCCGAATCCCATCTCAGGAATATCAACCCGAGCCACGCGCGCAAGATTCTCGTCGCGGAAACGGTAAATCTCGACGAAACCAAGCTGGTCGTCACACAGGGCGAGCCACTCGTCACTGAAGTCGCAGGGACTGACAGCGTTGGAGTGTCCGCCACTGGTCGACGTGGGATGGATGAACAGCTGCCGCTCAATGTTTCCGTTGGGACCCAACTTGAAGGCTGTGATGTATCCGGTGATATCGAAGGAATTTCCGCGGGTGGTCGCGAACAGGTATTCGCCGCTCTTGGTGGTGAAAGTCACGTCACCACGGTACTTGTTGCGCGGGGGAAGTCCTAAGTCAAGTTAGTCTTGCGCTCCAAAAAGCTCAATTGGAGCGAGTTTCAGTGGTGAGGAGCAGCGTAGACTTACCATCAGGAAGCAATGGGTAGGTGATGTGGGTGAAGACCGGCTTGTGGGTACGCTCGTCGATAACATACACGCCCAACCGGTTGCCCGCCTCCATCAAGACATACAGGTATTTACCGCTGGGGTGCATCTCGACCCAGCGAGGATGGTCACCCGGCGCAGGTGCCTCAATGCAGTCGACCAACTCCAGCTGGCCCGTGGTTGCATCCTTCTTGTGCGTCCAGATCTTGTTGGCCTGCAGGTCGGCCGAGTACAAATATGTCTCCGTGGGGTCAAAGACCATACCGTGGATACCGGTGTTCGGTTCATACTCGTAGTTTTGGATGTTCTCGCGCAGGCTACCGTCCTCGTTGGTGGAGAAGACATTGCCGTAGCCAGCGTACTTGTAGAAAGGGTTGCCGTACACATTGTAGGGAGGCTTGTGCGCCGCTAGCACGAAGATCGCACGGGTGTTGGTATCGGCGCTGGCAGCCAATTCTGAGGGAAACGATCAGCTGTCGCAAGGTGAGGTATAGAGACAACAATGGCTTACCGTGGCCAGCCACGGGGTGAGAAGCTTGATGAACAATTTCAGTAGGGCTCTTGACAGCGAAGCTGTTCCACTTCTTCATCGCCGCGCCATAAATGGCTTTTTTGTCGTGCTTTCAAGACACTTAGCTTTCCGAGCTCAAAGACCTTGCCGAAACGAGGAAAAGCATGCTTACCGAAAAAGTCATCCAAGAAATAGGCTCCGCTTCCGGAATGTCAGTCTTTTTGACCAGATCCAGGGTCAAAGCCTCGTCATCGAAGGCGACGGTGTAAATGCGACCTGGAGGGGTCCAGGTGCCGACCATGAGATGGTGCTTCATTTTGGTAGGTGGGGTTGCGGTAAAGAGAGAAGCGGAGAATCGATATGTCCGAGTATGAGAGATCTGAGCACTGAAAGATTCAGAAAAGCTCGTGAGAAGGCGGGGGAATGCTAAGACGGAGGTTGATCGAGATGTTGACCAGCAAGGGAGCATTATAGATTCATCAATTGCAAGCCTCGAAGGAGGGGGAAGAGTATTTCCTAGCGCTGGTTCGGCAGGGAAAAAGTTGAGACACCGCCGACTCGGGATCTGGAGACAGCCGAAGCCAGAGCTGCGCACAGAATGCGGGGAGCGGCAAAAGATTACGGCAATGCATGAAGGCCTCAGGCATTCAGAGGGATGCATAAGGCATCAGTGGCTTGCTTCGGCCTCAGCTTGCATTTACTCCGTAGGCTAGTCCATGCCATTGTGGCCCTATAACCATTCAGGTAAGGTGGACTGGGCTTCTCCACGCCAAAGTCTCATTTGTGGCCCTTGTTTCGAAGATTAACTGGAAACACAGTAGCTACCCTGAGGGGCGAATGGGGAAGGGGCGAGAAGACACAGGTACTGAGTTGGAGACCACTGCACACTACATGTACCTGATGCGAGCACATATACCTAGTTATGTACTCTGGACAGTACAGTATATGTTTAGTTATGTACTGTGGGTTGGAGTTGGCACGTAACCAATATCCTAAACAGGACAACAACAACAAATGCCTCCAGGTTTTGGGGCGGATGGCGGAGGGATTGACACGGAGTAGAAAATTCCAGTGGCTGCCCCAGGCCAATCAGGCCACGACGGGCGGCGCAAAGGCGGGGTTCCCCTCCCGACTAATGCTCTTCATGATCTCACTTTCCCTGCTTCCATCCAACGATTGTCACTGATTCTTATACCTTCTTGGCCTAAACTCCAACTGATCGCTGCCCTTGCATCAGACCTACGACACCATCGTGAGACATGGCAGCACAGGCCAGTTCCAACTCCAACGGTATGTTCCTTTTAACCTGTGTCTCTCTCCCAAGCTCCAACCTCTCGCACATCACCCTCGTGTGCTACCTAAAGCGAAGCTTCTCTCTGGCGCCTCATTACTCCTCCTCACAATCCTTCTTCCAAGTAACGTACTTAAAAGCTTGTTTGCTAATTCCACCAATGTCGGCCTCTGTAGCTACCGCGACCTCGGAACTCCAATCCTCTCTCCGTGAGCTGGCTCTCACCAACAAAAGTCCCGTCAAAGACATTGCCCGTCCATCGATACTTCCTCCCTCAGCTCTCAAGAAGAAGAAGGCTGCTCCCGTCGCAGATTCATGGGAAGATGAGATAGACGAGAGCGCTTCCGAGTCCGACGACCTGGACAACAAATCGGCCACTATCTCCCGAGATGATCTACCCGTGCTCTCACCATCGATCCGCGCCTCTGAAGACCCCCTTGATCCTCCACCTACCCCGCTCTCTCCGCAGACATCCTTGAACCAGCCGTGGCCTTCTTATGGTAACGCCGGATCGGTTCCTCGATCGTCAGATTCTAAGTCCCCAGTATCAGGTCGACGACCGGAGAAACAGACGGCGGTAGCGAACAGATTGATTGCGGGAGCGCTGGGCATTCGAGCTCCGAAGCGGACGGAAGAGCAGCGTGCGTATGACCGAGCTGTGAAAGAACAAGAGATCAAGAGGAGAAATAAAGAGCGCGAGGAAGCCGCCAAGGCACGGGAAGAAGAAGAAAAGGCGAAGGCGGCTGTGTGGGATGCATGATTATCGCCAATACTTTATCTGTTATTACAAGGCGTCTTGGGTTGATGTATTTCATACGCTTACACTACACTAATCTGACCTAAATTTTGTCCTATTATTCGTCACCTGGCGAAGCTTAATTATAACCTAGTTGGCCAGTGTTTCCAGGCATATGAACCTGCCTAGCAAGCATGAGTTAAGAAATATACATTCAAGCTATAGGGCTGGACCGGATTGCATATGCTGAGAGCCCCTTGAATTGGGCCCTAGCATATACGCTTATATTACTCGGATGGTCATGTACAGGACACCCAGCATCTTAGACTCTTGATACTGATAGACTGACGCTCTATTTGCTGATCGGTATGTTAGCAGATGTGACACCACTCGATAACATGCTTGCTTGGATTGCTTTTACGAAGGTGTCGCACCAGATGCTCGGGTTAGGCAGAGGATTCCGATGGAGTTACGAACAGTTGATGGGAAGCAATTCGCGCCAGCCATGTATTGTATGGGCAAACGCTATCTCAAGGGAATCAGCCAAGTGTTATTCTGAGTTTATTCTCGATTGTCGTTATGTTGAGTATACAATGAAGAAAAATTTAATGGACCTTGACTTAATCGGAAGTATCTAAGGATCAATCTTCATATATATGGCCACCATCGCATTTAGCAGCAAAGATCCACATAATATCTTTTACCCCAAATCTCAACAACAGAATCACGAGGCACAACATCAACACCCTTCAAGACTCATATGCCCACGGTCCTTGACCAATATGCCTGTGTATCAGTGTCCTTGCAGGGAGCATTGAAGACCAAAGGGCTGGAGCACACATAGATTGAAGATATCAATTAGCTTATCTGAATCTGTCCCAAAGGGGAATAATAAGCATGATCTTGAGTGTTGCAATGGACATGATGATTGTAGATCTGGGGACTGGGTTGAGGAGATAAGGAACCTTGAATCTCTTGGCTTGAGAACCTGCACTAACCAGGAGAGGCTAGCCCGGTATGTTTTGGTTGCTTTGCAGCAGTCCTTGACATCACTCTTCATACCAGTGGAGCAATGAGCCAATGAGATGTTCCATTCGCTTCCTAAGATTCCCGAGGCCATAGCACTGACCCCCTCGTCTAGCCCTGGTCGCTGCAAGAAACTAATTTAGCTTGCAGTGCAGGTGCGTACAATTCGCATTCTGCAACAATCTGACTAAATTAGTGCCTGGCAATCTCACTTCCCCAACGAGTGGCGGACTGCTGGAGGAGATTGCATCCGGATCCACTTCGAACCATTGCTCTGAGACAGACTAGACCCGCCGATCGGAGGCCCATGCCAGCTCCTCTGTGGAGTAGGGAAGTGATGCTGTGCCAATACTTGACCACTAAATCTCACTAGCAGATCCATTTGGCAGCCTGTATGGAAGGCTGAACTTTGCGGCACGACACAATGCGTGGAAACGCCGCTGCTTGGCAAACTTTAATACATTCCTCTCCTTTACTCTGCCCCGGAAAGTAACCCTCTGCCCCCTCAAATAACGGGGGTTTTGCCTCGCCGGCCAAGTCTTTGAGTCTCTCCTGTCATCCTTGTAGTCTTTTCATCCTCAACCCCTTCGTCCTGCTCCTTCAATAGCTGCTTGCTTACCATCCGCAGCAGTCAGCAATGGCCGGCAAGCAGCATTCCCCTACGGCCTCGTCCGCCACTTCTAGTGCGGACGAACTTGCCAACGCCGGAGATTCGCAATTACTGGGTACCTCGCCTCCCGCTCATGTTAGCAGCATTAGCAGCAGCAGCAGCAGCAGCAGCAGCAATAGCAGCAATTAACTAACCACACGATAGCCACCCTTGGGTACAAACAGGAACTTCGTCGACAATACTCCACCGTTCAGATCTTTGCTGTCGCGTTCAGTATCATGGGCTTGGTGCCATCCATTGCATCTACTCTAGCCTTCAGTTTACCAGCTGGTCCTGCTGCGATGACATGGGTAAATACACGCTACCTCAAAACCACAGCCACGTAAAAGACCGCAATTACTGATTATCGAAGGGCTGGCTCATTGCAAGTCTCTTCATCTTCTGTGTAGGATTAGCGCTGGTATGATATTTGTTTTCCCTCTTGATGATTGGAGCGCGGCTCACATCCCTGTTCGGATTTAGGCCGATATGTCATCAGCAATGCCTACGGCCGGCGGGCTATACTGGTGGACCCATTACTTCGCAGGCCCGAAATATAAGAATGCACTGAGCTTCTTGGTGGGATACAGCAACACGATGGGCCTAGTCGGGGGAATGTGCTCGACGGATTGTGAGCTACCATCTGGTCATTCAGCTGAGATATCCGCTTACCCACCTATAGACACCCTTTCTCTCATGATCCTCGCTTGTGTCTCCATAGCACGCGACGGTGAGTGGTCCGCGTCCAACGGTGTTGTTTACGGTGTATATGTTGGCATCATAATTGTACACGCCCTTGTCGCCATTTACACTGGGCCCATAATGCCCCGTATCCAAACCTTCTGCATCTTCCTCAATATTGTCATTATTATCGCCACTGTCGTCGCTCTGCCGGTCGGCAAAGTCACAAATGGAGGAACAATCAACCCCGGCAGTTGGGTATTTGGCCATGTGGATAATTTAACGACTTGGCCGAAGGGTTGGGCTTTTATCCTCGCCTTTCTGGCTCCGATCTGGTCCATTGGTTTCTTCGACTCGTGTGTACACATGAGCGAGGAAGCTCTGCATGCTGCCAAGGCGGTTCCCCTAGGTATCATTTGGTCATCAGGATGTGCATGCGTGCTGGGTTTCCTGGTGTTGAGTGTGATCGCCGCCGTGATTGACCAGGACGTCCGCACAACATACGACTCTGTGTACGGACAGCCCATGGCGCAAGTCTACTTCACGGCGCTTGGCAAGAAAGGAGCCTTGGGCTTCATGGCTGTGTTGATAGTGATTCAATTCTCCATTGGATTGAGCTTGGTATGTCTCGACCTCATCTCAATTGGATTGTCTTTTCTGACAGCGGATATAGATCGTCGCTGCATCTCGACAGGCTTGGGCCTTCTCTCGGGATGGTGCCCTACCCTTCTCTAATTACTTCCGCCATGTGAGCAAGCGCATTCAATACCAGCCTGTGCGGGCAATGTGTGGCTTTGTGGCTGTTTGCATTGTCTTTGGGTTACTCGTCCTGATAAACTCCGTCGCGGCCAATGCGCTTTTCTCGCTCTTTGTGGCCAGTAACTACGTCGCCTGGGGCACCCCGATTCTGTGTCGGCTCATCTGGGGTAGGGAGCGGTTTCGCCCGGGCGAGTTCTACACCGGGCGGTTCAGTCGACCGATTGCGGCCGTGGCCGTGGTATGGTTGGTCTTCGGGTTGATCCTATCCATGTTTCCCAGCACGGGCCCGAACCCCAGCGGTAAGTTCTCATACTTCATCTCTTAAATCAGGACAATTGCCTAATGGTGTTTCAGCATCGGATATGAATTACACGATCGTGATCAACGGATTTGTCTGGGTCGCGTGCATGACGTATTACTTTTTGTTCGCTCGCAAATGGTACACAGGACCCAAGATGACTGTGGACGGGGTGGATTCTCGAGGCAATAACGACGCGAGTCAACTGGGAAGCAAGGATCCTTCCACTTCCTGATAGGTATCTCTTTGATTTACTTTTTGGCCACATAGAACATGGTAAGTAAAAATCATAAGAATTAGAGCATCTATGATATGAACATTCAGTATCCGGGTTATTATACTGTAGCAACTGTTGTGGCCACTTTTGGGAACCGAACAACATGCTTTTCATTAATGTAGGATTGTTGCGTGGAGTGGGATGCATGGAATATGACTCCTCCACCGTAGTGTCCATGTTTATATATAGTAGCCGTTTGCTTGAACTCGCAGCCACATCAGCTTCAATGAGCGCGTCCATACATCCTGCTATCTAGCGTCAACAAGCTTTGATCCGACCTTTAAACTGAAATGCCTCACCTTTCAGAAATCGCACGCGAAAAATTCTCACTTTCTCCACTGTCCACTGGTAGCAGCCTCACAGAAGCCATACTCCAGCCTTAGGCGAAAACGCGAGATTTCCCGAGATGCTGACTCATCCGAAAAGCAATCGGACTAATTACGTATCGCGACTATCAAGGATGAATATCAAGCTCAGATAGACGCTCTCTTGGTCGACAAAAACACTATTCCTCCGTAGACACATCTCCACTCCAATTTCTTCGCGGACATGCTCTGCAGACCCATTTTCTCTCGAGGGGTGACAACCCTCCGGAGCTCAACCGGCCTCCGCCTGTTCTCCTCCACCACGCAGCGGCTGGAACCCGACTTGTCCTACCAAGTCTTCAAGCCCGAGAAGGACGAAATCACCCGGGACCCGATCATCTTTCTGCACGGTCTGTTTGGCTCGAAGCAGAACAACCGGAGCATTAGTCGGTGAGTGGTCTATCTTGTGGAATGAGTGTGAGCAAGCGGATCACTGACGGGCGTTAATCGCAGCGCATTGGCCCGCGATCTCAAATGTGAAATCTTCACGGTGGTATGTATCCTGCTCCTTTGCAGGCTGCCTGTCTGTCTGAGCGCCAGGCGCAGTCAGGGCATGGGAGGTGAGTTAGTTTTGATCTAACTGCTGGGTCCAGGACCTCAGGAACCACGGCCACTCGTTCCATGCCGAGGAGCACAACTACTCCGTCATGGCGGAGGATGTGGTCAAGTTCATGCAGCAGCTGAAGCTGAAGAAAGCTGCCTTGATTGGGCATTCTATGTACGACTTCTTCCTCCCCCCTCTTCCCCCCCTGTAATCCCCCGTCGTCTCAAGTAGAATCCTCCACACTCAGGAGAATATGAGTGACATGAACTGATGGCTCTTTGTGTGTGTGTTCCGGTGAAAAGGGGTGCCAAAGCCGCCATGACCGTCGCCCTCGAAACCCCCAGTCTAGTGTCTGCCCTCGTCCCCGTGGACAACGCCCCGCTCAACGCGCCTTTGAAGAGTGACTTTGGCAAGTACGTCCGTGGCATGCAGCAGGTCGAAGCCGCCAAAGTGACCAAGCAGTCGGATGCGGATAAGATCCTGCAGGAGTATGAGGAGGTAAGTGCCCTGTCTTACTCTACCTTTCAGCCCAGTCTTTATCCAAAACCCTCATCTAGCTCGACCACACCAACAACCTCCCTTCCCTCCCTTTCCCCCGGACTACTAAATCAAGAAATAACAGTCCCTCCCCATCCGCCAATTCCTCCTCACAAACCTCATCCGCTCCCCAGACGACCAGACGATGAAATTCCGCGTCCCGCTGTCCGTGCTCGGCGAGTCCCTTGCCGACATGGCGGATTTCCCTTACCGGGAGGCCGACGCGTCCGCGAAGACATACGACGGCCCGACGCTGTTCGTCCGCGGCACGAAGAGCCGCTACGTGACGGACGAGGCCATCCCCGTGATCAAGGCGTTCTTCCCCCGCGCGCAGATCGCTGACGTCGAGGCGGGCCATTGGTTGATTTCGGAGAATCCGGAGCCGTTTAGGCTTGGTATGTTTTCCTGTTTTCCCTTTTGTCCTGGTTGGGTCGTGGGTGTGAATTGAGAGCTGACGTGTGTGTGTATAGCTGTGGTTAAGTTTTTCAAGGAGTTGAGTTAGATTAGAGGTTGAGGGTGTCTTGGGTTCATGAGGTGTATATAGGTAGGTTTGCTGAGGTTGTTAGAGCTAGAGCTGGATCTACATGGCTTGTTTAGTATAAACAAATTCAAAAAGTAAATGGTATCATCATCATTGTTGGTCCTTGAATAAATAACATGCAGAAGGCAATCACAGATGTATATAGCACAGCAGGAAATCTTGCTTTTGATCTCGCCTGAACCCAAAACTTTAACAAGGCAAAACAAAACCGAACCAGACCCTAAGCTCATCCCAGACAAGAAAGACCAGATTACAAGCCTGTAGGAAGCAGGAGAGCTAATAAGACAGATATCGTAGAAGATGGGGTGATTTTAGGGAGAAGTTTAGTCCAGGGCATCGGTGATACAACCGTGGCTGGCGTCCTTGACGAGTCTGTACAAGAATCAAACACATTAGTTATTATTCCAAGATTGACGATGCACTTCCTAAAGGCGAATACATACCTAGCGTACTTGCCGAGAGTTCCGCGGAGTGTGAGACCAGTAGGAGGCAGCTTGCCGGCAGCCTTATCGGCCTCCCACTGCTGTCTTCTCGTGGCAAGCTCGGTGTCATCAACATCGATATCAAGGACACGCTTCTCAGCATCGATGGTGATTACATCGCCGTCCTTGACCAGACCGATGGGACCGCCAACGGCGGCCTCGGGGACGATGTGGCCGATGAGGAATCCGTGAGAACCGCCGGAGAAACGGCCGTCGGTGATCAAGGCGCAGGAGTCACCGAGACCGGCACCCATGAGAGCAGAAGAGGGCTTCAGCATTTCTATTGGCAAATGTTAGCGACGACGCCTCAAACAGGATACCTGGGTGTAGTCACTTACCGGGCATGCCGGGACCACCCTTGGGCCCGCAGTAGCGGATGACCACAACGGTCTTGTCACTCTTCTTGATCTCGTTGCGCTCAAGAGCAGTAATGAAGTCGTCCTCGTCCTCGAAGACGCGGGCCTTACCGGTGAAGACGGTTCCCTCCTTGCCGGTAATCTTACCAACACTACCACCAGGAGCCAAAGTACCCTTCAGGATCTGGATGTGACCGGTGGGTTTGATGGGGTTGGACAAGGGACGGATGATCTTCTGGTCCTCGGGGAAATCGGGGACCTTCTCTAGGTTCTTGGCCAGGGTTTGACCGGTGACAGTCATACCGGATCCATCGATGATACCCTCCTTAAGCAGGAACTTGAGCAGGGAAGGAGTACCACCGATGTTGTGGAGATCAGCCATGACGTATTTGCCGGAGGGCTTGAGGTCGGCCAAGAACGGGGTGCGGTCCGAAACAGCCTGGAAATCCTCGATATCCAGCTTGATACCGACGGAGTCGGCGATGGCGATCAAGTGGAGAACAGCGTTAGTAGAGCCGCCAGTGATGTTGACGACAATCATAGCGTTCTCGAAGGCCTGGCGCGTCAGGATATCGCGTGGGCGGATGTCTTCCTTGAGGAGATTCTTGATCGCCTCACCAGCCGCAAGACACTCGAGGTACTTGGCCTGGGATTCGGCAGGGTTGGAGGAAGAGCCAGTAAGAGTCATTCCCATGACCTCGATGGCGGTGGCCATGGTGTTGGCAGTGTACATACCACCGCAAGCGCCACCTCCGGGGCAGGCGTTGCGGATGATGTCGAAGCGTTCAGGCTCGGTGATCTCTTTGCTCAAGAACTGTCCGTAGGCCTGGAAGGCGGAGACGATGTCGATGTCCGCGTTGTTCTGCATCGAGGCGCAACCGGGCTTGATGGTACCTCCGTAGACCATCAAACTCGGGCGGTTAACTCTGCCCATCGCCATCAACACACCAGGCATGTTCTTGTCACAGCCGGGGATGCTGATGTTGGCGTCGTACCACTGACCGCCCATGACCGTCTCGATAGAATCGGCAATCAGATCACGGCTCTGCAGAGAAAAGCGCATACCCTTGGTGCCCATACTGATACCGTCACTGACACCGACGGTGTTGAACTGGAATCCGACCAATCCGGCCTTCTGAACACCCTCGCGGACGCGGTTGTTGAGGTCCATCAGGTGCATGTTACAAGGGTTACCATTGTACCACACAGACGAAATTCCAACCTGAGCCTTGTTCATGTCCTCCTCGGTGAGACCAGTGGCGTACAGCATGGCCTGGGAGGCACCCTGCGAGATCGGCTGGGTGATGTTACGGGAGACTTTGTTGAGGCCGGCATCCTTATCATCGGCCTTCCTCGAAAGAGTGGTGGACAGCGAGCGACTAAAAAACACAGAAGAGGAGATCCGGTCAGCAAGTATTCAGTACAGTTGAGAGAGCTTGGAAACAATGATGAAGCACACACCTGTTCAACGAGCGCTGGCTGAGGCTCCGAAGAGCGGCGGGCATACGGCCCCGGCTCTGAGAGAGAAGCATTGCCGGATCGAGAGCACGCAACTCACGGGGAGAAATCGGAAGCTTGGATGAGAGGAGAGGTATCGAGTGAGGGATATGAGAGAGATTAGATTAGAAGCCCTTGACCATAGCACAGCAGGAATAATATAAGGGAGCATGCGAAGGGTCAACAGCAGCGAGTCACACACAGCTGTGGAAAATTGGGCCGGGGGCCTCCGCAGCTCAGCAGCTGCGAAGTCGGGGGCCGGAGTTGGACAAATTCTCCCCGCCACCCAATCCTTGCCCATCGTTTGTCAGCCATTGTCCAATCATCGAACTGGGGTGGGAATGACTCAGCCCGGTCTCGACTGCTTTTCGTGGGGAGCTCTGCAGCTAGCCGTCTTGAGATTTGCGTGGCGGTCCTCGAGTTCTACCGATTCCGACTCAGCTCTCGGCCTGACATGAGATGCGCTTTTCCCAAACGGGCCGATGGGGTTGTTGTTGTCCAAGCCGGGCGGTGGGTGGTTGTAACACATAACTAAGGAATTTCAATCCACCATGGTGCTTCCACTTTCTTGCATGGCTGATGATGTATGCTCCATTGAAATGGTCGATTATCTCATGCGATAAATTATAGACTCGCCTCATCGAGGCTCTGCTGCTCTACCTAAAGCAACAGCTGAAATGCACACATATGAACCTGGCTCCTTGCGCATAATGATGCTCCCGTACAACAACCTGTATACATGCCTGGAACGAGCTTCCAATTCGATTTGCTCCAAGCCGGCCAAGCGAGTACAACTTGCAGTCTATATGTTGGTAAGAGTCTGTTATCGGTCCGAGAAACCTGTCGATGCAGTCATGCGCGATCCATGGCGAGCTCAATTGTTACACCGTGCGCCATCGTCTGGCAGACGATCTGTGCCCACCTTCACCTGATCAGTGCCGATCTAATGAGCTTCTACGAAAGGGCTTCCCTTAAAGCCTGGTCTATGCTCTATTGCCCTTTTTTTGTTTAGTCGTGGTTTGGTGGTGCGGTGCCGGGCATTGCTGGTTTTCTTGATAGTGCATGCAAGGGAATGCGGCAAGAATGCAGGTGGTATGCAAGTCTTGCAGCGCCCTTAATATTATCCAGGGACAACCTTCTACGCGTTAGCTTCAGTCTGTCTTCTGGTCTATCTCGTCGCGCCACTTACCTCTCCTTTATCGACAAATCGCACCTTTGGAGGTGCTGAGGTTCCATGCGGGATGACACTTAGTCGCGAGATGGCGTCCACTGGGATAGACGCTTTGGGCCTTTCGCTTGTGGTTTGCTGCAGCGTGCCAACATTGTTGACAGTAATTACTCGCTTTCGAGACGCAAAGTCGCACCATGCATCTGATTCACAAGACCCATCGGAGACGCCTCTACTAGGCTTGTCGAGTTATGAAGACGAGGATGGTGAAGCCACACCAGAATCCTTGGAGCAGTTCTCAGCGTCATGGCAGCGGATTGCTATAGTGCTATCGTCTGTCATAGGGTTTGGGGTGTCCTTGTCACAGGCTATCATTTCGATGGAGTCGCGTCAACGCGAATGTATGATTTCCTTCTGGCTGCAAACGGGTGGATGGGTATGTTCTATGACTCCTTGAAGGCAACAGATCAGCCCGATGGTATATTCGTGGTTCATTCTAACCGAGCATAGATGGTATTGTGTCTACAATCTGCCGGCTTCTTGATCGAATTAGCGCCGGCAAAACGATATATACTCGGGATATACGCTTCTGCGGCTGGCTTTGTTATGATCCTGGTGCTATGCGCGGACTTTGTGCTTGTTTGGCAGTCTGGAGATAATGGTAATCTCGATGACCTGTGCACAAGTTTGATGATAAGCCAGGTCGGCATCGCCTGCCTACGAAGCTTCCTCTGCTTGTTGATACCCAGGCGCCCTAATGTACACCATCAAGGACAGGTAGTGGACCAGGAATGTACAGTGAGCCTCTTCGGCAGGATAACGTTCAGCTGGGTCAATGATCTCCTACGATTTGTGGTGACGAACAAAGGCTTGGAACTGGACGATCTCCCGAAACTGCCGGTGACCGCGCGCGCTCAAACTCTTCATGCACGCCTTGAGACAATGCGCCACTCTCGGGAATTGTGGAAAGCGCTCATAATCGGACATCTGCGGCCACTCCTATTACAAAGCACATTAAGCATTATCCAGTGTCTTCTAGGGTTCGGACCGCAAGTGGCATTGTTCGGCATACTGAGGTCACTAGAGGATCGCTATTATTCGCCAGGGGATACAAACACAACCTGGATATGGGTGCTCGGGCTCGGAATAGTCCTTGTCCTATCCTCCAGCATTGAATCCTGGCTCTGGTGGATCATCTATTCTCGGTTGTGGATACCAATATATGAAGGAATCTCCGCTGTCGTGTTTGCAAAGTCATTGCGATGCAAGGATGTGAAGCAGCTGAGCCGCTACAGCCAGGAAGGTAAGAACGATGGAGGCACCGAGGACATAGACGGGGTAGAGCAACAGGGGAGTCGCCAAACTGTCATCAATTTAGCCACCGTGGACTCCAAGCGGATCGCTGACTTCGTGATGTATAATTACCTTATCCCTTCTTGCATTCTTCGACTAGTGGTTGCATCTGCTTTCCTAGTCCAGCTGATTGGATGGAAGAGTTTGCTGGCGGGTGGCCTTGCGGCGATCCTGTTGACCCCGATGAACACCCATTTGACGAAGAAATACTCGGCAGCCCAGAAAGATTTCATGAATGCTAGCGACAAACGAATGAGCGCAGTAGCCGAAGTACTGCATGGGATACGACAGATCAAGTTCTCAGCTCTCGAACAGCAGTGGCAGGATCGGGTATCGGAAAAACGCCGCATCGAACTCAAATACTTATGGAAAACGTCTCTGTACACTACTGGCATGGTATCCGTGTGGATCATGGGACCTCTCTTGTTGTCTGCCGTGTCTTTGACTGTATACGCGCTGACTTATGGCGAGCTTTCTGCCTCTGTGGCCTTTACAGCTCTTTCTGTGTTTGGATCTCTGGAATCCGCCCTGGCGAGTTTGCCTGACCTGATGTCTAAAGCAATGGAAGCTAAGATTAGTGCTTCTCGCATCGACCGGTACTTAAACTCGGCGGAGAAAGCACCCTATACGTTCAATGTCGAGGAGATAACTTTCGATAACGCCACCATTGCATGGCCGGCACAGGATGATGAAGATGAGCAATCTGGCTGGGACGATGAAGAGTGCTTTTGTCTTCGCAACCTTAATCTTCGATTTCCTTCGAAGAGATTGAGCGTCATCGCTGGGAAAACTGGCTCTGGGAAGAGCTTACTCTTGGCCTCCATCCTAGGCGAGTGCGACGTCTTGGCTGGCATGGTTGCTATCCCGCACAGTCCTCCGTCCCATGAACGATTTGACGAGAGAGCAACGCGTCATAACTGGATAATCGATAAGGCTGTGGCTTACGTAGCCCAGAATCCCTGGATGGAGAACGCAACAATCAAAGAGAATATTCTGTTTGGACTCCCTTACGATCGCTACCGATACCGCAAAGTACTCCGCGCTGTAGCGCTGCAGAAGGACATTGACATGTTACCGGACGGCGATTATACAGATATAGGTGCTAATGGCATCAATCTAAGCGGCGGCCAGCGCTGGCGCATATCATTTGCACGGGCCCTATACTCACGAGCAGGGATATTGATCATGGATGACATCTTCAGCGCGCTTGACGCGGAAACTGGGCGCCACCTCTATGAACGCGCCTTGACCGGAGAACTTGGCCAGAATCGGACTCGGATCCTCGTCACACATCATGTGGGTCTGTGCTTACCTCGGACAGACTACTGTGTTCTTCTCGCAGATGGGATTATGATCCACGCTGGTACGAAGGAGGAATTGGCTGCGGCTCAAAACCTGGTGGACTTTTTGGATCAAACAGCAGAAACACCGGTTACTGAAACCCCTCCCGGAGTGCAAGGACCTAAAGTATCATCGAAGCGCGTGTCAACAAACTCGAGACTATCTACCAACTCGCGCCTCTCGACAGCCACTAGTATACACACGCTCCGAAGGTTTACTGAGGATGAAAAACGGGAAAGGGGGGCTGTTTCCACAAAGGTTTACGTTGAATATCTCACCAAGGGCAACTGTCTCCGCCTTTGGACATTGGTGTTTCTGGCATACAGCGCTTTTATGACTCTTCTAGTCGGTAGGGTACGTGTGTCTCTACTAAAACATGAATCGCTAGTTCTATCAACTAACATTACTAGTCTTGGTGGGTGAGCGTCTGGACCAGTGCGTCCACTCCATCGTCTGATGCAGAAAACGATCCACAATCTCTTAAAAACTTCATGAACCGGGCGTGGACGTTCAAAGCCGACGAGGATTTGATGTTCTATCTCACAATTTATATATGCTTCTCTGTCGCCGCATGCGTTGTCGGCACAATTCGTACATTGGCTCTCGCCTTCGCTTCGCTGGAATCCTCGCGTCAACTGTTTAACGATCTTCTGTATACTGTTCTGCGGTCCCCTTTGCGATGGCTCGATACCGTTCCAACTGGGCGCATCCTGAACCGCTTCACCTCCGACATCAACATTCTCGACTGGAGGCTGGGATATGACATAGGTCATTTTGTCTACAAAGTATTGGAATTGGTGGGCATCCTCGCTGCGGGGTTGTTGGTTTCACCTCTTCTCTTGCTGTTCGCTTGCATATTGTTGGTCTTGTGCTTCCAGCTATCGAGGATTTATTTGGTGGGCATGCGGGAAATCAAACGCCTAGAAAGCACGTCGAAAAGCCCAGTTTTGGAGCGATTTGGGTCTACCATGGTCGGCTTGGGGACCATTCGCGCCTTCCACAAGACAGAGGTGTACATCAAGGACATGTATGCTCGAATTGATCGGCATGCACAAACGGCATGGTATCTTTGGCTATTGGACCGCTGGCTTGGAATCAGAATGAGCATCGCAGGAGCTCTCCTGTCAACCATTACAGCGGCGTTGGTCGTCTATATTCCCCAAATCACCCCTGCACTGGCAGGCTTTGCGATGAGCTTTGCGCTACAGTATAACTACGCTGTGTCCATGGGACTTCGCTTCTATGCCAACGTGGAGACAGACATGAACTCTACTGAGCGTGTGCTGGAATACTCCGAGATTGATATGGAAGATCAGGGTGGGGTAGAGCCGCCGGCAGCATGGCCGACTCGAGGAAGAGTAGAAGTGGAAGATCTGGTGGTTGGATACGCGCCACATCTACCTCCAGTGCTCAGCGGGCTCAATTTCAGCTTGGAGCATAACCAGCGCCTAGGCGTGGTAGGACGTACTGGGGCTGGAAAGTCCTCGCTGACATTGGCTCTGTTCCGCTTCCTGGAGGCGCGGCAGGGGCGTATCTTTGTGGATGGCCTGGATATCTCGCAGATCAAGCTCCAAGCCCTACGGAGTCGCCTTGCAATCATCCCGCAGGACCCCGTACTGTTCTCGGGCACCCTGCGGTCTAATCTGGACCCATTCCATGAACACACCGACCTGGAGCTCTATAATGCGCTAGAGCGGGTACATCTTGTCTCTTTTGAAGATACTCTTACCCTGGCCTCGCATTCCAGTAATGATCCTTTGAGTGACAGCAGCACAATACCATCCTCGTCTGCCTCTTCGACGACAGGCCCCACAAAGAATGCGAACTTCTTCGCTTCGCTTTCATCAATGGTCTCGGAGGGAGGTCTCAATCTCTCTCAAGGGCAGAGGCAACTACTCTGTCTCGCCCGAGCCATTGTCTCCCAGCCTAAAATTATGGTTCTGGACGAGGCCACCTCCGCAGTCGATATGGAGACCGAGGCCTTGATCCAGCGATCGATCCGGGAGGAGTTTGGACGCAATGCGACTTCCCTTCTTGTCATTGCGCATCGCCTTAGCACCGTTGCTGATTTCGATAAAATCCTGGTGCTTGATGCTGGCAAGGCAGCCGAATTCGGAACTCCACAAGAGCTGATGGCCATTGAAGGAGGAGTGTTTCGAAATTTAGTGCAGAACAGTGGGGAGAAAGCACTGCTGGAGGAGATGATATGGGGAGCGGGAAAGAAGTAAATGAATTTGAACTGGCGTGGTGGGACTGTTATTGCAGGTTGTTGTAAATAAATAAATACATGAAACATTCACTTATCGTAACTGGTCGGTAATAACAAGACGAAACGGCGCGGTGGAGCAGCAACGGGGTTACGTTAGCTCCGGCATCCTCCACACATACATAAGAGCGCCCCCGTCGGGAACTATTCTTCTTATCTGGCTTCCAACTACTTTAACCTTAATCAGCCATTGCATGATTTCCACTTCTGCCTGATATCCGGTACTGCATGTCCACATCACCCGCACACTCGAGCGCGCTTACCTCATACCTGACTGCACCAATTTGATGGGCTCGGACCTCGGGATGGCTTTGGTGAAGGAGGAAGAACCGAGACGATCTATTCTGGCGGAAGTTGCTGCGGGATCCGCAGTGGACCCTGAAGATGACTGGGCCGGCATGGGAGATCGCAAAGAGAGGCGACGACGACAGAACCGGTTGAACCAGCGGGCTTACCGTGAGCTGCACATGTCTTGGGAGTTTCGATTCCATGAATTGACCACGAAGTTCAGGCCAACGCAAGCAAGCCACTCGGCAAACGCAGACGCAACCGCCGAAGCCAACAATACGACCCATCAAGGCCGAATCCACGAGCAGCAGTAGTGATGAAGCCACGATGACAATATCCTCACTCTTCCCCTCCCCTCAATCAACCACCAGCCCCTCCTCCACCTCCTCCTTCTCGACCCAACTCGCCCGTTCACCCTCCCGCAAAACCACCACCGCCACCACCACCGCCACCATCACCACCACCACATCGACAACGACGAGGAGACCCCGCAAACCCTGCGCAGACCCCATCACGCACAGCAATCTTCAATTACTCCTCGCGCAATTTACCCGCGTCGCCTACGACTCGTACATGACGGGCTCCCCGACCCTCGACCACCTCCTCACCGTCAGTCGCATCAATGTCTACCGCGCCTTCGCCACCAACATGCTCACGCTCGGCATGGGCCCCGGCAGCGACTGGATGCACGACGACGCGCTCTCCGTCTTCACGACCAAGTCCCCGCACAACGCGCTCGACCCGTCCGCCCTCCCGCCGCACCTGCGCCCCACGCAGCTCCAGCGCACCGTCCCGCACCACCCGTGGCTGGACTTCTTTCCGCTGCCGCGGTTCCGCGACAACCTCGTGCAGATGGCCGACCGCTTCGACGACGAGGAGCTGTGTCTCGATATCATGGGCTTCTGGGATACGCCGACGGAGACGTATAGTCTGCTGGTGTGGGGGGAGCCCTCGGATCCCGCGAATTGGGAGGTCTCCGAGGACTTTTTGAGGAAGTGGCCGTGGGTCCTGCGCGGGTGTGCGGAGTTGATGGCGAGTACGAATCGGTGGAGGGCGAGAAGGGGGGAGAGAATGCTTTTGAGGTATTTGTGATGGGGCCTTCCCCTAGTATTCTTCGGGTGTTGGAAGGAAAAAGTGGGAACTAGAAGATTGTCTCCTCCATGGGGTTTCAATGGCTGTGTGCATATGTACAGTTACAGGGCAGGGGGGTACAGTAGTTTACGATGAATCTCCCCTGCTTGCATTACCAGTCTCACCAGCAAGCAGGTTCTCAGGTCCTTCAAACCCGAGCTTATTTTACTGGAGTGCTCTAGCTCGTCTAGAATACCATAGACCGCGATTCAGAGCATACTCTGACAGCCCAAATGTAGAGATGGAAAAGGCCGAAGAGAGCTCCACGACGATACCGCAGTCCGACTACCAGGCCTACGGTCCGTCTAAAAATCCGTGAGGCGGCGTGCACTTAAGGTTGCGGTTTGACCAATAAGAAGCGTCAGGGTCTTCTTGAAGGCTCCAGTCTTGGCGCAAGCCTGCATTTGTCATCTATCTGCTGAAATCTGTGTATGGGCTAGTATTTACATTCATGAAACTAGTATGTAATTTACACACGCTGTTGCGTTTGTTGATAGCATGATCTGGAGGTAATTGAGTGCTATGTGGCTTAATGAGTCTGAGGCTGCGAGGCTTCTCAGTTGAGGCATAAGTAGAATGCGGCCTGAAGGGAATTGCTGCTACATATTGTATTGCTCATGTAGGGTGCCTGGAGATGTACATTGGAAGCCACGTCGTCGCCTTATTTATCAGGCACCAACATAACCGGGGGGGGTCAACAAGATCAAGTTCCACCACACTAGCACAACAACACGCCGGGGTGATGTAGTGGTATTAACATTGCAGAGCCCCCAACTTCGAGAGCGGGTAAAGTGCAGATTCTGGGTTCGAGTCCCAGTCCCGGCATTTCTTTTTGCGTCCTCTTCTGCGAGGGATGCCGTCATTCGGATATCATGAGTCGGAACTTGAGAGATGGATGTCAGAGGGATGTCAAGGGCAGAAAAGGGACGAAGTCGGGATAGAGAGGGATACGGGGGACAGGTAGGGTCTTTACCCTGACAGGCGGGTAGCCGCGATGGAGTGATAGACTAGATTTACCAGGCCAGATGCTTCCTTAACATCTCTACTACTTCCATCGCATCCCCAGAGCAGTGCCGAAATACAGCGAGAATATGCTGGTCCGGACTGCCTGACCCTTCATCAGCCCCGTCAGTGTCCACCACTTCTCGCTCACTTCTCCAGGCTGCAGGTCGAAATCCGCGCCCCGAACGACTAGATTGACCTTAAGTCCACGCGGCAACCTTTCCCTAGCTTTCTCTAAGACAATTCTCCAGAAGTCTGCGTACCCTTCATCCACAAGTATTGTAAATGCGTCGAACACACACAGGTCCAGCGTCGAGTATTGCTTGCGTTGCACCTCCTCTGCCGACAACTCCTTTACATACGAGGAGTCGATCGGTCCCAGTTGACCAGCGATAGAGCTTGAAGGCTGTATCCAAGCATGAGGTAATCTCGCCCCCGACACACATTCTGGCTCATAGGTAGACGCACACCCGGGAATCTCAGTCTTACCATAGATATACCCAATATGAAGACCCAGATTGTCGAAATGCTCGCGTTGGCCTTCGATGCCTTCGTTGACTGCACCAGCAAGCTTAGGATCTGCGATCGTGCGATACAAGTTCTCACGCGCGACACGGACGTCCGGATCTGTCGCTCCCACTGTTTTTCAGAAGACGGAATATTTGTTGTCCGTTCTTGACACTTTGGGCTGCATTGACTAGCGCGAGGGGACGACGCTCGAGTTCGTAGGTGTCCAGAAGCGAAGGGCTGGCCCAGCCGTGGTGGATAGCAGCGAGCTTGTAGGCGAGGTTGTGAACGTCGCCGAGGCCGCTATTGAGGCCTAGGCCACCGGTGGGGGGGAAGGAATGAGCAGCATCACCGGCCCTGTAGGGGTGGTCAGTTAAAGAGCTTGGTGATTGAGAAGGTGGCTGATGATTCTGACAGGAGAACGCGGTTGATGCGGTAAGACCTGGCCACTTTGCGACTGAGAACCCAAGGTCGATAGCTGAGGACGTCGTATGGAATGTGCGTCCCAATGGCAGCATCGACGATCTTGCGGCATAAAGTCTCATTCCAAGATTCTACCGGGTGCTTCTGGGCCTGATATGTTCAGCAGGAGACCGTAGATATCAATGAAGAAAAAGCAGACTTACATCAAAGTTGCAAAGCAATACTTGGTTTCCTCCGAAATCATACCCGATGATGACCCCGGAGACCTCTGGAACCTTCACCCAGTGTAGCATGCCCACTCGTTCTTTCACAACTGGGTACAGATTGGCATTGATGTGGATGGTCATCATTGTCTCGTCTAAATCTCACTCGTCAGCTTCGATCTTGCCAAGGGGTTGCTTTCACAGACAAGAATCTTCTCCCTCGCTCTCCACTCCGAGACACCTTCGAACGGCACTCTTTGCACCATCACAACCAACCAAGTATTTGCACTTGACATGATATTCTCGCTGCGCTGCCCGGTCCTCAATCGTTGCAACCACATAGTCCCCGAACTGTCATTTGTCAGTGACTCTTCAGACTCCCAAATGCCATCAACGAACAACACCACATACATCCCCAAGCCTCACAAAGGAATGATTCTTGCGAATCTCGACCAAAGAATTCTTCATGAGCTTCTGCTGCACGTATTCTTCGAAATCCGGTTGCGGAATGTTATGAAGCATCTGCTCGTCACCACTTAGAAAGATCGACCGGAGGAGTCTATTGATGCTAAAGGGAGCAAACCGTAGGAGTTTCGTCCAACACCTCCGGATCCATCCGCTCAAAGGGCAGCCGTCCCACTTGCCTCCCACTCAGATGTGTCACGAAATTCACCCAGAATGCATTTTGACGACAGGTTCCCAGGCGGCGTATTGCATTCACGTCTAGGCCAAACTGGCGACACAGCTCTAGTGTTCTTGGGCATAAAGCGTGGGCTTTCGGGGCGTCGAGTCGCGTGGGGTAGCGTTCGCATAACAAGGATTGAACTTTATGAACGGGCTGTTAGCTGGCCTATCCTTGTCTTATATAGTGCTCTTGAATCTGGGGGACTGGATCTAGGGGTGAATCGGGAAATACCTCCCAGCTGCGCCAACAGGTATGCCAGGAGTAGGCCGCATGGGCCGCCTCCAAATCAGGACGGGGACGTCATCTGTGATCTGGTATTCTTGTCGTGCGGGAGACATGCTGGTGAGTTTGACAATTCTGAGATGACAAGTGCAGGGGGTGGGCTGCTTGCCTTTATGTAGACGATCGAATTAGAGGCAATGGGGCACTGGCAACAATGCAGCTAAGTGGTGGTGATTTGTTTGTTGTCCAGTGTGATACTTCAGTTATCCTTCTTTCCCCACTTCGGGTGGGAAATGTTGGTGTGGGCTGCCTGTCTTTATGTAGACGATTGAATGAGGCAATGGGGCATTGGCAACAATACAGCTAAGTGGTGGTGATTTGTTTGTTGTTCAGTGTGATGCTTATCCTTCTTT